ACAGGCCTAGTTCAGATGCATATTGTGAAGCGTACAATCGAACAAAATACATGTACATGCTTTCATGTTCAAAGATATAACTGTTGGGCTGTTATTTCAGAGATGCAATGATTTGTCGATTCAGGAAAGAGACTCTTTCCCCGTTGTTTTATATCATGCTACGGAAGCGTATAAGGGCCACTTGCAAAAAAGTTTTTCGGGATACTATCTCGCCGCGGCGACTTACTGTCTCGCCGCAGCGAGTTAGCTAAAACTAGCTCATCTCGCTGCATATTAAGACTCAGTCTGGATACCACACCAATGAGTCTGATTACTCTTCCAATTAAGGGTCCCGTATCACCCAATGTCCATGTGATCAACACTCCCCAGATTATCTCGAGAAATGTTTTTTGCAAGTGGCCCTTATAAGCTTCCGTATAAGGGCTAAGTGAAATACAAGACGGAAACGAACTTTGAGCAAACTGTACATTTGCCGTGCGTAAAGGTCAGCTGAGTATGGAGTGAGAACGATGCTGACCAGCATCAAGAAAGTTAACGTTCTATTTGTAATAGGTTAATATTTCAGAAGAACTTCAAACTTCATGAATATCTACGTGCTTTTGTCATGAATGGAAATAAATGGAAATTACACAGTTTATGATAAAAGGGTTAGTAAGTGAAAGTTTCTGCTTCTGCTCAGTATCTATTTTTTTTGTTCAAGCTGACTTCCTGCTTTCATTCTGGCGTCATCTGGAGGTCAAATGTTCGCATGTCCTGTACACAGTGATACCTGATAGTTAGATCAAACACGAAATTGTCGAATTATTTCCCCCTTTGTAGTTGTCTAGCACCCAAGCTTTTTTGTAACCGTGACATATTGCATGACTCAGAATTACAAGGCTCTTGTGGGGGCGTGGTTCTTTAATGGGCGCAGCTAAACGTCGCGATGGGAGTTATAGAGGACAACTTAGTACTATTGGGATTGTGACGTAGGGCTCTTCGGCATTCGATCGCACAGCAACTCGCTTTTACTTGCTATTGACTCAAGATTGCATTTTTGCTCTTGCGAACACGTACAAAGATTCATGCGGATTACGGGCGAACAGCATTAAGGACGCTGCGGCGTGTAAGATTCCCTCCCTAAAGAAAAATAAAGGTTATTTTATTTTAAGGACTGCAAAAAAAACCCAAAAAACAAAACAAAAACAAAAACAAAGACCCCAGCCTGACTACGAGTAGAGCTATAGTCCAACGTAAATGCATGCTATGTCTATGTATGGAGTTGCCCGTATATTTATCATGTATAATCTACATGCACATGGTATACGCCTTTAAGATCCTTTCAATGTTTACGTTGTTGCATAGCAACTGAGAGGGTCCCCTCACCCTTCACGTTGACGTGGCCTTGCGCCTCTATTGGAATTAGCTCCATTTAATTTTTATCATGACAACATAAGATTTAGCCGGAATACCTTCCACCGACTTCATTATCTGTTTTAAAACGCTTGGATTCATTTTAGCTGCTGCTACATCTAAAACAGTAGTAACAATAGAAATTACAATGACATTTTCCGCTTTTCCTTTGAACCACAAATTATTATTTTTCTCTGCCTTACTCGTGGGACGAATGACAGGAAGACTGGCTTGGTTCTTTTACAAGCACGCATCTTCCTAAAATATAGACCTCGATCGACGTACAAGCCACTTTTGCATCTCAACTCAACAAGGAAATGAAACATGATTTTTTTCAGCTATATCAGTCATTTAATTTTGCTTTCGAATTCTCTACAAACATTATTTTAAACAGGGTTTAACTTCCTTTATGGATCCAATCGTTATTAGTCACGGACTGCACGCACCCTGTAAGAGCCAGCCCAATACTGTTGTCATTTCCTGCACATGTATATGTCAGGCCCTAAATCAATTGAGAGACATGGCTTTTGCTTTTGAGTTTTTATTTTTCATCTCCTGTTTCGTTTTAAGGCACATCCCATGTAATATAAACAGTGACACGTGATTTCGCAATCGAACATCGTTGTTTATGGATAATGTAAATAGGACAATAGTAACTGTTGCAATATTTCCTTGTTTTTGTTCTCGGATCGCCTGAAAATAAATGTCATGTGTCTTTTGAACAACCAAAGCTTTCCTTTTGCATGAATAACCAATTGTAGGGGACACCTTCGATTAAAATAGACAAACCACCAAAATGGAAAGTCCTGACAAGTTTGTCAGTGACAGAATTTTTACATTTTGCAAATTCAACTGGCTACTGCTTCTTACAACAGTTTTCGTGCTGATTATAAGAAACTGCACGATATCAAGACAGCCGCATGCACTTCATCAGCAACGGGTCTCTCACGTGGTAACATGGTGAGTTTTTGAGCAATGGAGAATCCATCAACGAGTCTGCAACTTCGGCATCTCTTCCAACCTAATCATTCAAAGGAATTAAAAGCCAACAGATGGTGGATCTCACAAATCCTTCTAAACCAGCGCACTACATCTCCTCGTGATAAGCCTCGATGGCTAATGACAGACCTAAACAGATAACTATAGCTATGGGAAAGTTTATGTCTACAGTATTATTTGGTGATCGGACTTCTACTGTTATGTGGTAGTCAGACTTTGCCAGGCTCGGGTCAGGGGCGTAGAGGTCACTCTTTGTGCGGCGGTGCGGCCCAGTGGCATTTCCACGATAGGTATTTTTCCCTAAAAACAAAACCCAAACAAACATAAACCAAGACCCCTCCAAAAAAACCAAAGTATTTTGAAATTTTTTTTGCCTTTGAGAAAAGTTTTTGCTAGGCTCGAAACGTCGGGCCCGTCATATTCTGGGAAATAAATAAACAAACACAAAATCGCCATTTTGTTCCGTCAAAACAGACGGGCTGCCTCACCCTCCACTTTTGAATCTCAGGCTCCTCATCCTGAGCGATTGACGCAGATAGAGAGACATCTTCTGGTTTTTTCTCCTTATTTTGAAATCTGCCCACCTGGTAATCTTCCCAAAAAGTTCCATGAAGATCTGGCCCAAAATGTGTTCGTCGCCAATCACATGAGGGCGCTATTGATAATGAGCAGCGTGGACTGTAATAAGATGTTACCGTTGGGGGGCCAGTTGCAGACTTGCCAACATGCCGTACTCCTACCTGAGGTCAGGCTTTGTCACTCAACAGATTAAATTTTTAGAAGTACTGAAGGCCCATTTAAATACCTGTTAGTCTATTATGTGGTAATGCCTGACCTCAGAAGGAGTAGAGCTAGGGCAGGTCCGCAGTTGACATTTGTTCATTATGAAACATAATTTTGAATCCTGTGGCAATGACTTGGGAAATTTTAATGTTATCGCTGTTACCGATGACTTCGCCACAAACAATTTGTGAACCTTTCCTAGGTCATTTTTAGAATTAATACATTGTTGGCGAAGTTATCATTATTTATGGAAATGTATAAAAACGAATGATGCATCTCTAATAATTTCACATTCTACACTGAGTGCTCCCGGCGTCATACAAAACAGAAACCACAACAACCCAATTACAGCCAGCGTCGTAGTCTTAGTTCTTTCGCATTCCTCCTTCAGCCAAAATGGATTGATTCTAACAACAGCGGGCGCTATATTTATTTGGGTTCCAAACTTTCTGAACACTGAGACCATAGAGCTATATCTAAACTAGAGCAATGATCCATGTACAAAGTGATGCCTGTTGGGCGCATCCATGTTTGTGCACAAACTTATGGAAAGTTCAAAAGTTTGTACGGCTATTTGCTTATCTGCATCTGAGTTCTAAACAGTACGTCAACAAAGCCAATACGCAAACAACCTGAACGCACAATCAGTGTATAAGCGTTTTATTTTGCTCTGCGACAAAAACACATGAGTGCATTCCACCAAATCGTTGTATTTCTGCCCGCGAGCTCATTAATATTTTGTGATCCCACAAGGTTTTTACAATAAGACATGCATGCTACAAATAGATATATAAATATAAATCCCGAATTCGGGACTGATATTTTCCAGTTCGGGGTATTTCTTTCACAAAAAGCCCCAAATTGCGGGCCTATTTTGGATAGAGGTGGGCAGCTACATTCAGAGCTGAGGGCATAGTTTTATTACTATTTTTTGGGTATCTTCGGGAAAAGGCGAATAAAAATGTTTTGGTGGCTAACCCTCATAAAATTGAACGAAAAGTAATCTTCTGGCCATAATCTTAAATTTCCGGTCTAAAATCGGAGGCCAACCTCTATCCGAGAGTCGACAGGTGGCGCTATTTCGGTCTGATTTTGCACTGTTTTCTATGGGCGCGTATTTGGTGTAGTGAAACCACAAACGCGTGCGCGTATACGCTGCACATGAATTTTGCTATGACGTATTTTAATTAATCAGATTTCATCGGTACATGATGCGCACGACAGCCGCTGCTCCAGAGCAGTCAACTTAGTTTAGTAGTGAATTATTCATCAAAAGACAGCCATCGAAAGAAATGCATACGAAATCGAACGACCTTGCTCAAATGAAATATAATTTCAAAATAATCAACTATGGGTGTGAATAAACAAGTGCCAATGCTCTGTACATGTGCGCCTTATTCAACGTACGCTGACATTCGCGTATGTTGTACTTAAGCGTTGCATTCAGAAATACTCGATGTTCATTCTATCTGAATTTGAATGATCCCGGGCACGCACATGGATTCAAAATGTCTGCGTCGAGGACGGCACATAGAGCTCTGTAAAACCGCATCAAATTAATTTTTTTCCGCGCGGAGAATGAGAAGTTAGCGCTCTGGTTTTTGTATACTCCATGGCACAGACATTATAAACACACAGACCACCAGTGTTGCGCGTATAACTGTGATTTTGAAAAGTATCCGGTTCGTAAGTGTGACGTCACTTTAGTTTAAACCACGCCCACTGCACACATGCACTGCATACGGTTACATGCACTGATCGCCGTTTACATGGAACCATGGAACCGGAAGTTAACGCGCAACTTCAGCGGTTGTCCAATGAGAGCCTGCAAACCGTGGCGCGTCCGCCTTTGTGACGACGACACTTACGAACCGGATGGGCAGACAATGGGCAGAACGGTGGGTGACAGCGCGTTCAGTGGGCATTACGCTAAACGCACTTACATTGCCTGTATTGTGCTCCCAAAATATTGCGTTTTTTGCTTTTCGACACTGCTATCTCTTCTTTTCAAATGTTGCAATCGCAGCCTTTTGAATCTACATTGGCCAGATTAAGTAAATTGAAGCTTTTTTTTTTTGAGAATCAATAACCGTCTTCATAAAATTTTGGGGCTTGAATTCTTCAACTGTGCGTAAATTTCCTATTACCGAGGAGTGAATTCGCATATTTTGATTTTAGTCGGGCCACTTGCATTGTCATGGAATACTCCTGTAGTTTTGAATAGGATCTAGTGGTCTATGCGTTAAATGTCTGTGTTTCTGAGGCCGTGTCCAAAACGGGCTTCCGGGGCTATGGCTAAGTCTGTTGGCTGCCCGTCCCCACATAATTCAATGGAGTAAATACCAAGACCAAGCTCTATAGACAACAGCTTCGGATGAAGCCTGACTTCCCGTGAACTGAATCTGCTTGCCCTGACGAAGGAACACAGTTACCAAAAGCTCAGCATTAGATACATATAAGAGCACTGACTGTATGTCGATATTTGTCAATTTCCTGTGATAGCAGTATCTTTGGAATAAATACAGGGAGGTCTTGGAACCCAAACTGCATTGCCAACATTTCTGGCCAACAGTTTCCACAGATAGGCCTATACGGGCGATTCACAATAGTGCGCCACCAAGAGTTTGGAACACGTTGGCCAATCATAACGCGCGAAATTTGTCGACCCTTTCCAAACGCGCATTGGGTCGACAAATTTCGCGCAGTTGTGATTGGCCAATGCGTGGCAAACTCTTGGTGGCGCACTATTGTGAAACGGCCGTATTGGAATAAATTTAATTCCTCAATAAAACGACGCGTCCCCGGTAGGGCGTGCGTGTAGTAAGGGCATTGCGCGCGCGCCACAAACCCTCGCCGGTGCGCGTAATTCAAACTGTGTGTGACGTGACGCCTGCCGTGTGTGTACGTGTTCTGTTCATCGATTGTGAGAATTCAAAACGAATACGCTGCGCTGCTGCACTCTAAAATACACCGCATAGGCCTAAATTCAGGACGAAGGCCCAGCGGGTGGGCCTATATATTTCAAATTTTGCCCTGTCAAATTTTGGACAAAACTACCGGAATGGAATTGCTTTGTTTGAAGACGGTGCTGTGCGTTGTTTTCTCAGGTAGGTTCACTTTTTTGTACCTTAAATCTACTTATGGCCTACTGGCCAAATAGAACACGTTTAGGCCCAGACCTTCATGTGTGTCAGTTTCATCTACTGTAATAGACCTAATCTAACCCCTTAGATAAGAATTCGCCAATGAAAGTTCCATAGTAAAAGGACAAATTTTGAATTTTTATTCTCTCTCAAGTCTGCTGCGCGATAGGGCCTAGGGGCCTATAGACAAAAGGTTTAGACTTGGCAATCTTTATCAAGTTTTGACAGATCTCTTTTATCACTAACGCTACAGTATTCACACCACCTCAAATGCCAGAATGCTATAAGAACTTCACATTTCTCTGAACGTTCTACGAAATAGGCATAGCCTAATAAACCGTTTTGCAATTAAATTTGAATAAAATCTAGTAGACCTACGCTGAGTTTTTGCACATAAACACAGGCCTAGGTTTAGTCCTAACAATTTGAATTCCCCAGACTAGCCTAAATACAATGTTGTTATAGACCTATATACCTTGCTATTCGGGACAAGCTTTTGCATAGCGACCATCACCTCTGGCATGGACTGGTTCCTTTGTGCCCGTCTTATCTATTGAGAACAGTGTATTGGTGGAAGCGTCTCTTACATGACCAAGCAAACCTTGCCCCAAATCACGAAGTAGGCAACAGTGTATTCAGCATGGAGAATTCAAATTGTTATGTTCATGTAAACCAAAGAACTCCATGTATCAGATTTTATTCAAATTTAACTCGCAAAAGGCTTAGGCCTCTTACAGGCCTAAAGGGGGGGGGGGAAAGCAGACATTGTATTGCCTATTAGTACATTTCACATACAGATATGTGAAAAATCCACTGAAGCTAACATGCGGAGATGTCCTAAAATGACAGGCGGCAACATCCGAGTCTTAAATCAGGCAGACCTCTAAAATAAAATCCACCTTGCTCCATCTTTACTGTGTGGACCGTTCTTTGACTATGACTTTTGCCATGATTAACGTCTACAAAAACAAACCTTTCATATGACTCTTTTTTTTCTATCCTCAACAGTTTCAATATTCATAGCGCTGACTCCGGTCGGTAAGTGAATAGGCCTACAGTGATGCCCAACAAAATCTTTGGGTTGTCATGTCAAGGGTACACATTCCAAATTTATTTTGGAATTTCAAAAAGGAAAACCACCACAAACTTGAAAATGTGAATTTGGATCAGAAAAGAGACTAGACTGAAAATCAGTTCCTCTCGGTTAATTAATCACAATTACTCTAAATCCTTAATTGAATCATCAATTATCAGATTAATTACAAGTTACTTCCGGTTCTTGTTCAAATCTTTAATCATTTTGGAAGGATGTAGTACGATTCAAGAAGGGAAATGTCAATGTCACTAAGTCTATTGCCTCCAATCTTTGATTTATGGTAACAACTTTAACGTCTGTTCGGTGAAGATCATCAAATAATCACTTCTCATTTCCTTTCTCTTCACAGTGTTAGCATCGACAAACGGTACGTACTCTTATAGCTGGGATTTTTCACGGATGCCAAATTTATGTTTAGTACGAAAACAGTGCAATCTCCGTTTCGTGTTTCGAGTTGGGAATGTGGAATTTTAGTTTGATGTTTGTGATATTTTGTTATGAAGGTTAAATTGTTTCGTTTTGGTCGCTGATTTCGGAGATGAAATAGTTGTAAAGTTGCATTTTAATCTTAGTTTTGTGGCTTTCTCTCTTTTCCGACAGCACCAACGTCTGGTAAGTAGCCTTTCAGCTTGTAATGATATGTTCAAGAATCAATTTAGTTGTTTCGAAATTTCGATGATTCTCAAGTCCTAGTATACAATAAGTTTGGCCTGCCCTTCATCTTGTTTACATCTTACTTACAAAACATGTTTGCTGTAATACCCAGTATCTAGGAGTCATGGCATTTGCTCTGCATACCTATAATGCTTTCACCTAATGAAGTGAAAAAGTGAAGTAGTTTTTCATTTGCTAGTATCAAACATTTATGTTTCAAAACCTTTTTTTACTGACGTCTGTTTTGTAGGGAAGTCATGTATCAATTCAGTATTATTTAAATTCAGAAACAGATTTGGGAATCGAAAAGAATTGTACTAAAGAAATCTCTATCCATAGAATATGATTTCGTGCTACTTAAGGCATGCACTTTAACCCTCAAGCAACCTTTGACAATCTTAATGATTAATTTCAGCTCCAGGCGGTGGCGACGAGGAAGAGGTAATCATCGGTGTGGGCAACATCGACGTCCGCTGCTACACCTGCGACAACGTGCAAGATAATGACGAGTGCAACGGCGTGCACGTTAGTATTTCGGCACGGTTTGAGCACCGCCCAATGTCTTAATTTGACCAATCACAGCTGGCACATGCTGCAAGGCAAAGCTGCCCACGTGCCCAGAGGGCGGGGCTGACTTGGATCGGTTTGTTTTTAATGCATTCACTAAACACCGAGTGCACAGACTTTTTTGGGTATTGAGCCACTAGAATACGGGTGTTACGCCTTGAGCCCAGTGTCCAAAAGTAAGAAAGAACACCAATAACATAAAAAATGTGTCAGTCGAAAAAAAAAAGAAAAAAAGGAAAAAAAGTAAAATAATGATTCTACGGAAGCGTTTTGCTGCCTACGACTCATTATCTGATTTAAACAACATAGTTATCTCGTTTAAACGACTTAGTATCTTGTTTAAACGACAGAGCTATTTCGTCTAGGCCTAAATGGCATACATGTAGACATCTCGTTTTAATTAAACAAGATAACTATGTCGTTTAAACGAGATAAAATAATTTGGCAGCAATATGCTTCCGTACATTTCGTAAAGGTCACTGATGCCTCACTGCGATAAATCACTGAAGGTCAACTCCAGGTTATCCGCTTAGGGCAAACAAGAGAGGGCGTACTTGTACATTTTAACAACGGTTCTTGTGCGGATCAGAATACTTTTATTTAGTTACTTAAACTTTTGTTCTTACCGTCTTGTTATCCTTTCTTTTTTTCAGCTGGGAGAAAACGGGACATTGACCAAGTGTACCTACGAGCGATCCAACTGTTTTAGCCTGATCAAGATGAACGCCGCCGGGGACGGCTACACGGCTCAGAAGGGCTGCATGGAATTCGTAAGTAATTTGACCGACAGGTTCGCTGGAGCTGACTGTTCAACCTGCCTCCCATCGTTGTGCATGTTGTTGATCCGAAAACACACACGTTAATTTAATGTCTCTTCTAATCCTATGGCAGCGGCGGTGCAACTTTTGTGCATTATTAAAACAGGATGAAGTTTTCCCACCTCTTTCAAAGTTTTCCTATACCAGGAAATGTGCGTGTATGACGGTGCTGGGTTTTGAGCTATATTTCTCATTGAGGTCCTTATTTTGTCACTGGTGTCACAAAATGTTTGTGTGTTATAAGAGGGTTCGGGAGACAAAATTCACAGTTTTTAAACATGCATTTGGAGTAGAGTACCCACGTCTATAGCTCTTTCCTTTGCGCTTTGACGAATGCTTTGTGCACATTTCACTGTACGATGTTATTGACAGAGCTCTGTAAATGTCTACTTCTGATTCCTGACGTCAACAGGACGAATGCTACGACAGGTTCTACGAATTGGTGTCGGACCCCATCAAGGGGGCCGATTGTATGCGGTTCGGTATCCTGGGCCACGACCCGCTGCCGGCCGACATCGAGTGCTTCTACTGCTGCTTCTCCGCCGAGGGTCAGTCCCAGGACTCCTGCAACCAGGCCATGGGGGTCAGCTTCCTGGCCCTGCCCGAGCCCAACAACTGGGACCCGGCCGTGGACAAGTGGGAGGGACACGAGCCAGGGGTGAGCACGGCGCCGCCCGAGGTCACCAGCGGCGGCGACCCGGTGGCCCGTCCTCTGGCGGCTGTGGTCGGCCTCCACCTGCTGCTGTTCTCCGCTCTTCTCGCCTAGTGCGCGCGAATGGATGCTCCTTCACGCCCAGAACTCAAGAGCCTCACATTACCCATCGGAATGATTTCGGAAACAAAAAGGTTGAAATTAATTTCCGTTGTGTCAGTAGCCTAACATTGACATTACTGAGCTCAAAATGAATGTGGATGAAAAATGGAAAGTCACACAATGGTTGGCCCGATTGCACAAGGAAACTGGCGAGCCATTCCTTTGCGGTTTGCCAGTGCTGTTCAAGACTTAGCTGCCAGAAACCCAAGACCAATTTAGCATGACAACAAAATAAAGTGGTAAATTTGTCATTTTATTCCATCCTAGCAATAAACAGTTTTTTCCGATAATATTTCAAGATACGAGTGACATCTCAGTGTTTATACGTGAAGATTATTCTGTATAATCATTAATATATGCTATTTTTATGATTCCAAGGTGAATGATATCCAAAATTTGAAGATCTAAAATTGAACAAATTTGCACAAATGACTTTGAAAAGAGAAAAGTAACCAAAATAAAAAACAATGAAATTTTATTTACACCTTCAATTTAAACCGTATTCCACGCTTGTGCATTTCATGCAATTTCTTTCATACTATGTTTTGCTGTTTTAAAACTTGACCTCCGGGAGCCCCCCCGTACGTCTTCTACCCATGCGCACAAACATTACACTCCTGACAACTGACCTCATATGACGCTTTCGGAAATATAAAGCCGATTTTATTGACGGTCCAGGTTGGACGACAGAAATAAACGGTTTGAGCGGTCCCAGCAGAGACAAAAGGTGTAACCAACTGACTTTGTTTTGTGAGTGCTTGTTTTTCTGTTGAATCTCGACGCACTTTATGACGCAGAGAAAAAACCTAGGAAACTTGCTGGTAAAATGCTTTAGTCGTATCTTCGGTCATTTCTTGGTCGTGTCTTCCATTTCGGCAGTAAGGTTGATTCAATTTTTTTTCTAAACGCGCCTGGCAGTTGGTATATGTGACGCCCTCATTACATATACAGTCCTCTTGAAGGAAAAACATAAGCCACCGAATAACCGTTTAATGAATTAAAAATGTTCTTTCATATTACAAATACTGAAGAAAACTGATATATGACTCGGGTAAAGGTATAAAATTAACAAGTAATGTAGCTGTTACTTTAAAATGTAGCTAGCTGTTTGAATGTGTCGCCTTCCCCAAAGGCAAACTCGTAGTTATAGGCTTGCTTTCCTTGGCACAGCAAAATTTTAAGATGCATGCACATACTGTTAGGAACCAACTTAACTTCATCGCACGTGTAGTTTCCTCGTTCGAGGACGCTGGGATGGCTTAACTTCAGAGAGGTCAACCTCCTAGTTCCTGCTGATGTTTAGAGCCACCTGCCCGGCACTTCAGCTTGACGCAGCGGCGCAGCACTCTGGATGTTGGCTTTCCGAGGGCCTTCGCTCTCCGCTTCCCGGTCCTCTGATGCTTTAGGTGAGCGCAGATCTTCGCAGCGTCCTCGCAGGTCTTTCCGCGCAGGTCCACCTCGTAGTCGATGCCCTGGATGCTCAGGGGTCGGCCCGCGTCTGAGTCCCCTGACTGGTAGGGGCTGAGGGCCCGGTGGACCAGGCCCTGCTTTGGCGACCTCCCCCGCCCTTTGTGGTACAGCTCCACCATCCAGACAGCCGACTGGGTGACCGGGTTACTCTCAGGTGCCATGTCCGCTCGCAGGTCGAGGCTGACGTTGTTAAGGACGCCTGCGGTTACAGCGCCCGTTGCCACGCTAAGGTCGAGGCCGGCGATCACAATTACTGATTAGAGTAAAAGAAATTCGAAGTTAACTTTATTTGCTTACCAACATTGTCAAATGAGAGAAAGGAAGGCTCCAAACTGATTCTATACATAATTGCAAAAACTGTGAATGGTCCACACGGTTACTATTAAAGTAACCCGGTACCTACTTTAACAGCACAGATTACGCTTTGAAATTTAAAAGGACCTGTGATGCTGTTGTCCATCGTTTTCCGGTATACTATTTTTCGGCGTAATGTTATTTCAGTGGTTATTCAATAAACTAAATCCATACCTGGGTTGGGATTCTTTTTGAGTTTCTTCGGTCCCTTCCGAGGTTGATGTTGCTCTGTTGCAGCGTGGGCCAGACCCTGCACATGCTGCTCGATCTCCTGCGTGGGCGCAGCCGCAGCCAGCGCCACCCCGACAGCATCGGCATCGTCGGCCACCACCAACCCAATGTCTCCACGGTCCAGGTCGGTCGGCAGCGGGCACGGGCACTCGCCCCGGCAGGCCAGGTATAGGGAGTGCTGCCGGCAGGCCGCCGCGCACAGGGCGCACTCGTTGCCGTAGGTGGTCCCATCGCTGCCGCAGACGGGGCTGAGTATCCGTGTGCAACCGAAACGGCATGTGTGCCTCTTGGCGGACGACGAGACGCGACCTTTTACCTTTCCTAAACACAATAAAAAAAAAAAGACACCCACAGCCACAACCTTCAACCATCACCTCAATTCCAAAACTATGAATCTTCCAGCACAACCTCAACCTTTACTGAAGTCGAGGGAACACTACCATGACAAAGCCCCTGAAATTGTGTGACAACGAATATGAACCTGAAGCTGAACCAAGAGAGCGCGCCATTCTTTTCTTTCGTCGGAAGTAAACTTCACTGGTTCACGAACGAGTGTAAAATGCACGCGTTACGGTCGCATAGCTACCAACAACATGAGCACTTCTGACCTACATAGCCTTTATCAACCGATGATGATGTGCTTCTGCTAGAGGTGGATAATTCATTATGATACTCCAAACTTTGCCGATGAATAATTTTTTTGGAGGGAGAGGTTGTGCGGATGAAGCACCCTTAAATGTGGCGAATCAGTCGCATCAATATTTGCAGTTGATGTGACTGACCCCTTTGAACTGGATGTCGACCACACCGCTTTACCAACCAAAACGACCCCAGAGAAAATAGTCTAACTGCCGAAAATAGACCACGACCATAGAGCTATATATAAAAACAAGAGCGCTAAAATTTGGCACCATCCTGGGTGCAGACATTTTAAATCTATGCGCGTGCTTGTAGAACATTACAAATGAGATGGAATAGGTATCGAACTATGTATTCTAAATGCAACGCATAAGAACAACACAAGCGAATGTCAGTGCGTCTTTGGAATAAGGCGCACACGTACAGAGCAATGGCGCATATTAAGGTAATCAGCTACTGCACATCCTTAATTGATTATTTTAAAACGAATGTTTCCCTGACATTCGAGCAAGGTTGTTCAATTTCGTATGTACGTCTTTCGACGGCTGTCTTTCGATGAATACGTTGAGCTTAAAAAAATCGTTCCCTGGTTCCAGTCAGTATCAAGTGAGTCGACGGCTCTGGAGCAGCAGCTGTCGTGCGAATTGGGTACCCATAAAATCCGATTTAAAAAGTCACGGAAAAATTCATGTGCAGTTTGTACGCGCAAGCGTTTGTGTTTTTTTTGGGGGGGGCAGAGCCAAATGAAACGCTCATTTGTTGATTGGGGGTTCAGGTTGTTTGTGTATCGACTTTGTTGACGTGTCGTTTTAGAATACAGACAGAGATATGCAAAATAGAAGTACAGAAGCCGTACAAAATGTCGAGTTTTCCATAGGTTAGTGCACAAACATGGATGCGTCAAGCAGGCATCACTTTGTACGTGAGCCGGCGCTCTAGTTTTCATTCTAGCTCTTTGACTATAACCTACTTTAGAAGTCCAGATTCCGTTTGACGATAGACAGCCACCACGATGGACATAGAGGGCCGTGACACCGAGGATGGAACCTCTTCCCGGAGGGGAGGTACTCCTCATAGGACCCCCCCCGCCGCTCACCATTTCCCCTCCCTTTCCTCCCACCTCTGACTGCGTCCCTACCTGGTCGAATCTTGATCACGCCCACCGCGGGATCCGAGGCGCAAGTGTCGTGGTAGTTGTTAGCCACCGATGACGCCGCAGCACCCAGTGCGGCCAGCAAGACCAGAATCTCCGCCGCTCTCACCATTTTGCCAAACGTGCTGAAATTAGACGTAAAATCTTGAGTTCCTTTCCAAAGATGCTTCTTCTATTTTTGTGTAGAATTTCAGTGCTTTCTTGTGCATTTACTAAGGATGAATGTGAAAATCTGTACACTATTTTTCGGGTTTATTGCCATCAATGCCGGCATGCTGTCTGGAAATTGAAATAACGTATAGAGGCTTTGCGTGGTAGCCATCTGGCAGGGGAAGTTCTTTGTTTCACCGGGAAAACTCCTTTGTGCATATCCTGTGGAACAAAAGCACTGACCTGCAAGATGGTAGTTATGCAAACCCTCCATAGTCTGCCCAAAACTTTTGATTAGTGAGATTTTATTTTTTGGCCAGGTTCCTGCTTTGTGGCCTTGGGAAAACCATCACACCTGCTTGTCTCTCTTCACACAGGAGTATAAATGGGTAGTAACAGTTTGAGGGCATGGCAAGCAACACGTGATGGACTGGCATTCCATTCTGGGGAAATAGAAATATTCTCAGTCGTTTCACGCCATGGAGACCGGAGATAACCACCAACCTGAAGATCCAGGTGGCTCGGAACAGATTTCCTTTTTTTCGCCTTCTACAGGCACAAGAACAATCATGGGACCGGGAACCAGACCATCTGATTTCGTAATCATCATCCTCAGCCCCCGAGGGGAAACCGAGCTATATCTTTCCCAGCGTTAATATTTAAACCCTGCTGATCTTTAACCCACATTACGGTTAGAAGGTGCATGCGTACATGTACATTGCTTCAGGTTGATCGATGTTGACTTCAAGACCGTGGGAACGGGGAAGCTGCAGGATCAAACTTTGAGTTTGTTTTGAAAGCTCAAAAGCGCAGGATTGAGCTAGGATGCTTATAAACAATTGACAGTGAAGCATGTTAAAGTACTAAGCTGTTTCACATGCACGTTTTGGCTTTTCTGAACTGAGGATTTAATGTTTTGCTTGAGGATTTAATGTTTTGCAGGGTGAGTAAAGGGTTGATCCCCTCACCGGTTGCTGTATGAGGGGAATATATTCACCACAGCGGTCAGAAGAAAAAAAATACTGCAAGTGGAGAAGCAATCAAACAAGCCTGGAATTTCTCTTGGAGTCGTCGTGACGAACGCCGGTTACCAAAGAATGGATTAAGGTCAAAGGTTTAATTCGGTACAGCTTCGATGCGGCATGTTGAAAGAATCAAATTCGGAAGGACAGCTGTGACGGCGTATGGTTTGTCGATTCCCGACGTCATTATACACAGACGTTAAGGGGAACGTGATGGGGCCAAACAGTGTTTCTTTCCGGATATTAAATATGAAGCTATAAAGCAGGGGATATGGGCCAAATAAATTAGGCCCATTAGCTCTTAATTATTTCAGGTGGCAGTACAAGTCGCTAAAACTCTACAAATGGCACTGTCGCAACCCCCTTGACCTTCCAAGCATAATTTCTACACTGGAATGTTTCCACAAACCCTTCATCGTTTACAATGTGGTCCAAAACATTCGATAGACTATATTATATCAATTATCACACGAAAGCAAGTGGGACACCGAGTAATGTAGTGCGTCTGTGCCCCGTATACCACGACACCGAATTTATATATCAAACTTGGAGGTTGAGTTCTCGTTTTTTGAGGGATTGATAACACTATAATATAATTTGACCACCAGAATTGGAAGCCATTACTGCGGTGGCACAACCCTCGTAGATAGGTAGTACGCGCGCGTTACACTGCCTCTTCGATCAATAGGGTGTCGTGATTTGCCAAATGCACGCGCGCGTCAAGGTGGAGAATGTGCTCGTGAGTGCGGTACCAGCAAAGTTAGGGCGTCTAATCAGATTAGTCAATATGCCATTCTCCTGGAGTCCCTGAAGGGAAAGATAAAAATGAATTTGAAAAAAATGGAATTGAGGTCACTTAAGGTCAGTGTCCGTAAAACAAAGTGAGTAAACAAATGAAAGGTCAATTGCTATTAATTTGCCTTGGCCTGTTCCAGTTTAAATCAGTGTTTGGAAGCTCGGGGTACAATTGGATGTCTCTTTTTTCAGAATCCTGCATCACGGAATTTCCAAATTTCTCGAGCGAGGGCACGCAAGATGCAGCAAAGTTCGCTGGGACAGTTGTTACGTTGCGGCACGGGACGGTGAGACGATTGCCGTTGTGTCAGTCGCACAGGACACGCAACATCGCTTCCAATCAAGTTCGGTCTGCTTCGATGGCAATCTTAATGTGAAACTGCAGACTGGAAGCCTTTCTGATCATATCAGCCCCATTAAAATGAAAATGGCACTCAGAAGGAGACTTAATTTATGTGAAAGGGAAGCCTCCTTGAAGAGGAAAACAATTTGATCTTAACTTTCTGATACGAATTATTGGAACTTCTATTGTAAAATGTTTTACGCAAAACTAGAGCATTATACTGCTGCCATGTTGGAGTCAACACATATATAAAACAAGGACTTGAGCTGAAACGGCGAGATTTCAATCAGCTACATGTGTAGTTCACAAAATGTCTGACATCGGGCCAATTTATGGCGCTGTGAAAAAACGCGCACACTGGAGCTGTGTACGTCACAGTGTCTTCAGGCATTCAGCGGACATTGTCACTAAAAACCACTGTGCAACATTTTGAAGAATAAAAATAACATGAATTCAAAATATTCTTCGTAAGGGGCAGAGTCACACCAGCTAGGCAACTTTGAGACGACCAAAAACACACTACAAATGCCCACAGAGAAGGCAGTGTTCAAAACAGAAGTTTTCTCCATTATTTAGGATACGTGAAACCACCATTCCTTTCAGTGACAACTCCAGGCAAGGTAGGAATATGCTACGGTCTTACCGTAAATTTGAAGCTTGCAGGTGCTGCTCTCAGTTCTCTGGGAAACGCAAAATGTAACAGCTGCGTTGTAATCCTCGGCAAATGACATGAACTTGCGGAAAATCAGAACCGCCCTTAAGAGTTGAACAGAAACAGAAGCCCGAATTCGTGGAAGAACAGCTGTGCCGACCTTTACACAACAGAAATGTATCCCGTCACTGTGTGTCAGTGATGTCGCCCGAGATTTTCCCGAACCACAGGCCTAAAAATGTAAACAACCGGGGTCCAACTTGGAATTGACTCTGAGCCGAAAGTCGCGTGCGACGTGCGTCCACAGTTCCTGCATGGCCTCAAGTACATGCACTGGCAGATGTGCGATGCGACAGACGTGACTCATAATAACGCAATCTCTGACGCGGGACCCCTTTCATTATCAAAATACGCAGTGCTGCCAACCTGATCATGGAATTTGTGTCAATCACGCAAAGAGCACTTTCCAGCTATGCGAATTAAGACGGCTCCCCCGTGTGACTTTTGAAAATGCGTCCCCCCCCATCTCCCGCCGGGTCGGACCATTAAGCCCCTTTAAGGTCTTGAGTGTGCAGCAATAAATCTCATTGAAATTTGGCATAAATGTAACAACCACCTCGCCCTGTTCATCTGCAAGCCCTCAGTTGTTGTAAACGTGGCTACGGGCTTGTCACAATAACATGATTCTTCAATCATCAGTTTTGCTGTTCAGTCACTGAAAACATTAAGATTTCTGGACATCAAAACAACACCAATAAATTGAAGACACTGGTGATGGAATGTGCATCCAAGCCGATATATTGCAGAAAAAATGTTTTGCGTAAAAAGCAGAAACTACTGACCCGAAAATACAAGCTTACGGCTGCTTACGGCGCTCTCAGTCCTCCATAATAAAAGCAATTAATATAGATACATTAAACACTGTAGACGAACGTTTCCACTTTTTAGAAGATCCGCCGATCTCCGTTTTTGTAAAAAACGTTTAGCGGACCCTGTCAATAAGCAACATAAAGATTTTATGGCGCATTGTTCTGTCTTCCTTCCACCCTCCCCAATTTAAAATTGACCCCAACTCCGCCCACTATTACTTCTCGACACATGGCAGCGCCAGTGCATTTTGCATGGGCGAAACTGGACGACAGTGGCACGGTTCCCAACGTAACTTGTGACGATTCAACCTGGGTGGTATTGGAAACACGCCCTCTCACCGCGGCGAGGCCTTGCCAGCAAGGTCAGGAGTCGGCTGACGATATCCTGTGAGACGCTCTCACCTTGCCTTTGCCCTAGAGTGTCAAGGTTCCACCGCGCGCTGTCGACGGTGTCAAGTCAAGGTGACGTCAGATGGTGTGTCTTGTGTTTACATTTTGGAGTTTACAAGTCTGCAATGTTAGTCACTTACTGCGAAGTGCAGTTGGACGTTTTTACAGGTTTTCGGTGCATGTACATGTACATGTACAGTATAGCTACGTGTATGTATACGTCCCGTTCCACAAAAGCCATCACGATGGTCCCGGACGCTTTGGAAATAAGAAAAAACCATTTTGTGACGCTCGTAGTTGCATAGTTATACATAATAACCAATTTTGATCACGAAACGAAAAAGATTGCCCTTACCTAAGTCATCGTTATGAAAGTGCGATTTCTTCTTAAAACACACCAATCACCTTAAAACACATTGCCACACACTGATAAATCATACCCCCCCATCAGGGTAGGTATTGCTTTACATGTAGACCTAAATCATGCAATAAAAGTCTTCCCACGGCACTTGAAGCAAGAAATTGGAAATTCCGGTACAAAACTTGATTGTTCTTACCACATAGGAAACCCCTCATTAACCCCTCAAAGCCTCTATGACAAACAAATCTCAGCCGGTCCGAGAATTCACAGCTAAAAAACATAACCAAGCGTCAAAATCTCTCATTGTTAAAATCGTGAGTCATCCTTACTTGAGGGCGTTTAAAAACGTTCCCATGGTTGTAGGCCAGCAAATAGGTCCAACTCGTTTTCGCAGACCAAATCACGATAATAGGCTATCGATTGGATTCTCTGATATTAGGATATTTCGTGGCATGTGTGAACTGGGTGGTTTGTAAGAAGGGAGGATGGAATCTCCCAGCAGGACTGCCAGCTTGTATTTCTGAAGGTATCGGACAAAACGGGGCCCTCCAATTCGATCTATTTTGCAGTGGAGTGCAGGCATCAATTTTCAAATTGGCGATGGGCCTCTTGATTATTTTGAGGGATGTTTGTCTCTGGAGAGAAAATATCTTCAAAAGTCATTGGTTAAGCACTGAAAATTGCAAGGAACATGAAAGCTTATTTACCAGGAGGCATGTGGTCTAGTGAGTAAGGTTTGTAGCTTCTGATCATAGGGTCAGGGGTTCGAATCCAGCTGATGGAAGCATGTTGTAATCCTGGGCAAGTCACTTTACCCCCATGTGCCTCTCCCCACCCAGGAGAAATGGGTACCTGTGAGGGCAGGCACGGTTATTTGGCCGTTTGTGCCAAAATGGCAGCGCCAGGCTAGTATACTCCCCAGGTAGCTGAGATGGTTTCAGGAATTTTCAGATGATGTGTGAGCCCAATGTGCCGGGACAATGATAATACAGCGCCTCGGAATGGTTTGCTGGATAGAGGGCGCTTTACAAGTGCTTGTTATTATTATTATTGCTAGTCTACAACCCGAAGTTCTTTACTGAAATGATCAATGTGGGATCCAATGGAAAGAGTGACAGGGCAATTTCATCTACAGTGACCGGAAGTGACAAACAAGGTGCTGGAGTTATAATACCAAAATCTTTGTTGATCAATAAAAACGTGGACAGAAACTTAAGTTTTATGAAACGTGGCGTTTTATTTTAAACACAGGGAAAGGAATGTTGTACTGGAAGTGCCATATACAACTGTCATGAAAACGACAGTGAGACAAAAAGGAAAGAAATCAACAAATGTCTAATGAATGTTGCCAATTTGGCTCTGAAATGAAGATCATTTTTGACTCTTGACGTTACCATCAAATACAAACAGCGCGCTTTAGAGTTTTCATTAATTATACATAAACGAAAAAAGTTGAAAAATCGTTTGTTTGGTACGCTTAGGTTTTTTTTAAGTTTAAAGGTCAGAATTTAAATAAATTGCCAAGACGTAAAACAGAAATATAAACTAAGAAACGAACAAGCAAATCGGGAGCAGTGAAGGGCGATTTAGAAATTAATTTGTTGAGAACGGGCTGACGCAGAACTGGGCCACAGACGGTTATTCATGCAGTATAGGCTGGTGGGAGATCACCCTCCAATAAATTCACACTAAGGTCAACAGAGAACTGGCTACGAAGTAAAACAAACACAGAGAAAAAAACTACTGGGTCAAGATCACTTTATAGCAACTTTGAATGAAAATATATGCACCCTTGCTGCCCTGTGCTGCATGTATAGCACCACTACGGTATGGCACACTGGTAGTAATGACTTTCGTGGAGGAAAAAAAAAATAAATCCACTCGTACAAAAATGAGTTACATGGGGGCGTCCCTACTGATGACTCCAAAGATTTCTTATTCATTCTCCGCTACGTTTACTCCGCTTCCAAATCCTCCAAATCGTCATCATCTTCTTCATCATCTTCTTCTTCTTTTTCCTCGGCGCCTTCGGGGTCGTCTACCCCATCTGCGTCCTCAGCCGCTGCGAGCGGGTCAGCGGTCGGATCGGCCTCGTAGCCTTTCGACTCGTGAAGGACGTCGGCGTCGCCTTCCTTGTAGACGGGGGAGGCGTATTTCTCGTCGGGGCTCTCCACGTCGAAGCCATAATCTTCGCCGTAGTGGTCCTTGGAGTCTGTCTTACACTCTCCTGTGTTGCCACAAATTTGAAAGGATGGATTTATCTTTTTAATTACTGAGGGTTAAACCGATTTTCTTCTGTTGATGCTCTTTTGGGGGTGGATAAAGGAAGGTGCAGTGGTGGAGACAGGTGACGCTTACGGTGCATCGGAGGTGTGACTGGTCAACGGGTAAAATTCTAGAATTTGGACTGCATGATTTACGGTCTCATCACTGTATTGCGCATGACTTCGAGTGGGAATTTTATCATGTGAAACCGGTGTGATTGTGTGAGCTGAGACAATGGTGTTGCTCATGGTGGGTGGGGACAAGTAGGATTGAAGTGCTGGGTTTGCCATTAGACCTAGGTGGCTCAGTTCATATAGACTGATGTTGTAATTGGGGAAGGGGCCGGGACCAGGTGAATCAGTGATGACCGACCTGGAATCCACTTTCATAGGCTTAGAAGAAAATTTTAGTAAGCCTATATGCTAAGCTCATATTTATCAGACCACTTGTTACAAGCAATATCATCATGACATTGGGGCCGGTAACCTGTGTTTTTCTTGGCAAATGGATTTTTCTACGCTTTGCAGTTGTCCAACTTCGGCAGCTCTATGAAATTGACCCCATGAAGTGGTAGTGTTAATATAAGATATGTTGAGGTTTTTGGTTTGAATCGTTTCAATCGTTTTCCCTACAACTTTCTCGGTAGGCCTAATTGTGCTTTTTTGGTGATGGATTAGGATAGCTGATCATTTATTGAGACTGACACTGGGGCTTTCTAGTTGTTCAACAGTTTTTCGGTGTGCCTATCATAGACTTAATGTTTTCCAGACCGATTAAAGAAAGCCTTTCAGTCTTCTAAACGGGAAAGTGCACAAACTCAAATTGATAACCTACCGTCGACACAGTCCTCCGACGCCTCCATATCCTCATCGTGGGGCTCACCCTTGCAAGGACAGCGTCCATCGCACACCTTGAAGATGGGCCGGCCAGGGTTGTGGCACGCGCTCTTGCACAGGAAGCAGTCATTCATGTGACTCATGCCGTCGTTGGAGCAAACCATGCTCACCGTTGGCGGGCACCTGAACATGCAGGGGTCCTTGTCGATCAGGCCAGCGATATCTGGGATGAGAAAAGAAAAAGAAGAAATCTGCGGTAAGAAATAATGAGTAAATACAAATAGCACCTGCTTGTCGACAAGAACGGTGAAAACAGGGGGAGCATTTTGGCTGACCTGCACCGGTGTCATTATGACAATGACTGGCTCAAACAACCAGCAAGCCATTTCTGTTGAGCAGTAAAAACAGTTAGGCTATGTTGATGAGGATTCAAAGAGATGAAACATCTAGAAATAACACATTGCATAAGACTTGGAGAAACGTGTGCGCCTTATTTGACAGATCTGAGACACGCTGAGGGAGGGAATTAATTTTCCTTGTCATAGTGAAGAGGAAAGTTCAGGAAAACTGTAGTCCATCCGAACCTCACAATGCCATGTTGGGACTGAGAATTCCACTTGACATGCTTTGTATGACGTTTTATTACAACCTCGTGTAAAATAATCACGTTTTGCCAGCCCCGCAGTAACTATCTTTGGAAAATAAATTCAAGGATTTGGGAAATGCAATTGAGAGGTGGGAATATGGTTTATCATGAATGAATGTGCAATTTCATTTTGATCACCCCCAAAGTTACCTTGTATTCCTGTGTACTTAATTACTTAATTTCATCGATGGAAATACACAGATCTATGCCTACCCATAGCCCCGGCACTTGCTTTGCATTTTGGGAAGTATGGAGCGTCGTCTGTCTCTGCCGCCCCCAACGTCGCAATGAGGAGAAGAACAGTACCGACCGCAACTGCATGGTTTGTTGAACGTAGACGACACAGCCCCGGATCTCCCATTCTTGTTGCAAGAAGCCTCCCCGAATACCCTGTTCAGAAACCAAACAGAGACCTTTTGAAAAAAAATTATATAATACAAATTATCACTAATTTATTAACTTGCCACCAGCCACCACTGGTTGATGATACATTCTCATTGCTCCCTTTGGATTTGATTTGGTTGATTTGAAGTATAAAAGCTGCCTTGTTGAGCAAAGATTAGGATTTCAGTAGTTTGTAGACGCTGTTTTAAAACAGATCCTCAGTCTGGGAAACGTGTATCAATCCAGAAATATAAGTAAAAGGATATATAAAGTGGACGAAATCCTATAAGAGTGACAAAGTTGTGTTCTTAGAAACCATGCAGTTTCCCACGATGGTTTATGTAAACGCTGCTAAAATATTCAGAATATTTAAAAAGCGAAACGCCATGCATCCTCTATCGGATAGTACTTAATTATACCCATATAATAACGACTATCTAATTCGTACTCATTGTCAGAAGTGAATATGTTAATACTGATGAATCAAACAGCGCAGATAAATCAACAGATTTGAACGTGGCACAACGAAGAACATTGCCACAGGTTCTGGATTTATATCTGATATACATGTACCCACCTTGGAAAGTGATGAAGTCTCCCAGAGCAAAGAGATGAACGTCGCTAGGAGATGNTGGAATAAGGCCGGCAAAGATGTTTGCAGAATTGCTTTGTGCGCTTTCGTCAAACTCTGTGATACACGTTGTAAATAACTATCACCTCAGCTACAACGCAGCTATTTAATGCCCCTAAAATCGCTTCATGAGTTTGAAAACTGTGCTCTTTCCTGTTGCTTTTCGGCCACGTGTCTGAAAAATTTAGTAATGCTAACGTGTAACGTCGTTATAGGGCCCAAGCGGATCGATCGGACTACAGCTGGGTTGGATTAAAGAGAGAAATTCCTTTCTTGAAAATGAGGAAGTGTAGATTCAGATATATTTATTCACAGCGGAGAGCGAGCTGTTTCAGAAAACAGAGGACTCTTGGGACGGTTGAGGTAGGCAATTTCGTGAGTATGACGCCGATTCACGCAAAAAGCAAAATGTATTAAATGGTAGACGCACTGTCCTGTATTCGAACCGGGGGAAAGTTGACTATAACCATCACTTTAAATTCCAATTCATTCAATTTAGAGAGAAAAATCAATAATAGACATGCACGAAATCAGGGACGCGGGTGGGGTATATGTGGTCTCCCGTGATTGGTTCGTTTGTGTAAGGGTCAACCGCTCTACAGCAACAGGTGTGCTCATTCCCATAAGCGGGCTGCCATTTCATTGCATGCTGGCAAAAATCAGGACTTAGGTTTTCTACGAGGGTTAACCCTAATGATGCTGAACAAAAACACCATCACACTGATATCCAGTATAAAAGAGCATTTCTTTTAGTCCCAATCTGATCACAATAATGTGAACACTCTTGGTGCCGTGCAATAACAAGTTATATATCAGTATAAAGCAAAATGATTTGGCGCAGAATCTCATCGCGTTCCGTGCATCGATTCTTCATGTACACCTAACAGGCTGCTTTTCTATCTGCATTATGTTGTTGAGTAATGCTGGGCCACAGAAACACGAGGGAACAGAGAGAGTAGGCTACAGACCGGGAGATTCGTGCTGGTTCACAATCCGCCAGTGAAACTCGATATACACCTTATTGGTTCAAATTCAACTCGACACTCAAGCTGACTGACTTAGCGAAGCGTATGAAAGCCTACCACCCTCAAACACAAATTTTCAAAGTGTTCTTTCGCCGCGGAGAGTCACTGTCTCGCATTTACCAATTCCTATCTCTCCCTCCATAGCACTTTGACAACATCTTTCAGGGTTGTGAGCCCTTTACACGTATCGATGGAAGTTGTGTGGGGTTGGACAAAATAATGGTAGTTGTGGACAAACAAAACAAAGACTTAAAACCAAACAAAAACACGGGGAAACATACAAAAACAAACAAACAAACAAACAAACAAACNTGGCCGGCAAAGATGTTTACAGAATTGCTTTGTGCGCTTTCGTCAAACTCTGTGATACACGTTGTAAATAACTATCACCTCAGCTACAACGCAGCTATTTAATGCCCCCTAAAATCGCTTCATGATTTTGAAAGCTGTGCTCTTTCCTGTTGCTTTTCGGCCACGTGTCTGAAAAATTTAGTAATGCTAACGTGTAACGTCGTTATAGGGCCCAAGCGGATCGATCGGACTACAGCTGGGTTGGATTAAAGAGAAAAATTCTTTTCTTGAAAATGAGGGAGTGTAGATTCAGATATAGGTATTCACAGCGGAGAGCGAGCTGTTTCAGAAAACAGAGGACTCTTGGGACGGTTGAGGTAGGCAATTTCGTGAGTATGACGCCGATTCACGCAAAAAGCGAAATGTATTAAATGGTAGACGCACTGTCCTGTATTCGAACCGGGGGAAAGTTGACTATAACCATCACTTTAAATTCCAATTCATTCAGTTCAGAGAGAAAAATCAATAATAGACATGCACGAAATCAGGGACGCGGGTGGGGTACATGTGGTGTCCCGTGATTGGTTCGTTTGTGTAAGGGTCAACCGCTCTACAGCAACAGGTGTGCTCATTCCCATAAGTTGGCTGCAATTTCATTGCATGCTGGCAAAAATCAGGACCTACTTACTGCGAGGGTTAACTGATGATGCTGAACAACAATACTATGCGTCGCAGTGATATCCAGTAATAGAGAGCATTGGTTTTTGTCCCAATCTGATCACAATAATGTGAACACTCTTGGTGCCATTCTTAACACAGTGCAATAACAAGTTATATATCAGTATAAAACAAAATGATTTGGGGCATAATCTCATCGCGTTCCGTGCATCGATTCTTCATGTACACCTAACAGGCTGCTTTTCTACCTGCATTATGTTGTTGAGTAATGCTGGGCCACAGAAACACGAGGAAACAGAAAGAGTAGGCTACAGACCGGGAGATTCGTGCTGGTTCACAATCCGCCAGTGAAACTCGATATACACCTTATTGGTTCAAATTCAACTCGACACTCAAGCTGACTGACTTAGGGAAGCGTATGAAAGCCTACCACCCTGAAATACAAAATTTCGAAGTGTTATTTCGCCGCGGAGAGTCACTGTCTCGCATTTACCAATTCCTTTCTCTCCCTCCATAGCACTTTGACAAAATCTGTCAGGGTTGTGAGCCCTGAACACGTACCGAAGGAAGTTGTGTGGGGTTGGAAATAATAATGGTAGTTGTGGACAAACAAAACAAAGACATAAAACCAAACAAAAACACGGGGAAACATACAAAACCAACAAACCAACAAACGAATGAACCCAACATAAACATGCCCCTAAAACAAACAAAACAAAAACCAACAGAACAATTCAAATTAAGGGGTTCCGTAAAAAATATTAAAGTCTTAAAATAAAATTAAGATAAATGAGACAATAGGACACAAAAGTCACAAATATTGACACAAATGGTTCAATTTAACTCCCGGGGAGCTTATAATATTTCTTATTTAGATATTCAGACAAGACAAAAGAACAACTTGTATCATAAAACATTGAACGATAGTAGGCTATTACATAAGAATAAAATCCACACAAATCCACACAGTGGACGCAGGCCCATTCTGCTATACATGTAAAACCAATATTTACATTCGTCAATTTAAAGGTGATACCAGAATAAGCATTTCCCTCATCATGTTTTCTTTTCCTTTAATTGATGAATTTCCACTATTTTCGAGAATTTAGATACCTTGCATGGGAATCAGTTATCTTTTAAATTTTGGGGAATTATATTTTTTTTCAATAGGAAATAAAAACAACAAAATTCAGCCCATACTTCTTGAGGAATTGTTGGTAGGCCAATGTAAAGAAAGTATTGAAGTTCACGATTTTTTAGAAGTATTACAGTCATGCAAAATAGCCATTGGGAGCAAGGGTCATGTTGTTTCAATAAAACTGGGACATAGATTCTCGGGATACTCCAAGAAGAGTAAACCACTCCCCCAGTTGAGATCAGATCATTCCCGACTTAATTTCTCACTTCAGTAGAGACAGAAGGATCCAGAGTTGTACAATTTCATAAGGGAGTATACTGGCTGTTAAGGACACGGTCCTGAAAAAAACAACAAACATAATTTACGAAGACACGTCTAGAATAAGGTCCCAGAGCTACAGTTACGTCTATAATCAGGATGTGCCCAGCTCGACTATAAGGCGTATCTCTAGTTCAAGGATTTATAAGTGTTATTTTCCCGAAAGATCTTTGCTTAGCATATCAGGATCAAATACATTTTGATATTAAGTAGGTCATTTTCGAGCGCAGCAGTCTACTGAAGCTAAAGCTATAAATCATTTACTATTGTGAATGGTGAAGGGGTTGAAGGAGGCTGACAAGTTTAGAAAGACTTCACTCAAATTGCTCGAACTGAAGACTTGGACCACGCTAACTTGCACACAATTGTTGATGCTCACCTTTTCCGAGGCAGAAGCCACCAGGAACGACACCGGCACCGGGGGTGGGATCCGGCACCGGCACGAGGCTAGACGCCGCCGCGCCCGCTGTCCCCCTCTGTCCACACGGGCAGAACCCGTCGCAGGCCTTGTGCAGGTCCTTGTTGCTGCATGCGGTCTTACAGAGGATGCAGTCATTGAGGTACTCCTCTCCGTCGCTGCCGCAGACCGGTCGGTAGCGCTGGGAGCAGAGGATGGCCGAGCAGTTTTCTCCCATGCTGGGAACAGCTGGCGAGGAAAGGGTGTTTTAATATGCATTTTTTTACAGACGAAATTCTGCTATCTTTACAATACCAACATTCGACATCTTGAACAGGTTGGAATTTGCATCCAATGATTGTTTCCTTTAATTAACAGATCCTACAAGTCTGTAGTTATATGCGTCTTTGCAATATGCATCATGAGGCCCAAGACGTCTTGCTGAAAACCAACCTGTGACAGAGTTTCTACAGCCGGGATAATAATACCGACTTCCCGCTGTCACGCCACACAAGATTGGGAACAACGTAATGAGGAGAAGGCTAGCCATCACGAGCTGCACCAAGGAATAACGAAGGTGGTACCTGTATCTCTGAAGAAAAAGAAAAACACGAGGTCAGTTTGGCGCTTTTAACCGGCTCTCCTTGCGGGAATGTGTCCCCGCACGTCCTCCCGCCAGGGCCCGGTTTCTCCCCCGAGAAATCGGACTGTGCACTGTGATACGGGGAAGTAGGAGGAAGGCCCCATCCCTGGGGTCCTCCCAACTGGAAAAAAATATCGGCTATTTGTCACTTTAAAAAGACTAGCCGAGGTTGTGTCGACTAATAATGGGTAGGTCTATTGGGAGTTTGGTCCGATGGTGTGATGGGGGGGTGCCCACATAGAAGACGGCTGTCAATCTCAGAATGGCATCATCTTCCGTTTTATCATTACTGGTCATCGCAAGTGTTAGGATCCAAAGATGGCGCCTCCAGACCTCTATGGCGATGGCCTGAATATCCGTAATTTATTTGAAGCGTCGGTTTAGCAAAAAAAAGACTAAGGACTCTCTTTATTCTTTGAAATTTAAATCACAAACAGAGACGAGATTTACAATCATCGCAAGAGCTCTCAACCTACTTCTCCAGACAGTGTACCACTGTGGCAACAACAGCACCTTCATTTGGATTTTTCTCTCAACAGTAAACACACAAAAGAAGGGTCACTCACCCACTGCCGAATCAAATATTTTTCCATGAAAACAAAATTTATAAATCCGAAACGAAACGAAAGTCTTTCACGCACAATAAATCTCTAAATGATTAGTGTAGACTGTCATCTTCGATGTTTGGGTAAGCCATGCAGAGCTGAAGATTCTACCCGAACTGACACACTGGTGATACTTGCCAAATGGTATCGCTCTTTGTATGAAGACAGCAAGAGCGCAATGAATCGGGTATAGTTTCGTAAGTCTGAATCATACGTGGATTGTTTTGGGCCCTTGTCACATGAACCTAGAATTATTGATTACAGGAGAAAAAGAGCATGCTGTGATATTGTTTTGCTGCTGTGGAGTGGTGTGCCATTGATTGTCAGATCAATATTAAGGTCGCTGCATCCATGCCATTATCAATGTCACGTGCTCCATTGTTTGATAGCAATTCCGTCGGTCAAAATAAATTTAGTTTGTGTATACTCCCAGGTTGAAATAAGACATATGGTGGGGGTTTTTCATCCCCAACTTGAATCGGTACAGGTTTTCCTGGAATTCTTATCTTCACATTTCCAACGGGACCTACTATTCTTCATCGTCTTTTGTGCATGGGCTCCTGCGTTCCGGGTTGCTGCAGTGCCATCGAGCGTTTAGTTGGTCCTTAGTTTCATTAGCAGAAATACAGTTTGTTCTTGCAACACTGCATACTGCAGCGTCTATGCCAACGATACAGACGAACTATTAATATCACGGCGTTGCTAAGGCTCCCCAAAAGACTGACCATCCATCCACTCAAAAGGATACCGTGCACAATATGGGGTTGATGGGTCCCCCCCACATGTCCAATCCCGATACACACTCTAGACTATTGTTACCTAACACATCCCCCCCAGATGTCTGTAAGTCCTGAGATTCCGATCAAACAATGACCAACACAAAGGCGGGGGGGGGGATTCTCTCCGCCCCATATCTTGCAGCACACGCTCAAAAACCCGAAGAAACCTGTACAGAAAGAACAGAATGAAGGTCCAGTTTTACAGTAGGAAACCCACGAAAAACATTCAAAGGAAAACCCATGGAATCGGGTATGGTGACCTCCTTAACCGATTCCCGTCCCATTGGCATGTACATTCAGTTTTTCTTTTTGATCGTTCACTGAAGGTTTTTGGGGGAACATGTAGATATACACATGTCCCACACCATCACGAACGCGATGGAAGAAAGCTTTCATTATAAGTAACGCCACGGTTCTATGGAGCTTAATGGTCTCAGTAGGCATGGCAGTGGAAAGATAAATGGGGATGGAAGGTACATTTTTTGGAGAGGGGGTAACTTTTGAAGGGTAACAGCTTGTCCCTGAAGGGATTATATATAATAATGTACAATGAATTCATTTTTTTTCAAAAGAGTTTCATCGCAAAAGAGGCGGTCTTTTAGTCTTAATTATCTTTCGTCGTCGGCGCAAACAGCGTAAAAATGGAACTCGAAAGCGACAAACGCGTCACGCGTCATTTGGTTTAGAGTCCTAAACGTCAAACTTTTAAAGCAACGTTGAACAGGTTTGGGATTGCTCCACCTGCGGTCCATAAATCGTAGAATTATTTTGTCTAAGGTGTGGGCGGAGTTATGTCCACCAATGGGAACATTTTCTAGTTCTCTTTAATTCGGCGCTTTAGACTGTAAGGAACTCAGAGCTATAAAAGTGAGGAAATTGTTTACAAGTTTTCGCAGGTCGTCACCCACCTCATAAACGCAATCAGACGATTTGGTTGTGAACGGTACGGTGGAGTGAAACCCTGCTATTCCTACATACGAAACGACTGCTTCCGCGCCTCGACACCAGGGACGTAGTTTGGCAGCCAGGTAAGAGTTTACCTTTTATAGTTGTCATCGATTTTCGTTCTTTGGTGCAAACAACCCGAAAATAGAAGCCGGTGGAAGGAGACAGCACAAAACCATTACCATCTCCTTGAACTAATCGTGTATGTGTATGGTTACAAGAGGTGTAACAGATGCGACCGACGAACGCGTTTGCTCTGATTGCGGCGGTCAATCCATGAAGAGAAAAACCAAAAATAGCTGCTGACGGAGTTTGGATGTACGGCAGATGGAGGCACATCGTGACCTTCGCGAAAGCAATTTCACAAGCACCAACATCTTTTCTGAAAGTTTGTGGGAACAAAATACATGCACGAATGATTGGGAACCCAATCGCTTTGCTGTCCACATAGTGCCTATATCCTACGTCGTAACCACTCGACCTAGGGCTTATCGGATTCACTGGCTACTCAAAATCTCATACATCACTATGGAGGCGATGGCGTGAAGAAGTGTGGCCCTAGTGGTTAGGTAATGTAGCCCCCTTATTACACTGGGTTGGGGGAGTTGGTTACATGTCTGGAACCTTGGACTGTTACTTTACCTCTACTGACTTGCCTTTCTCCACCCAGAGGTTTGGGCGTACCTATGAGAGCAGAGATGGTGTCGTGTTTAATAAGTGCTCACGCCAGAATTGAACTGTACACGCGTCCTTTAAAGCTGATACGTTCCTCACCAGTATTTATGGGCCCGCTGAGCAGGGATAATAATAGTGTAGCGCCTAGACCCTAAAAGAGCTGGGTTATTTTGACCCATCTCACAGCCAGGCGGCGGCCCTTAAGAACTCGGATGTGCCATGCCCGAGTTTTTCTGAACCGAGCATATAAAATGTATACATTTTTGGCTATCCGTCCCCGGAAAATTCACTCTGCCCGAGAACGGTGTGTTATTTTTTTTGCAAAAATGGTGTCAAAATGACCGCAAAGATTAATACCCCTTGAGGCTCAACTCCTGCACTGCGGCGATATCTGAAAAATATCGAAGGGAGGGGGCGGATTCTGCCCCGAGCTCTTTCAGGTTGGAGTACTGGTTGATGCATGCCTTTGTAAACACGAGACATTATCACGTTCAATGCAGTCAGTTAATCGGAGAAGCACTAACCACACGGTACAAATTTACAAAAGGAAAAGCGGAGGCCAGAAAATGGTTTGGACTTCCTTACCCATGCTCAGACAGGCCTCGTCGTTAATCAGGAAGTACGGGTTGCGGTGGTGCTTTTCCGCACAAAATAGGAGCGTAAACACAGTTGGCTCATTACAATAGTTTTGCTTGCTACCCTTTCTACGAAAAGCTGGGGGTTACGAGTTCAAGGCGAAAACACAAGTCGTAACTTTGTCAACAGGTAGCCTTAGGTCCTTCAAAAGGCGAGCCAATTTGCATATTGGTTGATCGAAATGGATCTCAAGGGAGACCTTCCGTTGTTTCTGGGCTACGGTCGTCTTTTGGCACACCGTTGACGGGCAAACTGACAAAAGGCGAGCGAATCAAAAACTGTTTTGTAGTACATGTACTTATTATTCGGTATGTTTCACTTTGCCATGAAAGCATCAAATAATACTTCTAACAATGAATAACACTCATGAAAGTAATCCACCCTCTTTAAATTTGGGTTAACTTTCTGAGGCCGATCCAGGCATCGAACAAGGATAAAATTCACGCAAATGTTGGTCGCCCATACAAATTGTGTATGATTGAGGTCTATGCCCAAGGCCGCCGCGATAGATCGGATTATAGATAAGAAAACCAAACGACGTTTTCTTTCGCTCGTTCGATCGTTGGTATGAATGATAATGAACTCAAGCACGTGAAGTTGCACTTTGAGGTCAGTGCTGTCAAACCAGTTGACCGTCTCTCCGTCAAGGTTGATGAGGCCATGCGAGCAGGCTTGAAAACAGGACACGGGTTGACGATACGGTCCACGGTTCAAGGGGCCCCACACTCACAGATGGCATATTTTTTTTCAGCACAGACCTCTTTGCCAGTGAGTACATGTACAAGCAAAACTTGCCAGTCGAAGGCCGGTGAAACCAACCCGCTTTGCATTATTTACCGTGGCGTTTGGTTGTTGCACGCAGCTATGATGGAAGGATAAACAAGCTAAACGGAAGGATATATTGCCTCTCTAGTCTACTCTGTCTAGTGTGCTGCTTGCTTGGACGAGACCTGACATGGATAAGCTTAGAAGAAAAAAAATTAAAAATTTGTACAGCATGTTTGGTAGTGTACACCATTGGTAAAGTCCTCCAAATCGGACTACCGTATAATCCTGAAATATCCTACTCGAAAGTAAGTACACAACAGTCTCAATCAGTCTGTAAAATATTTCCGTCCTGAATGCAGTAGCTTTCGAGAAAACAGAAATTTTGTTCTTTTTTTTCATGATGGTGGGCCGACCATCGTATGAGAGTTCATTTCACTTAATTCGCAGAACACATGCTTTAAAAGGCGCTAAATTTCTCGTGTGTAGTGTTTGCCGATGTTGTTGGCGTCTCCTTTAATGAAAAGTTAAACCATAAAGCAACCAAAAATACACCGACAGAAATTTACCAAACGCATTGTTAACTGAAATTATTGGTAATTGCGTGTAAGGTGTAAAGTAGGAAATAAATTGGATCAGTGTGAAGTTAAATTTTACTTACGGAAGGGATTTTTCTTAATGCGAAAACTTTGGGAACTAAAATCACCCCTAGAGCATAATGGTATGGTCGAAATATGGTGGCTGTATCCGAGCTGCCTCGTGAAAGGATTTTCGTCAACCAAAAGTCCGATTTCTGCACGTTAACCCTCCCGTGTTTCAAGTCATAGTTTCCTCTTTGCTTGTAATTATTAGTATAGTCAACAAAGAATGGATTTTCTACACTTCCATTGATGTGTACACTGAAGTGAAAGTGTATCATTATAAGCACGATCGTGCGCGCACGTGCATCATCATGCAGGCCGATACTCGTTTCAGCGTTCCTGGATGAAGTTTTTCATGAATCCGCAATGCTACCTTGTTGAGGAGGCGCAAATTCACTGATTACTTCAGGCTGTTGAAAACTGCTCCTTTTTAAGGGAAAGAGAACATGTCTTGCCTGTTTCCCACCTTGACCCAGCGGATGTTGTTCGCTTACTATATGAACGCCCTGTAATTCATAGATTTTACGCAAGAAAAATTACAAGGACTTCGATTTCACCGTTGAAAATGATGCACTGTTTTTGTCGATTTTTCACAGAGAAGTTGACTCAAACAAGTCAGCGGAATGTAAGTTGCAGTGAATATCGTACACCGTAATTTTATGAAATTACGACCAAAAAACAAATGGTGTACACTACCTATAAGTCTTTCGGGCAAGCATAATGGCTTCTATCATTTTCCTGTACATTTTGTGCATAAATGCAAAACTGCTTTCATAATCTCGTAGACCTTGTAAACTAACGAATTGAACTGACTCTTTTCCTGTTTTTTCGAAACCTGTAAACGAACCTCGCTGTCCACATTCCAGTTTTGACTCTGTATATGACTCATACACCAGTGACTCTTTTCAATCTGCAACATTCACTGCGTGGACCGTATTGAAAAGACTCTGTCACGCTGCAAGGTTTCGCATTCGAATATTATGCCATACTCAGTGTGATAGCCCTAACCGTCGTTTCACGCTTTGGCAGGGTCTTTCGGTCTTACTCGCTGTTTGGTTCTTGTTTTTGTAACACCGAGAAGGAGACTTTGGTAGGCTTTAAAAGTCTGATGAAATAATACCAGCTCTAACGGAGACGACAAAAACCTGTATTTGATCTCGCGGCTACAAAAAACTGTTCCTAGAACAGGAAGACAACATTTCAACAGGGGACCTTAAAGTGAAACTTAAAATTGCCAGGTGAGAATAAGGAGATCTTGCTCCGTATTTGAAAAGAAAATTTAGCCATCTCGTAGGGAGCCATCGGTTGATTACCGAGGCTCATTTCACTGTGTATGACCTTTAGTACGATGAGAAGACGCCGTGGTGGTTTTTTTTAGCAGAAGCTAACATTGTACCACGACAGGGTGGTAAACAAGTTACATAAAAACCCCGATCGGTAGAGTTGAATCAAATAGCTCTATTCACTAACCAGTCCCTTAAAGGTTGTTAACATTCCATTGACATATACAAAATGAGACTCTTTCAGCATAAAGCGTCTTGTAAACGAAAAACCACCATCGAAACCCTTCGACCCGAAAACGCCAAACTTGAGCCGTGTATACAGACCTCCTGGAAAGTCGATGCCAAAGACAGACTGCCAAATCAGCGAGGCTTGACACACGAGGAACTGCCCAGCTCCTACTTCATGCGACCGTGTCCGTGGCGAGCTTACTGAAAATCGATCTACATTTTGCAGATCGGTTTTCAGTAATATCAGGAATTTTGATGAGAGTTGCAATAAGACCAATGAGCGTGCCACTTGAGACACGAGGAAGCACTAGACTAAATGCGTACCGCCAGATCGTCTCTGCTTTATCACAGTAGGGAATGATGAGACCACACTGCCATACGGTGGAATGCTGTCCTAAGACCTTCGGGTCGCCTCTGTACCATTCACGTCGTAGGCCTAGCACACTTTGACTGGATGTTTTACGGTTACCCCTTAGTTGTGTCCTCGTTTTAATGTAAGATTTTTGGATCTCTCCACTGTCCCTCATGCTACATGAAAAATTGACGTGGACGACTGAAGTTTTTGAAGGAGGAGTCATGGGTGTACTTCTCCGATTTCTCCTCTAAGGTCGGATGTTCTTTCCCGCTTCATCAATCACAGCTTGCCAGAACTATGGAAGGCAAGCGGTCGGTTTCTAAATCCCAGCTAGCTCTGGAGGAGGGTGTTACTTCCAAGACGCCCAGCAAGATTCCCTTTCTTCTGGCGGGAATATTCGTAGCGACCACCGTGGCCCTGCTGATCACCACTAGTGAGTATGAAGTCCCAACCCTACTCTGCCTGAACCTGTCAGCTTACATCGAGTCACACACTACAGGCGCTTCTCTTATTGGCCCATTTATGACATCTTGGTTTCCTCCGTAACGGTATTTTCCTACTACAGTTTCAAGTCTACACTCATTATTTTAGAGACAATACTGCTATATTTGTCAGGTTCTCAGTCACAGTCACAGAAGGTGCATAAGTAGAAGCTGAATAATTCTTCGGCTGAGGCCACACCGCAGTTAGAGCGTAAGCCTGGATTTCAGAAAAGGTCATACGAACGTCTTTTAGGGTTACCTCTATTTACGTATGCATAGATAGGGGAATTTCAGTCATGCATGACCATCCACTGCGGAAACATAGGTTGGCCCTAATGTAAAAGATGCAGATTAGGTCAAAACGGCCTCATTGAACTTGCCTGATTTTTTTTCTTCAATTAATTGATTTTGCCGGCCTATTTTTACAGTTGTGTTCGCCCTACAGAAAAACCACATTGCCAACATGCTGGAGCAATTGATGAAAGGCACCAGTAAACCACACGAACCTGGTCCGCGTCCTATTTGCACCACAAAGCAGTGCTATGACTCCGGTAAGACATAGTTGGCACATGCGCGATACAAAGGGTGGTATTCGAGACATGACGAATGTTTAGAGATGAAGACCTATCAATGACAGGGGTGGCGAAATGACATGGGCACAGTCGGGCATACCCTAGTGGTCTCTTGATGTACATGTATACATAATGATGCGCCTATACCACGCAGGGAGTATATATCCTTTAGATCTCAGGCTGGATTCAGTTTCCAGTTAAAAGCAACAGAGCTGCACAGTGATGACAGTTATGACTTCGGAGAGAGTTTTGAATTTCTTTTAAAATGCCAGTTTTTTTTCAGTTTCATGTAATCGATGATGAACTTCAAATTTACGCTACACCAAGGAGAAAATTTAGCCCACTCTAGAGTTTAAAAATGGAATCTTAACCCATCTGGGTACTTTGGGCGCTGGCGTTCATATTATTTATGGTGTCCGTATCGATATTGTCTGAGCCCAGCGTTCCAGCCCTTACGGATTAGATCTAGTAATGGCACGTGGACATTGACAAGCCAAAGACTTACTTTCTCTCCTTCGATCAGCTTACCTTTATTTGAGTAACATGGATCAGACCAAAGCGCCTTGTGATAATTTCTTCGACTACGCATGCGGCGGTTGGACTAAGCGCTACACAGTTCCAGAGGACCAGACCCGATTTTCCACGTTGACTAAACTGAGAGAAGGCGTGGCAGACAGGCTGAGAGGTACATAATGAAACATTCATATCAAGTTGAAGACTGTTATCCTGTTGCCTCTTCCTCTACTTCTCACTAAATGTTCAAAGCACATTTTGGGCGGGATTGACGTCAGCTTTGTAAATAAGCAGTCTCATTTTTATTTCTGACACAAGTTTGGTTACCATCGTTGCTGACATCATCATTGGTGACAATACGCCAGAGTTGCTATTGAATACTTTTGCAAACTTTTGAGGAAAGGTCTATACATTGAAACCTAGACCGTTCCACTCACCCTTTCTTATTTTCGATCGTGCACTGATTTGAAATAATTATAAATTCCTATGATGCATTTGATCCTTTATTTACACCAGTTTTATTCGAACGAAGCCCGACTCTCGGCGAGCCTGACTCATATCACATTGTGAGAAATGACTACAAGTCTTGCGAAGACATGGGTAAGTTATCGCATCCATTAAGCTACCGAATTTTCGAGTGCAGAGACAGTTTTTGCCTCTAGTTTAAATTGTATACGGAACCCCTCCATTTTACTTACCAACGCAGTCACTTTGGGAACCTGAATTTTGTCTACCTATGACCTGCCTCATCCCCCAACAGACACCATCAACAATCTTGGGGTAAAACCTCTGACTGACCTGCTGACGTCGCTCGGCGGTTGGCCAGTCGTTGGAGATAACCCAGCGGGTGGGAACTGGAACCCGGCTGCCTTTGACTTCGAGAAGCTTTGGGCCGACATTAGGGGCAAATACGGCGTGCAGATGTTTGTTGCTACCGGCACGTGGCCTGATCCTGACAATGCAGCCAAATACAAATTGGATGTGAGTTTTTAGAGGATGTATTGAACGCTAGTTATTTTGCGCACTTAGTGAAAAGCCACACAATTAAGTGGGATCCTCGAATTGGTACCATTCTTTGCATAATATAATGTCTATTAAACATTTGGTAACCAGGCAAAACCCTTAGATAATCAATTGGTAGAATGCGCACGCGCACGTCAACCAAAAGACCGTTGTGTCTGCCGCCACCAAGCGTCTCAAAGTCTCCCGTAGAGAAAGAATACTGTCAAACAGTGATATCCCTTAAGACAGTCTCGATATACAGGACGGAAAGGTCTGAAGCTTTCGCAATCTTTACTCCTCACATTATTTTCGATCCACAGGCGTACGTACCCGATTTTGTTGTACCCAAGTTCGATATTGAAAAGAGGCATTGGCCGGGAGTTCATCCTATGGTAAGAGAGACTGTGTACGTGCAGAAGGACATCTCAAAACAAGCCTTACATTGCCCATATTGTGGCCAACACTAATATTTCATTCATCCCTCGACAGCTTGACGGTACCGATGATGCCGGTTATGACGCGACGATGCTTTTTGATGACAAGTATTCCAGTGTAAGCCGGGATTTTCTCATGATTTTCATATCACCATTTACAAGATAACTATACCAGCTCAGAACTCGATGGCAGGCAAGTGAGCAAGGCGGAGCAACGGACAGGGAGATCCTGTACTCAGGTCTTTTGAAAGAAAAAGGAAAACGAAGGAGAAATACCGAAAACAAAGGAAGCAGATATATTGCAGTTGGTTGTTGAGTAGCAACCAGGAGGATTTGTGCACCCACTTTCGTGCATGTTGCATATACACTGTATGCCACAAAGGCGATGGGCAAGGACATGTTATTGACTGAATAAGTTCCAACGGCTTAAAAAGTGTAATTCTTGGCAAAACGCAAACAACATACTGGCGAACAAAGAGTCACCGTCATACAATGCTCGTCTAACGCTGCCGAATGGTTCCCAATGTATTCAGCAATATTCTGTGCATCAGAATTCCTGACATGGGCTTCAAGATCTTAAATAGTCAATCTTACATTTTTTAGGAGAGGAAAGCCTATCTCCAGTACCTGATCGACATTGCTGTGGCGCTTGGAGCAAACGAGACAGTTGCAACACGGGACATGATAGATCTGATTGAGTTCGAATCAACCATGGCAAATGTATTCCATATTCCTTTTATTTGATGAGAAGAAAGATTAAATATGTTTGAGACAATATTTTAATAACATTTTCCTAACAGTTAATAACATTTTCATGTTCTTGAGCTTAGAACCCCATGGGGAATCAACGGCTGAATAGAGAACATTGTTTTCGACGCTGAAAGTTGTTCAAATGTTTTTGTACACCCTCAATACTTGTACGATAATTGGTGCCTAATATTATGCCTCGGTTAAAAAGTTATTTTATGCACACGTTATTTCGGCAATGAGTATACCAGTATTTAATCTGTTATCCAGTTTGTTTTACTATTCCCACAGTTGACTGTTAAACACCCAGACTTTGACAGGGTCATGACCACTCTTGAAGAAATTGGCATGAATCTGGTAAGGCGTCATAATGAAACCTCTGAACTTTTTGCCAGATTGGAATGCTCAGAAAGAAAGAAAAAATCAGTCGATATACGGTTCTAAACACACAAGAGGAGCTGTATAATTTTAAGGCATGTGGAAAAGTTAGTTGTCAGGTAACCTTTCGTAAACATTTTTGCCTTGTTAAACTTTCGCCTGTAATTAAACAACTGCACTCCTGATCGGGTCTGAATCTTGCTACACCTGCACCTTTTGAGGAACAACTTGTGTTTCAGATTGACTGGGTGCGTCTTTACCAGCTGATGTTACCAGGGAGCGTCGATCCAGGCGTTACCGGTGACGAGCCCATCGTCAATTACAACCCTAACTACATCTCCAACGTCACAGTGTGGCTGAGGGACCAAGACAACAGGTACGAAACGAATCATTAACAGACTAATCGCCTTTAGCGGAGCACCCCCTCAAAGCCACGCTGGTGAGGGAGTGCTTATTGTGCTTGTACAACGACGCAACGTGCGTTTCATAGTCGTTCGTGAACCAGCCAAGTGCAGTATCCACGAAAGGAGCCTCCGTTGCTGGGAAATTTGCGCCCTCTCTTGGTCCCATTTGCTTAATGGGTGGATGTGCTCAACATTGTAATGCTTTCGTTGCTGAACTGAACGTACGCCTCGATTTTGGCACTATACGTATTTCGAGTTAGTTGAACGATGAGTCAAAGGCTGGTCCACCGCGAACGAAAAAGCTAAGCGAATTTAACGTCACAGAACGCCCTGGTTGAAGACTGTTCAACAGTTGCGATTTCGTGGCATGAACATTTTGATCTGACTTCAACAATCGGGTCCGTGTACACTTCTGCTCTCAATTTTACTGACTTTACCAAGCATTGCAGCGTTGCCGAAATCAGAGCTATTCGCAGTATCTTAAGTGTCAATGAGTGCTCAACCAACTGTAACTTTAGATGCAAATTCCTCTCGATTGTTTCTCGAAATTGAATTCACTTCTATCCCAAAGCCATGGTTCTTCTTTAAATCATTGTTCATCTTTCACCCCTTTTGCCATATCACCTCCAAAAAGACACCGTTATCTCTCTCGGACAAGTTCAAAGAAAGTTTGGATTCAAAACATTTGCACCCTCAGAGTCAAAGCCAACTACATGATATGGCGGCTTGTCAGCCGAATGGTGCCCTTCATGGGCGAGACGTTCCTGGTCATCCGACGGAAATTCCTCCAGAGCGTAAACGGCACCGTAGCCACCACGGCCCGCTGGAAGACGTGCGCCTCGAACGTTAACAACCAATACAAATTCATCAGCGGGAGGATGTACGTAGACGAACACTTCCCTGAAGACACCAAACGCAAGGTGTAGCACATTATGTTTTTTCAGTAAATTGTCGAAACAGTGGTGTTTAATTCGCACCTGATGCTTATAGTTTTTCACCAACGTGACAAAAACACTTGATTGGACCGCCTCAGACCTAACACACCAGCACGTATTTCTCAGTCAAATTAATGCGGACAGCATTAGAGAGTGGCCTGGTTTAGAGACTACAATCCTATTAATGTAGTCATTTCTCCAATGCACATGATTTTTTTAAAAAGTAGAATCTGCTCAATCCGCCTTGAACAGAAGCACCCCCTCATCGGTTGAAAAGAGCCATGCTGGTAGGAAGTGTTCTTTTTGCTAGTAGCGACACGACAGTAATGCGTGAATTTCATAGTCGTTTGTGAACCAGCGAAGTACAGTTCCAACCAAAGACGCTTCTGTTGCTAAGAAAATTACGCCCTCTTTTGGTCCAGCTGGGGACTCACTGGGATATAAGAAATCGTCAAAATGCTGTCCAGTGAAACGCCATCTGAAAGTGTGTATCCCAACTTTACGTGGAATGATCCCAATTACAATTGTACGATCCCAAGCTGTAGCGCTGTAGTTAGACTGGTCATATTACTGCAGTTGGGACGCCCCATCCTCAGCCGAGACAACTGACACACATGGCGCGTAACGCAACTAGTCGAACGATAAGTTTCACGATAAATAAATCTATTTTATCGTGACTTTCTCCTGTTTTGAAAGGCACTGAATATGTTTCGCACTCTGCAGCAGGCTTTCTCGTCGCTGCTGGCGACGAATGGCTGGCTCCAGAAGGAAGATAAAAGCGCCACGGCGGAAAAGGTCAGTTCAAAGCTCACGAAGGTCATGTCAGAGGTTAATTAAGGATCAGTTCCCAGTAAAGGGTGCATCATGGAATGCAATGAATTAAATCACAACGTGCTGTTTCCCAGCACACCTTGTGACAAATGCTACATAAACTTCTTGTGTGTCACGCCAATAAACCTGTCTTTTGTACCGAGAAAGATTTGACTTCTGGGGCTGGAATGTGCATCTTTCACGGCACGTCAGACCCGTTTGCCGGCCAGATCATTTTTATACTCACGACCAGATCAATTTGCACTTACCTTAGGTTTGTCAATTTCATAAATGCCGGCATGCATCGGTCATACAAATCTGTCATTATGAACGTGTACAAACAGGTAGATGCAATGACTGTCGAAATTGGTTATCCGGAGTGGATTAAGCACAACACTAATCTCGACGCAGAGTATGCCAATGTAAGTAGCAGAAGTCACGTTCAAGGTATTCTCACACCAGACGATCGTGCTCATGCATTCCCTACAAAGCTGATGTTTAGGCCTTTGGGCATCTGGAGGAAATAAGCGAGTGTTGTGACCTCTTTTATCTACATCGGGTTAGCCCAATTGGTGGCTTGAATGTGGGGCAGTAATGCATTTTCATAGAATGTCAGTCAGAGAAGTTAAATCTGAACCATTATTGATATTCTACATTTGCCCTAGTTTGATGATACACTACAGTGATAATAATATTTTTATCGACTTTCCCGTCTCTCTTTTAAAGATATGTAATATGGGTAGGAGCGTTACCAAAGAATATCTTCTTTTTAGTCATTAAAGGAGAGCACCTGCGTGATTTCCAGCCTTATTGCGGCTATCTGATATACAGCAATCCAATATATTATGATCCTCTCATAGCTAACTGCCGAGGAAGATGAATATTTCAAGAACAGCCTCAGGTACCGCGAGTGGACCTCTCGGCGCGAGTTGGCACTCTTGCGTAAAAATGTGGAGAACTCGCTGTGAGTATTATGTGATGAGGAATTTCGGTGGAAGTTTCTAGATGCACTGTGTGGTATCTGCCATTTTGCTAATGATTATGATTTTTGTTGCATAACCAGTTGTCAAAGTACTTTATGGAAAGACTTAAATTAATTAAGCCTATTGGTAGCATGTTTAAAGGAAGCTGGAAGTACAGGTTTAGTTTACAGTCTACTAACTTCTGAATATCAAATGAATACAGGCGTTTTACGATAGAGCGCCTCCAAGAGTTTGCAACACGTTAGCCAATCACAATGCGCGAAATCTGTCGACCCAATGCGCGTTTGGAATGGATTGACAGATTTTGCGCACTGTGATTGGCCAACGCGTCACAAACTCTTGGAGGCGCACTACTTTGAATCTCTCTCGTATTGTATATTCTGTTGGAAGGTGGTCTTTCGCTGGGCCTGCTGATGTCAACGCGTACTACAGTTACACTAGAAACGGAGTCTGTAAGCTATGTTGTTGAAGCTCGTTTAAATAGCAAATTAGCAATGAAACAGTCGTCCCTACCGGCTCAGCAGAAATTACTAATGGTATTCCCAAAATAAAAATAACCCCCACCTCCAAACCAACCTCCCCCCCAAAAAATCATAACTGAAACAAACAAATGAAAAAAAAACCAAACCAAAAAACTAGTGCGACCCTCTTCCCATAAATGGAGAAATGTAAACACCTGCCATTCTCTAGTCAGTTTTATTTACAATCATTTGACAGACAGAATTTAAACAACCACATCACTTAGACTTCTATAGCCACCGAACAGGCTTTCCACAAGCCAGCCTATTACGTGTACTCAACCAACAAACTAAACAATCAAACCAAGTGTCAACAGAGCCTTCCAGTCTCTCTGACGAGGTTCTTATTGTGTTATTTCGGCAGTGCTCCCGGCTGGCATCCTTCAACCGCCTCTCTACCATAAGGACCTGCCTTGGTAAGCAACAACAACGGCATCTTTGGTTTTTGTTTTACTAATGAGGCATCTTCTGCAGTTCTTCACGCGTCCCAGCAGTTATGCAAACTGCCTGTACCAATTAAGACAAGTGGGTTTCCGGGGCATGCTAACCAATATTAGTTTTCTGTTTAGGTATTCCAATTACGGTGGCATCGGTGTTGTTCTTGGACATGAGATAATGCACGGTTTTAATAACATTGGTAAGTGATCTATTGGTATCTAGTTGACTTGTTAGGGAGGTCATTTGAGGGAGTGAGCTCCAACTTAGTGCATGTGCAGCTGCCCACTGTTCCCCAATAACCTCCAACGCGCTTCATTTTGGTGATGCTGTGGCTCTTGGCTCTTGGAATACCAAACAGGTTTATACGGCAGATTTCAAGGTTTTTTTCATTTTACCACATTGAAGGATACCGCAAATAACCCTGCATTACAACGGGAGAAGGGATTTGTATTAAAGCTTCACTCACTGATCGGTAAATGTTTCCAAGACGTGCCTCATATTAGGAAGGGTTTGTCTTTCCATGCAGGGAGAAGGTACGACAAAGACGGCAACTACAGAACGTGGTGGACTCAACGGTCTTCCGATAGTTTCAAGGAGGAATCTCAGTGCATCATCGACCAGTACTCCGATTTCGTCATGCCTGAAAATAACAGAAGCGTACGTCTTGCTTTATTCTCATCTGCAAATATCAACTGCGTACTATTTTGGATACATGTGTGTGGAGCCTGTCTTTACTTTTACAGGAAAGCCTCTCTTTTTGCCACAGTCTTTCAAAAAACATCAACTCATTTGTGTGTATAAAGCCGGGCGGCAGGAAAAGGCAGGAAAGCATAGACCGAAATCTGCTCACCCTTTCTATTTCTTTACAGCTCAACGGGCAAAAGACACAAAGCGAAAACATTGCCGATAACGGAGGTCTGCGAGTATCCTACGAGGTATTAGACGTAGTATAATATTAACTTGCCAATTTGTATATCACCGTTGCCAACCTTAACTGTCCTACAGTGGTATTACTGCTCTTTTTTTGCATCTCCTTTATGAAAGGCATACACGGACAAAATGCCCGAGGGGCCTCGTCTTCCCGGGATCGATTTCACCCAAGAGCAGATGTTCTTTCTGTCATTTTCCCAGGTAGAGCGTACACGTTTTTCTCAATACCACTCGATATTGTCTGATTACTTTAATCGCATCTAACCACATCCTTTCCTTGATATAAGATATATAACTAGTGGCCATTTGATTTCACGAGAGAATAACGGAATTAAAACAGCTTTTATTATGTTGATTATTATTTCTTTTAAAAACATTGGGGGGGGGGTTAAAGTTAAGGAGTGGCGTATAACAGAACAGGTTGGTTTGCAAGGTGAAACGTGTGTTAATCGTAACTGCACAGGATGCTATTTTTGGAAGAACAGATAAGGCCGATATGTAAGTTTGTACTCAAAAATAATTCGCTGGGTTTATAAGCAAACACTATGATCGATAATTAAAATGACTTAATTTGTGCAATTCCAACTCCCTTTGCTATTTTTTTTAATTCAAGATTTATTGCACTGTATTCACGCCCAAAGGAGCAGATGTTTACATCGACACTAATGTACACAGTCCTGGCAGATACAGGTTTGTAAAAAAACAGCATCCTTTCCCGATCTTCATCTCATCGTTACAATAAAACACTTTTTTATTGCCAAAGTGTACTAAAATCATACCAAAAATGTCAGTCAACTAGCTGTTGCCTACATCCTTGACTTTAAAAATGCAGTAGAAATAACATTCATGTTCGGCGGTTCCTTGTCTTTTGACAGGGCCATCGGTTCGCTGCAGAACAATGAGGCGTTCAACGCCGCATTCAGCTGCCCTGCCGGAAGCTACATGAACCCAGACGTCAAATGCAGGGTATGGTAAAGAGCTAGAGCTCTTCGAAGAAGACATGACCTCAAAAGTGTGTTCGAACTGAGTTATTATGATTCTGCGTATAGTCAGATAAAGGTGTTATTGCAGGGCAGTGGAACATCACTAAAAATTACCTGTTTAGCTTCACAATTAATTGATGTCCTGCCGCAGCGAATATTTCAATAGTTTCACAAGTCCTATTCAGGGCGCCGTTTTCAAATGTATATTTAGGGTGAAATACATTTAGATTTGGTTTTAATTTACTAATTGGAACAAAAAGGATGTTACATTTCAACAAACCTTGTTTTCCAACGGAAAAGAAAATGAAATCTTATCTTGTGGTGTGAATTTCCACATTCAGGTTTTTTTAATTCCTTTCTACATTTTCCGAGTGCCAAACAGAAGCAAGTGGACTTGAAAGTTTCATTTGAACTTTCATCAGTCGAAATTTATTATTTTATAGAACTTAAAATAGAGATCAAAAACATGGAAAACCTCGCAGCTTTGGACGCTCAAAGCATTTTAGGTTACTCTAATCTCCAAATATAGTGCACGCGTTTCATGCGCACCGAGCCGGAAGAGTCGACCCGTGTTCAAATGTTAATATAAACTCCATCCCATAAGTTCTGCGCGGTATGGGTGGTTTGTGACAACTGAACACATGGATGTGAGGTCAAAGAGCCTGGGATTTCAATCCAATTGAGGAAAAAGTGTGTGTTAGTTTCACTTTCACCTTCACCTCATTTTTGTTTTCGCCTGTTGAAATCTCCTACATCACAACAAATGTCAATAGGCCTATTACAGTGATATCAACAACGAGGTTTGGTATGAAAAGACAATACACATTGGCTAAATATATGCGTGGGCGTCGCCAGAATTTTTTTTTTGGGGGGGGGCACATTATCTAGTTAAAAAAATAATACTTAACTGCGGGAAGAGTGTCGATTTTTTATTTTTATCAAGCAAATAATTATGTTCTATTCCATTTTTAATTTTCTTTAGATGTTTTCTCTTTCTTCTAATCTTTTCAGGGTCTCCCCCTCGCGGCGTCATGTAAATAGGATTATATAAAGTATAAATGAAAAGGCACCGTAATCCTTTCAGCAGGCAGTCTACTGGGCAGTCAAAGTAGTCTATTCCACTTCCGACTATGGAAATTCATACCCCAAAAGAGATTTCCTTTTGTGTGTATGTGTTGGAAATCAAGCTTGGTTGAATCAAGCTTTGTTTAAAGTAATCTGAAACCCAATTTCACTGCAATCCATCCTGCTGAAGTACTTGAAGCGGCGGGATTTCAATTTCACGCGACTGAATAACTCGCCGCTGCGAGATAGCCTGCGGTAATTCTAAATTGTTTTTTTACAAGTAGCCCTTATACGCTTCCGTACTATTCAGCCCACGATTCAGGTCTGGGTACTCACACGCCGACCGCGTTATTCTGTGTAACGTATGAATAGTCTGTTGCCACTGCACGGGAGTGCGAGTGTACACCGCACAAGTATGCCACACAAGTTACGTTCTTCTCGACCTTAAACGTCTCATACTCCTTCGTTTCGGAACAAATCTCACAAATATTTTGACCAGCTAAGAGAAAGATTTCAGGTTTATGCATCTTAGAGATTACTGTATAATATTGTGCTTTCTGCACGTCATCAAAACTCTTCGTTTTGATACATTTGGGCTGCAAAGATGCCAGTTTACATCAACCCAACACAACCACAAAATTTGACTTTGCGTGTTTCAGAAATCCGCCCTGTTGGTTGGGGACAGAAAGTGCCTCTTCATTCTCTCGTGTTGATTTTTGGAAGATAAATTCATTGTATTCTGGTTTCCTCAGTTCCAATCTAGCTCCAAAACCCTAGATGTCGGTTGCAATATTTGAAGCCTTTTCCGGACGGCTTTAAGCTACGGCCGATATCGGTGATATAAAGCTAAAAGTGGCGTCCGTTCTGGTTAATCTATAGAACCTAGGTACTTTCATCAGCCAGGTGTTATCGTATATACCGGGGTGTTAAATTTACACCAGCGTTTTTGCATTGCAGCTTAGGAGTTCCTGTTTTATAGACTACAGCATTCACACAATGGCAGTGCAGATATTCGCACTCTCTCTGATCCTGAAGCAGGAGATTAACAACAGCCTTGCAGACAAACCCGGTGACCAGGATTAGAAACCATTACTGTGGGGCCATCTTGTTCACACGCACCTGGTACGCAGTATGCGCGCATTCTGAGGCCAATAAGGTGTCGTAACCTGCTGAAATGCGCACTCGCGCTGAGTGCGTGAGTCAGTGACGGCCCTGACTGTAAAAATGGCGATTCTTCGGAATTGTCTAAAGGCCACGAAGGTTTGAGTCAATTAACTATGTTATTAGAGCGGAATTTCCGGTACATTTAATTTTGGTGGTCAGCTGAAAAATCTGAAATAAAATAACTTAGGTGTTAAAACTGATTTCCGTGATTTCCGTCGTCCATTATTAAAAATGCAGGCTTGCTAATCACTGGCTCAACGGATTTCATGTTTATCTTTTTGATCAGTCCAAAAGGGCCAGATTTTAGATAAGCGAATGCGCAGATTTCAGTATCATTGTGTAGTCGCCAGAAGGATAAAAAGAGAGAGGGTAGTATTCCCGATGTAGTATGAAATTCGGGCTCTTTTGAAATTTTATCTTCTTGTATTTTTGAAAGTGTTCCATGATTTGCATGATAAATAGCGAAATGAAAATTAAAAATGGGGTTTTCATGGGATTTGATGGTGTCACAGTCGCCTAACTATGATGTACAGAACACAGGAATTAAATCCAGGTTCAATAAAACAAATTAATTAAAACACTCCTGTATCAATGTTCCCTCAATGTGCTCTTCGGGTACACAGCCCACGTCCATATACGAGCCTCCAGCGGTGTACCTCCTATCCCCGAAGATGCTCCTCTAGATGTCCAGAGCCAGAACAGGTACTGGCCTCCGATCTCAGTTGTTCTCTGACTATGCCCTCTACTCCCATTGGTAGCGTTTCGGGTACCGACCTGGGCCACCTGTTATTTATAAAAAATAACAGCAAAGCAAACAGGAAAATGGTCCAACTGAAATCTCAACTTCTGATAAACGGATTCTTCACGAGGATAATTTTCAAATGAAGTTCATAGCTCAAAATTGAGACCAAGTTCATTACATGAAAAAAAAAGTAAACTATTGCTGACGTATGTAGTCTTTCTCTGCAATGTGCCACACTTCACAGACCAAAATATTGTATATGCTGGAAAACAGGGCGTTGGCCGAGACGGCAAAATCAGCACTCTGCGGCAGGGCAGCGCTCACAATCAATCTCACTTAACATGTGGATGTCTTGCAAGTCCACCTCTACTGCTTTAGAATCTGTCCAGCATTATCTACCCTACGTTATTGTTGTTTTAATGGTGCTTTCAGCTACTCAGACCATTTGCGCCAATAACTAAACGTTTATTCATACACTTTATTAATCAGCATCACATTACGGAGTTAGGAAGAAGGTCCAGTTTTAGAGGCAGGAGGAAACCGGAGTACCCGGAGCAAACCTACGAGAGCGAGTGTGGACTGGAAACCAAATCCACTTAAAAGCCTGGGCCAAGCCAGGACTCGAACCCAGGCCTCATTGGTGCAAAGCGAGGAAAGAACCGCTACGCTAACCCTCTCCCCTCGACCCTCCGTCAAACTTGCCAGTCTTGCATACTGGGGTACACTCAAGCATGCCCACTCGTTCCCCTGATTTAGACCTAAAGCACATGTAATGAAAGGAAACAAAGAAACACATAGAAAAGCAGTCATGGACTGAACAGTCAAATCATTGCCTAAAGAGCAACGCATCCCAAAGAGCAAAGAACAAAGAAAGGGAAAATGTGAACAGTTTTCGTACCTGACTAAGGCACAGCTGTGATGGTCGTGGGATGTGAGGACAGTTTCCAGACACAGCTAGGCTTCACAAATCCAACATTTTTAAGACGACAAGCCAACACAATTAAAATCATGACTGCAAGTAAATCCTTAATTTACTCACAGTGTCAACTTTTTTAGCAATTTAATTAATTGGCCGCAAAATGTTATGGATAGTGTTTCCACGAAGAACGCAAAATGCAAGGGCCGCTTGTTGCTAAGTGTAACTAGGCACCTTTTCGGTGCATGCGCACTACTTGAATGGCCATCATCAACATATGTCTTGTAGATTGTACGTCTTCCTAATGCCTACATGTACAATGTGCACAGGTCCTCACACATCCTGCAATCAGAAGACATCACCGGTAGCTGATCTGTGGTCATAGAGGTCTTGAGTAGACTCGACACGACATTTGTGAAGAGGGCTGAACGGTGAGACTTTCCGCACCCTGATCATTGCTCAGATTGCAAACGGGGGAGTGCGCCTGGGTGGCCGTGGGAGGTGCAACGGTATTCCACGGACGGGGATTTTGATCACCCGACTTCTGCCAGCTTTGCCGTCACGGCTGTAGTGCCTCACTCAATGCTCCGCAACCCTGGCAAAGCTTACGGGATGGTCTGTGTGCGGATAACCCGGGTGATGTCGTTAACATTAATATATTGATGTGGGTATGCACAGTTGTGAAGCTTATTGTCATTAGCGGAGGGAAGGGCAGAGGTCGCCTTCACAGGGCCTGCACATTGGTGCTTTATGTTCTGCGTAGCCTCATCGTTGTAAAAGTAAAACCTGATTTTTTTTGTGCGTTTTCATTGACTTTTACAGGGAGGGTATCAGGGAGACATTTTTGATGTTGCCGCAATATCTCACCCTTATAAGGAGATGAAATTTGTTATTTCTGTGTGGAAAGTGGGAGAGCGGAGTTTCTTATATTGAAGACTAAGAAATCGATGTCAGTGTGTTTTACCGTTTAGAGTTCTACTGTCAAACTTGAGCCCGAATTATCTATAGTGATGTCTCTTAGCGATACAATTTAGTGGTATGAGTGTAACTGTATTGTATCTCTCCCTTCTCCACTCTAGGTAAAATTCCCTACTGCGCACCAAGGGCCTTGCGTTTTATTCATTTCAATTGAAAAAAAACCTGAACTAAGCAAAGTGGCAAGTTCACCTAAAAACTGTTCAAGCACAGCGTGCTTCAGAAAGACTGTGCATGGAAATTGGTAACTAAAATGAGATGGTGCACTTGCTATTTATGAGCTTAATTTTTGAAAAGTTTCAAAAACCTCTTTGTATCCACACTCGCGAAATGTTTAGGTATTTTTACATTGAAATTCGTTTAGGAATGCGTTTCAATGATTAACGGACTTAAATTAAGCTAAACGTGTACCATTGTAAAGCATTTAGCATTCGAACACATTTATCAACGCATTTTATTGTCACATATCTAAACATGTGGTGGGTTCGTCGACTTTAAAAAGGGTGCCAAAAGTGTTTATACTCTGGTTGCCGTTTTTTGACAGACATGCATTTATTTTTTCAACCCATGTAATGCTGAAAGGAATGGCAAACACGCGTCAGTTTCCCTGACTATTCTACGGAGGAAGCGAACATCGCTGGGCGATATTTTTGACTCGCCGGACCACCCCGGTTTTTCTTGTAGTCCGCCAAATTTTGCACGGCCGTACTAATAGGTACGGTGTCTACTAAGCCCGTAGATGATCCGGCCCGAATCAGGACGCCACAATCTTCTCAATTTCTCCCAAGATGTCTAATATTCAATAAATACATTTTTTTTAACATCTGATAGCGCAAGCCTGCCTGAGCTATGAAGGATAACCATAATGCTAAATTCCAGCTTGCGCTGGAGGAAGGGGTAACTTCCAAGACGCCCAGCAAGATTCCCCTTCTTCTGGCGGGAATATTTGTGGTGACCACCGTGGCCCTTCTGGTCACCACAAGTGAGTATGAGTCCAAACCGTATTGGCTACTACCTGCACCCTCTCAGACAACATCGAGCCAGGGACCAAAGGGGCTTCGCTCATAGCGTCGTTTTCGTCTATAGAGCGTTTTTTTTCCAATCCCGCTTAAGATTTAACAGTTTAAAACACCTTAACGGCTTGTGGAGAGTCCTCTTCAATATTGGTTCATTTGCCCGGCAAACAGTAGCAGTTAATTTATTGTAGGAAGCCAAGTTTTCTTTGTTTTGAGTCAAACATCAAAGGGCTTAAGTGAACATGAGGCTGGAGCTCAAGCCGCAGTTGAAGACAAAGTCAAGGTCATACAATATCCACAGGAATAGCTTTTACCCTGGAATATGTTACGTGCATGAAACCAGCGACAAACATGGTCGAGTAATACAGACATGTACTCCTTGTTGCCGACGTTCGCAAATCATCACTTGACGCGGAAGTGTGAAATGTTAAGGCTCAATCCGTCGCTGTTTAGCTGCGTATGCTAAGCTATTACATGTACAAGTACAGCAGCCGCAGCCCAAAGAAAAGTAAAAGACAGATCAGGGCTGACTTTTCCGTGGGTGCTGTCTGACACTGCTGATCTGTTGGTTTTCTGCCGGCTTGTTTTTACAGTTGTGTTCGGATTGCAGAGGAACAACATCGCGAGCGAATTAGACAAGTTGAAGGCAAAACCACAGGAATCTGGTTGGATTTGCACCACCAAGCAGTGCTATGAGTCTGGTAAGCCACATCTGCATATCTCGATGCGCAGCGCTTGATTGGCGCCAGGTATTTCGGTTAAATGAACCAGTGTTAGACATAATGGGCAAACGCTTCAATGAAATTACAGATCATTACAGGCATACGTATGTGAGATTTCAAAATAGAACTCGCAAGAACGGGATGTAAGGCGCTGGTACAAGTTATTAGTCAGATAGTTATGGGCTGTAAAGAATAGCCGTATAGGCAATCTGTAAGAGGCAGAATAGTCCATAGTTCCTAAAACAGCTTCGAAGATTTATCAGACAACACGGTGGACTAAATGTTCCACAAACTGCCTTTTATGTTGACATAAATTTTGATCTATTCTTTGAATACAAAATAAAAATCGAACCTACATGTGTATCGGAAATTTAAGATGACAGGGCGATTAGGGCATTGAGCTTTCCAGTCATTTGAAAATAGCTAATGTTTCACATCGTTCTAAAGAGGGAAAGTTGATTTTCAGAACTAAATTTTATTTTTTGTTTAAATTTTATTTCAGAAGAAACTGACATATACATAACCTTAAATCGAACAGAAAGTTCCCCAATCAGGGGACTTTTTAGTTCACGTGTTCGCGCCCGGTAGCATTCTCTTTTGACGATACAGTGCCCCATATTTCCCAGATCCAGTCACGAGGAGTCCAAACGCAGCGGTTATTTTGTGCTCTCTTTATATTCTTTTAGCTTACACGTACTTGAGCAACATGGATCAGAGCAAGAATCCCTGTGATAATTTCTTCGAGTACGCATGCGGCGGCTGGATCAAGAGCCACGTGATTCCTGAGGACGAAACCAGCTACTCCGTTCTCATTAAGATCAGAGACAGTGTCATAGACAAGCTGAAAGGTGAATATATTGTCATAACCTTCGATCTTCATCTACTTTTCACCACTAAGCTGCTGTCAGTGGAGCTGTCCTCGTATGTGGTCTCATTCATACTGAGGCATTGATTTTGTCATCGTCACTTCTGTCGTTATAATTGCGATATGTTGGCCATTTCAATAACCTTACCCATTGTCACGTTTTAAGCTATCGTTCATCCTGAGCAGCGTCATTAAGTAGCGTCATGATTATGCAGACTTGGATCATGGACAGTGTTTTCGGACAACATAATTAACACTGTCAATTTAAACCACCGATTGTACACAGGTTTTTCTTCAGTACCACCAAATTGAATCATAACTTGCCGTGTTGATCATTTATTCAATCCAGCTTTATTTGAAGGAAGCCCGACCACCGGCGAGCCCGATCCATATCACGTTGTGAGGAATTACTACAAGTCTTGCGAGGACATGGGTAAATGATTGCCTCTGTGAACTGACAAATGACTCTTGACTTGTTGAAACGGTTTGGTGCATGCTGAGTCACCACAGCAGGTAACAGATTTCGAAGAAGCCAATTAATCCTTGTCGGGGCAGGTCACGTCAGCAATAAACCACGGACTGGTGAAAGTTTAACCTCTACGATTTACATGAGAGTGATGTTTATTCCACCATTTCGTTTTAATATTCGAGAATTTTTAACTCTGAACTGCATGCAAATTTGGCACCGAATGCTGATATCTGATTGACTTGCGATGGGCTACTGGGCTAGTTGTTCATCCAGTGCCCATTGGCAGGCTTGAGTTCAAAATAAGTTTCAAAATCGCATGTGCACAGCAACTGTATCCTTTACTGCACACAGCCTCGTGCATTTTGTAATAATCCCGCCAACAGAACAGAAGACTGGCATTTTGTTTTGCAAAAACAATGGAGGTGAACAAGACATGTACAGTGATGCTGTCTACTGTGTAACTTACCTAAGAGCAAGCACCATCGATACAACAGCAGGGGCGGATGGGGCGGGAGGGGGTTGGGGGTGGGGGGGGTCGACCCCATCCGCCCATTATTTTTTGGAGGGTACGTCGAAAGGTTGGAGGACCACTCAAAAGTATGTAAATATTAGGGGTCCTGTTTTGTGTGTATGCGGTTCAGGACAAAACAGAGAGATTCGATGGGGTCACCAAAGGTAACAATAAAGTATCCCCACTGATACGAACAAACATTTTCCACCCATCCCAAGCATAGAATCCTGGATCCGCCCCTGACTAGCTATATTTTGCATATGGTGGTTTTTTCTTGAAAAGGTCAAATCTTATGCCCAAGAAATGGTTTATGAAAAGTGACCTGATTAGTACCAGTCGATGTTAGAAACTAGATTTAAACCAACTCTGGGCCCATCGTCCCCCCAACAGACACCATCAACGAGCTTGGGGCCGAACCTCTGACTGACCTGCTTACGTCGCTCGGTGGTTGGCCGGTCCTCGGAGACAACCCAGCGGGTGGGAACTGGGACCCGGCCGCCTTCGACTTTGAGAAGCTGTGGGCCGACATCAGGGGCAAATACGACGTGCAGATGTTCGTTGCTACTGAAGTATCGCCTGTCCGGAACAAACCAAAATATACATTGACTGTGAGTTGTTTTCAAGGATGGAACGTTCAGTGTATCCGATCAGCAAAGAAGTTACGTATACCTTTTTAGTAGATGCACTTCGAGAATGAAAAGACAGTTACTACTGGGTCCTGAATCACGGCAGAGCCCAATGAGTGCTACCTAAACAGTGATTAAGGAATGGGAACACACTCTTTGTAAACCTTTCCTAAACTTTCCCTTCAGTGATACCCGAGTGACCGAAGAGCAGTACAGTTGAAACCCTAAAGAGCCTGGTAATCTCATAAAGAATGATCGAAAGATATCATTTCCCCTAATGTTGTCACCTCTGTCGATTCATATCAGGCACAGATACCAGATTTTGGAGTTCCTTATGATGAGATCGAGGAGAAAAAACGGCCTGGAATCAAGACTTTGGTAAGAAAACAAATTGGATAATCTGGTATAGGCTTATCAAGGCTTCTCCTCTTTAAAAAAACTGATATGGAATGTTAAAACTTCTTTCCAGATTTGTTTCAATAGTTATTTTTTTCAGTCTTGTTTCAAAAAATTCTTTCAATCTTAAATGGAGTTTGTTTTGTTTCCAAAAGAAAACTAATCTACGTTGTTGTTTTTTTCTGTTCTTCAGAGGCCAGCTTTTTCGTTTTTTATGTGTTGTGTTTCTTTGTCCAAAACTTTCAGATTTAAATTCTTTGCGAAACTTAGTCTCAAAGTGTCCAAATCCACGCACCCATTAGTGCATCTGATAAAATCGGATAAAACAGCCTGCGGTAATAGTTACTCGGACTGTTTCGTTTGACAGTTTAAGGAAAGCCACGACACTCGTTACAGAGGGGCGGAGATTCTTTTGGAAGAGAAGTATTCCAAAGTAGGTCTTTATTTTCCTCATTAATTTCTTCACACCAACCAATGATGCAACTCTTTGTATTTTATATTCACCACAATGGAGGAGGGCACATTTCGAGGAATAAAGTAGGCTCTTTCGATGGCAGGGAGGGAGGGACAAAAAACAAAGGAGAGAGAGACACAATGTTACGGAGGTATAGGTAGGGCCATAAGATTTTCTTAAGCCTAAATTACCAAACACCATGTAATACGTCTATTGCTACTTACAACTGATTTCCAACCAGAGTGTGATTTGCAATTGTTGCCCTTTTAGCGTTACTCATTAACTATTCCTCTTGTTTTTATTTCAGATGAAGGAAGCGTACCGCCAATACGCCATCGACATTGCGTTGGCATTAGGGGCGAGTGAGGCTGTTGCAACACAAGACATAAATGATCTCATCGAGTTTGAAACAACTTTGGCAAACGTATTCCATTATCCCTTGAAATAGTTTTCTGACGTGAATATACATTGCTTGAGTTTTTCTCAACTAGGATCGTATTTAAAACCCAAATAAAATGTCTGATTACTCGCAAACCTTGGCTTGAATCTCAGCATTATGTAAGCAACTTGTAGATTGAACAAAAAAACCTAGGTTTGCTTGTCACAGTGCACAGAACTTGAACATAGAAGTGTCCATAAATGATTCAGTTTTAGGGGCTTTGTTTTGTTTTAGGCCCAAGTTTGCCATTTCATGCACTGGCCATTTTGTCCCACGTGTAAGCAACTGTGCTAAATTCAAAATTCCGAGTCCTTCTTTTCTTCTATTTCCAGTTCACCGCTTTGTCATATTTTTCACCAGAAGAAACCACTCTCGGGGGAATTGGAATGAATGTGGTAAAGTAGCTCAACAAAGATTCGATAACTTTGGTAAAGGCCTGCACGTTGATGAAGAAAATTCAGCGGACATATGTACCAAAAAAAGACCGATTCATTTCGAATAATTTTGTGCCAGTATGTGTCTCGTGAAGCGTTCGAATATCACAGATCCCAGTAACCTGAAAGGATTGAGGCCTCAATGTCCAAGACCGAGTTAAAGCGTTCCGAGACAGAGACATAAGATTCCAAGACAAAAACAAGACTTGAGCGGCCGAGAATGAAACCAAGACTAACACCAGTGGGCTGGTTTATAACAAAGAGTGGGCCTCGACCTCAAAATGTCTGTTCCACTCTAACACCATTTTAACCTGGTTTCTGACACACACTCAAGAAATGACTAAGGTGAACCGCTCGGATGCCTCACAAATGAAAGACTGGAAGCCCTGTTTCGTGAAAAATCGGAAGCAAAAAAAAAATCCAAAACAAAAAACAAAAAAATAAAAAACAAAAAACTATGCTTCTTCTTGTTCCAAGCCTGAAGGTCATAATGTTCCTTAGGGGTCCTTCAAACCAATTTAGCTATATACTCGACTGGCTAAACAGTTTGCGAGACCGGTCTCGAGGCCCTCAGTGCTGCTCGATAGGTTAATGCTAGAGCCATATGAGGTTCCCTCTCTCAGTATATAAAATGCCTTGTGTTCCAGACGGACTGGGTGCGTCTTTACCAGCTGATGTTGCCAGAGAGTGTTCAGCAGGTTGTTACCGAGGACGAGCCGATCGTCGTCTACTGGCCAGATTATATGTCCGACGTGACAGCGTGGCTCAAAGACCAAGACAACAGGTGGGGAAACGAATGAAGAGATCATCACAATCAACCCACCTTTTTCCCCCTTTGCTAACTGTTTGCCTAACTGTTTGCATTCTACCCAATCAGAAATCAGTAAAGTGGAGGTCATAGTTTTCAACGTGTATACAATTTTTTCATAAATATTAAAAAAGTATCACTGTGGGGGAAAAGGAAGAAGACGGATGAGATTTACCATCATGAATTAAATAATGATAGTGCAAAGGTGATTTGTTGTAGCACGTTCTATGTCCATGTTTCTTAATAAACAGATATAAATAAAATAAATGGCCTTACTCTTTTTCGGATCATATTTCTATTGGGGGCAGGGCTGAAAGACCTTGCCCCTTCCAATGATTAAACTGATTATAGAATCAAAATGTCACCCGTAATTCATATCTTGATTAAGGTAGGCCTATACACTCTCCTCAAATAACCACACGGGAGCGTGACCTTTTGTTGTGAAATACGAAACTTTTCAGGACCAAGGCCAATTACATGATTTGGCGGCTCGTCGTCCGGATGGTACCCTTCATGGATGAGACGTTCCTAGCCATGCGACGGAGATACTTCGAGGGCTTGAACCACACTGTAACCACCATGGCCCGCTGGAAGATGTGCGTCTCCAACGTTGACAACCAATACAAATTCATCAGCGGGAGGATGTACGTGGACGAACACTTCCCTGACGACACCAAGCAGAACGTATGCATCACAACATCACGCATAAACACTGCAACGACTTCGGTTGTTGACCAATTACAGTGTGGCTACCGTTAAGAGTCTCTTCATCCAAGGGCTATATTTAACCTGTGCTTAAACCCAAAAGCAGTGGCAAAGGTACCGCAAGGCATGCCGTGCTTCGTTTCCATAGACGCCCTTCAATTTTTCCTTGCAGGTTCTGCCGCAAAAGGCAGGTTGAGTATCGTGTTCTAAAGCGGACAGGCAAATGTCTTGTCTGTGAGTTCGAACGTCGTGCTTGTAAGGTTGAACGTCCTGTTTGTGAGTGGTGAGGGCCTCATGAAGTCGCTAAGCAAAAGACTGTACTTAGCACAGTATCGTCTTGCTCAGTAAAAACGTGTTACCAGCCAAAAATCCATGTAATTTTTATGATAAGCGAACAACATTTTGGTTGGTAATCCTGTTTTTGTCAAGGGAAAGAAATCATGCTTATGATCCATGAAATTGGCCCTTACCACTCACAAACACGACGTTCAACCTCACATACACGATGTTTGTCTGTCCGCTTTAGAACACCAAAGGTTGTGTCCTGGAATAAGATGAGTGGCAGGGTATGCATTGTACACCCGACAGTCAGGTCTTGGGCTGCAGCTTTTGCCAGATTCAAACACTAAATCTGTCACCTCCCATGACCCTACGATTTCTCCAAGATACACAAGTTTCACAGATGCGAATCTGCTTCGTTGCTTGCTTTTTGCCCCTGGAAAGGCGATATTCAACATGAAGTTACCAGAAGGGGTCTATATTATACCACCAAGGAGGTTTGGCACCGATTTTTCCATTTAGGACGGACTTTCCTTGCATTGGATTAATGCTATTGCAGCTTTTAAGGCCAACACGGAATGTATATTTCACTTAATAAAAGGGTATATCGCTATATGAATTGAGTACAAATGAGTACTGCAAAAGACTTATTGCTTGATTAATAATTTAGAGCGAAATTGAAGGCACGCTCCCTAATGTAATGTAATTCTACAATGCAATTCATATTAGTGAAATGTTTCGACCATTTCGAAACAGCTCGTCATGGAGGGGAAAACAACTCAACAGAGAAACCAATAACGGAAAACAAATAGGCACATACTGATTTTTCACACCCTAAATAGTCACGCTGCTTGTATGCGTAGGTAAAAACTCGTATTGACAACGCACCAGAAGGGGTCTATATTAAACCACTCAAAAAGAGGTTTGGCACCGATTTTTCCATTTTACGACGGACTTTCCTTGCCTTGGATTGATACTATTGCACGGTAAACTGTGGTTTGTATCATTTCATTCTCTTGTACAAGAATTGGTTTTGTCTACACAGGTACTGAACATGTCTCGCAATCTGCAGAAGACTTTCAAATCAATGCTCAACACGCATGACTGGATGCCAGAAGAAGAGAGGAAGGCCTGTGTCAAAAAGGCAAGTTCGGGGGTCATTGGGTTACTTCACAGTTCTGGTGGGCACGAAGGTGATGTACCTATTTCCTGATATTTCAATGTGATATCTAACATGGTTCGTGCAAAATAGGCATTGGAATTTTTGTGCCTCACATTAGAAACTTCCTTTAGTATGTAAGAAGATTTTAAACTCTTGGGCCGGGCACATATATCATGTGATTTGTGTCATTCTACACACGACTCTTCTGACCGGCTTGAGAATTCTAGGAGTCCTTCTACTTCTCTATATTCACATTATAGTGTCATTCCAATTCATTAGAAACTTGGTTGCCCAATTCTCCCAAAAGTGTGGTCGGAAAAACTGTAGGGAATGTCCTCTCATCTGAATTCAGCTTGGTCTGAAATTGAGTTTGAGTTCTCCAATGAGGAATTTATCTGGGACTTTTTTGGGTGACAACTGTACTAAAAGCCGTAATTAAACATTAATTAACGACCTTAATCTGTAAACTTTCATCAACAGACAGGTAAGATGGCTATCGAAATCGGCTACCCAGGCTGGATAAAGAACAACACCAAGTTTGAAGCAGAGTATGCCAATGTACGTAGTGCAAGTAAAATCACTCAAATAAGTCAGTCAATCGGTCGGTGATTCATTTCGACATAGTTACTGGTGATTATGATCGCACATTCAATGCAACACTTACACTCAGTCGATAATTTGTCAAGGAGAAATGGCTCTCAACGTACGACGACTTTGGGCTCTCGGGTCTTTATGGAGCCTAAAATTTGACCCCTGATGGCTCGCTTCCAGAACCCTTGGTAAGGAAAATTACGCTCAAAATTTTAAAATAGAATTTATAATATTCAGTTACTTCTTAAAAAGTCATCTCGTAAAAAGGCCTTTGAAAAAATATTTGCTAGCATATCAATTTATAGAAACTGAAAAATTACTTGACCTAAAATATAACAAAATTGACCTATCACTTCTGAAAATCTAACATACACGAAGAACAGGCCAATATGTGGTCTCATACGCAGATGAACAGTTACGGAATTATACATTATGATGGTCTTTCGGTAAAAGCCAGAATAAAAACAGACAAAAAGATTGTAAGGATTTTGTAACTTCAAAAGAATACACTTAAAACAATTATCTCCTTCCATGAAAAATTATAATGTTTAGTCTAACCTTTGCTGATAAGATTTGCGTCAGTTTAACTAGAATGAATGTAGAACCCATGTACTGCAGGTAGGTAAATCTTTGCAACGTTGCACAATCTTGCTTTCACGTAAACATAGGGAATGAAAACAAACGTACATGAACAAAAAGACACAGGAACGATATTGCTGGAAGTGAAAGATCGTTTAATTTAGGTTATTGGCCATCTCCAGTTGACTCTTCCAAAAATGTTATTTGATGAGGACAAAGGGAAAATTCTGACATGGATGTTTCTGCGAGTGGTTTCAGTTACAAATCATTCTTCCCATAATTATCACACGTGATAGGACGGCCACAAACGTCGCTACGTGACCTTTTACTTTCAGGCTCTGCAGGTTGGCTGAAGTACGTGTATATAAGACAACGCCCCACGAGAAACAACCAGTCAAGTGGATATATAGACAACTGCTTACAGAACCAGTATCAAATTTCCAATCAGTTAAATGCAACATATTTTCTTGTACAAAGATTAATTCGTTGAGGATTTTGAAAAACATCTATCAACCCTGTATATTTGCCTAAATATGAATATTTTTGAAGTCACTTGAGCCTACTGTAAAGGCAAGGGCATGATTATCAAGAACATAATTGTGCCAGGATATATGTCCATGATGCGACTGACAACTAGTAGGCTGATCAGAAGTTTGAATTTGACCCGGCCCTATTGCACAAATATATCTATTAAACTACAACTGGGCGGCTACCGGCTACCGGTGGACTGGCACTAGGGCCTGTTTGTTTGGCGGAAATACACCACCGATCTGCGATCAAGACATTAATCCCCATGACAACAGAGTTTTATAAGTAATCCAATATGTCAAAATGAATCTCAAAAAGCCTCACAATCACAAGCGATTCCAAACAACTATTATCAAAGCTTCAATGTTTTGATATGTGCAAGGTGGTTAATTATGCACGAACGATCTTTTATTATACAATCCTCACGTGGTCTACTGCACCGCAAATTAATAATAAGTCATCCTCAACCAGGGTAACCCTTACACACTTCGCTCTTATTCTCTGAATAACAGTGGGTCGATTAAGAAGGCGATTTTAATCCTCACAGGGTCGTAAACAAACTGCGCCAAGTATAAAACCTGAACGGACCAGGGCCGCACTCAACCGCATACACCAACAGACATGGAACAAACAGCGTGCCATCCCTTCAAGTTTCAGCTTCGCTGACTCCCTGTTTGACTTTTTCACTCGGGGACTCTAAATGTGATCCAGCACTTTTTAGATAACCCGGACGTCTCCTAGTAATTCAACCCAAATCTCATCCAAATCCATATAACTGAGAACTACAAAGAATGTCTTACAAAGCAATAATGTCCTGCCATCTGGTCGTAGGTAACTGCCAAGGAGGGCGAGTACTTCCAAAACGCCTTGAGGTACCGAGAGTGGAATTCACGGCACGAACTGGCACACTATGGGGACGATTTGTCGGACACACTGTGAGTTTATGATAAAATCTAGTTGCATTTTAAAGTTCGGCTATAACTATGAGGCTAACGATTTATCTGCCCGCGGTGCCAAAACTGAAATGTTAAAATGAACACTTTTGGTGTTATGAGATGACCACACCATAGGGTGTTACTTTAACACCGCTGGTGTTACCTTGCATATCTATGGGTGTTACGGTGCCCTAGAGGGTTTTGAAAGTAGCACAAAATAACACCAAAAATTTAACACCATGAAGTGTTGGTGTACTCCTCTTATAACACCGGGGGTGCTAAATTTAACATCCCAGTTTTTGCAGTGTGTTCGCAACAATCGGACATGAAACTTCTGACGGGATGGACCCCCTGAAAAAATTCCTGGACCCGCCCCTTTGTCAAGTTTGCTCTTCGAATTTATATTAAAGAATCCAGTGGATAAGTCCTGAGAGTATTAGCAAGAGAAGGAGGAGGCACTTTATTGTCTCCGAAAGTGTTTATGGGGATATTGGTATTCTTTTTCAAGGTGGTCATCTTTTGGGCCGACTGTTGTCAATGCATTCTACAACAGTTGGTTGAACGGAATGGGTAAGCTATGCTGTTGAATCTTTTTTAATCAGTCCAAAAACAGGCCGTGTCATAATCATACCTACCTTCCAGCTCACCCAGAATACGTAGGGTCACACCTATTCGCAGATAGGGTTTCATTATCCCCCGATATCGGGGTTGCACCCCGTCTCTGGTTGGCCCAACTGATTAAACAACTTTCACATCTGTCTGAAGCAACTAATCTCATCATGATCTTGAATTTATACCAGGAACAAAATGTTCCTTCTGGCTGAATGCAAACAACCAGCACACCCTTCTGAAGTATTCTTATGGTTTTTTTCCCCACCCCTCCAGTGTTCCCGGCTGGCATCCTTCAACCGCCTTTTTACCATAAGGACCTGCCAGGGTAAGCAATCAAATCTACGTTGGCCATCCCAGATGCCTTTTATGGTTTGCTTTTATAGTTGTCGGATAATCGTGCATGCATGACTTTTAAGTTAAAACGTGTAAAGTGACCTCCAAGTACTAGCATTATGGATTATTGTTAATTAACTGTCTGTGGAATATATGAATAAAATTTGGCTTCTGTAAAATCAAGAAACGTAAACAAGACAATCACGCTGATGCAAATGCACTTACTTAATTAATAAATTAAATTTCTAACTTTATCAGCATACACAATTTTCTTCATTAGGTATTCCAACTACGGGTCTATAGGTTATATCATTGGACACGAAATAACGCATGGTTTTGATACTCATGGTAAGTTATATCGTCAGTCAATGACACAGAACCATCGATTATCTGAATTTTAAGTTGCTAAAGGAAATTTTAAACTTGAACCTTATATTTGGTGTGGAAGGGTTGTCGTACTACTAATTACAGACATTCTTGGTTTCTTTTCAATGCAAGCTGTTGTCTGTTATCAAATTAAAAAATATTGCATTTGTTCTTCATTCAAAGGTGGGACGATGTCTCCAGTGCATATTTCATAATTCCGGGTAATGTTTGTATTTCTTACAGGGTTGATAGACACACGTATAGGGGGTGAAGGCCCTGGGTCAGCCTCGATAAGTCGTGAGTCATTGGACATATTACGGCAGAAAGCTAAGTGCATCGCCGAGCAGTATTCAGATTTTGTGATGGAAGAAAACAACAGAAACGTAGGCCTTGCTTTGTGGACTGTTTTCTTTTTTCAACCGTGTTCAATTAATTAAAAATTAACTGCAAACCTTCATTTTTAAAAGTTTAAAAAAATTACTGGTTCAACACTGGGAATGCTGATTTTAGAAAAACAAGTAAATTTTCTTTTACAGCTCAACGGAGAACAGACACTGAACGAAAACATTGCTGATAACGGAGGCCTTAGAGAGGCTTATAAGGTATCAATACTATTTTATATTAATTCTGTTGTTGTATATCTGTTGTATATCAATGCAAACTTCAAGCATGCAACAGCCTTACTCTATCTGTTTGGCCAATCTCCGTTTGTCAAAGGCCTACATGGACAACTTTCCTCACCAGCCTAGTCTTCCCCGTATTCTTTTCACGGAGGAGCAGATGTTCTTCCTGTCATTCTCCCAGGTAAAACAAAGGCCCATTTCATCAATATGCTTAATAACTAAATCACTGAATACGGAAACCATAACTGTAAATCAGTTCCTGCCCTTTTTGTTTCGGCTTGATAGAGTACGATATATATGACGTCATGTAGAAACACTATATGGAGTACCCGCGCGCATGTTTCAAGTGCTGGTTCTTGCACTAATGCCTTTTACATACACGCACAGTCTCGATTCACTTCGATACTCTATGGTCCTACGTTCCATACTTCCTACGTCCCGTCGGTCCACTTCCAATTGGTCCTGATTTCCATTGTTTCTACGTCCCATTGGTCCCACGTCCCATAGGTCCCATGTCCTATGGATCCTACATCCCATTGGTCCAACGTCCCACTGGTCCCAAGTCCCATTGGTGGAATACGTCCCATTGGTCCTACGTTCTATTGGTTTCACGTCCCATTGGTCCCCAGTCCCATTATATCCCACGTCTCATTGATGTACCCGACCTGACTACCCCACCTCTACTTATAATTGAGGCCCTGTGTAGCAAAATAGCCATACAATATAGCAAGCAAACTTATAAGTAAGGCTTGTGCTAGCCTTCTGCTTGCAAAGTTTCGTGACGCTGACTAGCCTCACTTATAGGTTTGCCTACTGTATTGCATCATAAGAAAATATATTATCAACACAGTTCTTGCAGGCTATTTTGCTGCACAGGCCTCACCACAGTAACAGTGGTAGTCGGATCGGGTGCATTGGTCCTACATCCCATTGGTCCTATGTCCCGTTGGTTCGATAAAACATAATGCTGTATTGTTCCACTAGTTGTGGTTGATCGACAAGTAGGACAGTGTAATGTGTGTGTAGCTTTTAGCTATCGTGCCTTACTACATCGCGATGCTCAGATGCGGGTAATCGTGGAAGGTAATTTGGACGTAGGACCAAGGGGACGTAGGACTATGGAGTTCACCGAACAGAATACGTCACACGTACAATTATGTGTTTGAAAGGCATTTGCATAAGAACCAGCGTCTGAACCAACACGGGTGTGTACTGCATTTGTTTGCACAACAAATCCTGATTCCAACTGACGTCATACTCTATAGAGACTTCCCCCTTAATTATGCTAAAACAGCAAAATTGTTGATTTGCATTGAAACTGCTCACATTTTGATTATATTATCCATTAACGTCATTAAACAGTATTCGAAAATTCTTCAATAAGGCCAACAGTGAATTACAAAGACAGCAGTATGGCATCTGGCGAGTTTTCATTCATCAGTTGCCAACGAGGAAAATAACCACTGAAACGTCCTTCTACATATAGGAAACCTGCCAAATGACGGATTGCACTTGTTTGTGCTTGGTTAAAATCTGCGTTAGGTGACCATGTTATTCTAAAATCCAGTAGGACAAATGTTTGACACGCATCTGGATCTCGATCAGCAATCCCATCGCTGGTTCGCTCCATCCATTAGGCGGGTGTTGGTGACAGTGAACCAACGACGGATCACTGATTGCGATACGGATCCGCGTGAAACAAACTGACCCTCAGTGGACTTGTCAGGTTTACTTTAGAATTTCATTACGCTTGGCAAGGACCACAAAAAAGGAAACTATATAATAAAATCTAGCAACAACTTGAGAATGCAACTTTCTTATTGATAATTCAAGACCTCCTGCGGTTTATTCACACCTGAAGGAGCGGACGAATACATCGAGGATGACGTTCACAGCCCAGGTCGATTCAGGTTTGTTCGTTACATTATAAAGTAGGTCACAATTATACAATTACACAGCAGCATGCACGTACTGATGTGAGTCGTCCGAGTAATGTAATATTGAGTCCCAAGATCTTGACCCAATAAGCATCGGGAGAAGGAATAAGCATCGGAAAAAACATTAATTATGCTCATTCAAAAGTTAGTCCCTTACGGAGGTAATAAGACAAAGATCCAAATTTTCCTGCAATCTCTTAGCGTAACGTTGAGCTTGCCATAGAAGCGGAAAAAATGCCAAAAACTTCGTAGAGCCTACAGGTCATAAAATACTTAATATATTTTGTATTACTTTCTCACTCAACAAATCATTCGTTTATTTCAGGACAAATTATACTGTGCCTCAAGCATTTAAATATTAAAAATTGGTCATATATAATATTAAAAGGCTTTAAAAAGAAGAATGCTTTCTAACTGTAAACGTTAGAAAGCAGCAACAAAGAATAAAATCCACAATGAATGTGTTAATTATCAAACGAGAAAACGACAAAATGTAAAATTAAGCGCCTACAAACCGTTCAGCCTGTTAACCGTTGCCTATCTTCGAGATCAAAAGCCTGTGTAGAATGACCATTTTCGTGTGCTTCGTTTCTGACAGAGTCATTGGTACGCTGCAAAACACCGAAGCGTTCCACGCTGCATTCAACTGCCCTGCTGGAAGCTACATGAACCCAAATGAAAAATGCAGGGTTTGGTAATAAAAAGGTTTGCGGGCGCAGCCAGCCTGGCAAACACCAACCCGTCTATCCTAAAGTGATAATCAGGCTGCCTCAACAAACTTTACTTGATTCTACGTCTATTATTGTATCAATGTTTCCAGCAGTAAACGTGCAGTAGGTCTGGTTTGAATTTTAGAAAGTTGGTACCACGTGACACCACGAACGTAGTAAAGGCTCTTTGTATAGGGATAAATTTTTACTGCTAAGCACCCACAGGTTCGAACGGGTTCGAGTTTTATTGTTTAGCTTAGATTATACCTGGATAGTTTGTATGTAAAACATACTATTGTAGGCATTGTATTTCTGGCATGAAGCAATAGTAGGCTTGCTTCTTCCTATTGCAAAGTAGATGCCGGTTGACCAGTTTTGACACACGGGAAATGGACAGCATTAAGGGTCTCTCCATGCTGGCACAGTGCCATTTCGTTCAGCATCACGAACCGCTAAGCACCCACAGGTTCGAACGGGTTCGAGTTTTATTGTTTAGATTAGATTATACCTGGATAGTTTGTATGTAAAACATACTATTGTAGGCATTGTATTTCTGGCATGAAGCAATAGTAGGCTTGCTTTTTCCTATTTTTTTTAGAGTAAAGAGGTTTGCGGTAGCATCCCACAAGGAAATCTCTTTTCAAGTATGTGTGGTTCTGAAAGTGATCAGATGCTCAATGTTCCGGACAGGAGGCTTTCTCCGTCGTCAGGACACTACAGAGGCTCCATTGATGAAGCAGTTTAATATGGTGTCTATAGAGGCGGCGAGGTGTTAAGAGGATGCTAACCCGGGATTCAACTGGAACCAGGGTACTCAAGCAGGACGACCAGTCCAGAAGCTAGAAGATCATGAGGTGTGTCAATCTGACGGAGGGGAGCGTGGGGAAAGTTGCCAAGAGCTTAAGAGACCAACAGGCTGGAAACATGACCTAGGGTATCGAAGACCCATTGGACTTGGATGTGAGGATGCGTTTTTATTACTTTACATAGTGTGTATATACATGTACTTCATAAATATGGCAGTACTGCCTCATCAGTTACTCTGCATTGTGTAAATGTAGATGGTGCTGAAATAAATAGGGATAACGGCATTAAGATAAAAACTGATAGGATTACTTTATTACGTACTGGGAATCTTAAAAAGTTGTCCATGTTAACAGCCCCTTTAACAATAATCGCAATTGTTTTGTTTAAACTTCCTGTTGAGAACATTTGAGATTAGGCTTGAATATTGTTATTTACAGAATTTATTTCGAGCAGAATTTCTAGTCAAGACGGGGGTCAACTGAAATTGCCGAGAATTAACAAATTTAGGGACATGAACCGATATCCGTGTCTTTAATTGTAGGGTTGGTTGATTTCTACACCGCTGACGATGAGCGGGCAGTAATGGAACATAAATGGTTATTTACGCCCACGGCTTGATCAACAAATTGGCTGACCAAGCCCATGTCTTAAACCAACAGAATAGACGAGTCCATGTCTTATGAGGCATGGCAACGTGATTAGTTAAACACGCACAGGTTTCAGTTGGTTATTAATTACTGGTAAAACAATTTTAATTTCTTTTCAAACTCGAAAGTTTCGAAATAAAAATCACTGTTTTTTGAGGTTATCCTCACGAATTTGCGTACATCAGTGTCGAATAATTAACATCGTCTAAATCGATGATAGTGTGCAACTACTGCGCGACTATTTTCATGGACTCTAAGTCTTGGAAAATCTTCTAGGTTTAAAGGAAACCAATGAAGGTTCCTTTATGAAGGTCCTCTGGAGCTACAGGGAGATATGACATTTTTTCTGCGCAATATTTTTAGACCCTTTTTGTCTATTTAAATAGCTTATCACTGAGTAAGTATTGAACACGTCACAGATCGATTCCAAGCTGAATTTTTTTGAAGTTGCATCAGCATTCTTACAGTCTTCATTTTGTGCCCTTCTTACGGCTAGAGAGGCAGTGCTGTCGCCAACAGAGAGTGCTGTCGCCAACGGAGAGTTGTAAGTACTTTCCTTATTTTGTTAAAGTTACCTTCGCTTTGTACTTTGTTTTCCTATTTTGTCCACCTCGTGGACGCCACTAGCTTATACATTCAAGGACGATTTCCAAACAATTCGGGAAAGACACGTATAGTCATACAGTGTTATAGTAGCCAATCTGTGGTAACTCTGGGCATTATTTTTCAGCAGGAAAGGATAACATTCAATTTCAGATACTTGGTGTGATGACTCCCTCAAAGAGAATGCAAATGAGTAACCATCTATCATCACTAAACATCCTAAGCTATCATTAAACGTAGTTTTTCCCAGTTGTTTGCGCGAAGCATTTCACATTGCCTACAACTATCGACGTCAAACTAAACACCAAGAGTAAGCAGGTTGTCTCCCGCTCATCAGGAAGAGGTCAACACGTCATGTAAACTGAGCGCAAACGCCCGCGGCAGGCACTGTGCAGAAAATCACGCTGGTGCTCAAGATCTCTACGGGAGATTTAGGAAGATTTTTCTTGACATGTTTGTCAATCCTGATCTTAAACATGCTGAAAAGGAACAGCAAGAACGTTTCAACCGAATTTCGAACATGAAGGTACGAGTGGTCTTATAAAACTCGACGTACAAGTTGTCCAAGGTACGGGTCGTCGTAATACGAGTCATCTAAGGTACGAGTTGCCCAAGGTGCGAGTTGACTCAAAAGCTCTCTAAATACAAAGAAGGCAGAAAGAAAAAATAAGGGGACGGGGAGAGTGAACGCCCATTTTTATCATCCGAAGTAGAGTGACCCTTCCAAGGTGCTGCTCCCCATTCTCAAGTATTGTCCCTCGGCTCTTAGATACAAATTTGGCAGCATGTTCAGGTTTGTGTGGGGGGGGAGGGACAACTGTTCTCGCCACTTCGTCGAACACGCCACTAGTAACAAGAGGGATGTAACTCTATATGCACCATAAAAATCAGGTGACGGTGTTTTCTGGTGTTGTTTCTGTTTGTGTTAGGTTTAAAGGCCTGTTGACAATCTAACGAACAAACAGCCCCGTGAGACGCTTTAAGTCACGCCCGCTGAATCGCTGGCCATGCCCAGTTACGACGGAGCCAAGCAGTTTTCTGGCTTTATCTTGTTGATGATCTCCCTCTTATTTTTCTGTCCTCAATTTATTTCACGAGTTACACTGCTCTTGACCTTTGGATGTCAACAAGCGCCAAATGAACTGGATGCCCTTTATTTCTTTCATCAATGAAAGGGGGGATAACGTGGACTTCTTTCGTGTTACTTCGGTCAAAAGACGGTTTGCAGAATCTGTAACCTAGATTTTACGCTTAATCACCGTGCTCTACAAAGTCCCTTATTTATCGATAGACAATTGACGAAGAGATCGTCCCTTAGTAGTTTTAAATCAAGTCTGGTTGTGCCAGCAGAAAATCTGCAACACTTCGTAAAACGTAATCGAAGTAAATTATCCCAGACTCACTGGCTGTGTGGGAATAGATTTTTATAAAAACCTCTAACGGATTTCCTCGTCTGATGCGTTTCAAAGCCCGCCGCAGACTGATCAATGCAAAGCGCGACTTGCATGCTAAAATTCTCTGCTAGATTCGGGCAGACTGGAAAGCCCCAAATGGCTGTAATTTGCAGTGCAATGTGGACATCCGTTTTTAAAATGGTGACTGACAAAAGCCAGTTTTATTTAGGTAAAAGTTTAATCCAGAAAGGATTCGCAACTTTAGCCAAATTAAATGCATCTTCTTGAACGAGTCTGAAACGTTTCTGAATGTATTTAGCATTCTCTATGACACGATTTCAGATATGACTAGAATTGCAGACACGGCCTTTCAACGCCAAAAGATATTTATGGAAGGAGCCTTCTGCCTCTATCTAGTTTAAAATTACTCTTTAATACTCCCACTCTATCGCAATTTTCTTCCTGTGATGAAATTGGATGCCATTGGCGTAATTATGAGCGACAGAACAAAAAGGATATACATCTGCCTACAGTTTGCAAATTTCTATCATCAAAAGTCTGCTTCAGGCTTTCACCGTATTTAACAATCAATATGTCCATGTAGTAGTACCTTTGACACTACATTCTCATAGATAAATGTTACTGTTCCCTATCAAGATGAATGCCTTCTAGCTACTCTCTTAGCGACATTTTGAGCGTCCTATCCGTGTTTGTAACATTTAAAAAGTGCTACCACTTTTAGAAAATTGGGCCGGGCTCTGCATTCCTTTCCTCTTTCTCAAATGAACTAAAACGGCTCATGTTCACAATGAAATTATTAGTCCGCCGCAGAAATGGATGACTACCCAGCAAATTCCAAAGCCCAGCTCGCTCTGGAGGACGATGTGGCTACCAAGACCCCCAGCAGAATCCCTCTCATTTTGGCGGGAATATTCGCAGCGGCCACCATTGCCTTGACTGCCACTACAGGTGAGTGGAATCCTCACGCTAAAGCTCCTGGTTGGCATCGCAGTTGCGCTCACTGTCAGAATCTCAAATCTTTGCTATCATCTTGTGCATTGATCGGACCTTGGTTTTGGCCTTGGCACGTTACATCTTTTACGATCGAGTGATCGGTACTTAAAGACGACATCTAAATGAACGGAAGTACGTTGAAGACAACTTCATTTTTGCACGAATTCAAGTCTTAATTTGTTCCAAACACTAACTTAGATCAAAAAAGTCTCCGGTTTCTGGCCAGGGCACGCGTCGCTGTAGACCTGCGCAAAATAAAGCAGTTTTTATCATGTATAAAACGATGTCCAAAAGCTGCCAAACTTGCATTAATTAAGGGCGTTATTTTAACGTATGTTTGATGTAAAGGAGTCCATCTAGTTCGCCATACATTTAGTTGGGCACTCTTTTTCAGATGACGTCATTTCTGCATTATACATTTACATCTGGGAACCAGACAAACGAGGTGGTCTTATGTCGTTTGTACATGTTCAAGCTGATAATGCTTTTAAACAGTAAAAATCGAGGGGCCAGTCTACTTAGCTGTTGCTATCGGCCGGCTTTAGGACGTGCTCACGCAGTTGCGATGGACATCGCGCATTATACATATATCATTTCCAGAAAACAAAAATGAGGGCTAAAAAAAGCCGTGTCGCCGCACCACTTTTGGAGCCAGCCCCTGACCTGAAATTGGAACTTTTGTTTGGTCTTGTCCAACATACTGCCTTGCTCAATTATTCCAGCAATACGAATAGTCAGTGTTTTCGATTATATTGTGTCAATATTCAATTATTTCCGTATGATGACGGTGTTTGCCTGAATTTACTAACGTGTTTTCTGCCGACTCGTTTTTCTTTTACAGTTGTGTTCGTCCTGCAGAAGAACAACATCGCTAATGAATTGGACGAGTTGAAGGCCACCAGTAAACCAACTCAACCTGTCCCGCTCTGCACCACAAAGCAGTGCTACGACTCGGGTAAGCCATTTTTGGGTTAAATTACAAATTAGGCCGATTTTTCGGTTCTTGTCCACTAGCCTTACCTATTTTTGCTATGTCAATGTGAAGATTTTGCTGTTTGAATCCTCCACTCTTTAGCTGCTGTGTTTAGTACGCCCCTGACACTGGATTGTTGTTTAATTATACACTTTAATTTTTAATAATCAATTGTAAGCGGCTAGAGAAGTACTAGAGACAGACTGTGCTCGTGCTGCACTGTGCTTTTAATTTTTTTTTCAGCTTACGTTTACTTGAGCAGTATGGATCCCAGCAAGAATCCCTGTGAAAATTTCTTCGAATATGCTTGCGGAGGCTGGATGGAACGGTACACGGTTCCAGACGACCAAACCAGCATCTCTGCCTTCACTTTACTCAGAGACGATCTGACAGACAAGCTGAAAGGTACCAAATGGTACACATGGAACAGTCTAGTGTTGTAGGGGGGGAGGTTGAGGCACGTGCCCCCATAAATTCCCAGTGCCCCCGCACTAAAAATGAATGAATGGATATTGAACATGGCTAACGAAAGCTTGCCACCAAGACCCACACCACTGAAAGCTGATGACCCCCATAAGATGCTGGGCCCCCTTGTGCCCCCCCCCTAGTAAAATGTAGTATTGCCACCATCAGTCTACCAACGAATAGTGCTAATGTATGGGGAGGGGGGGTTCAGAACCCGTTAATTGTAACTCATTAGGTTAATCTTTTATCTAACCAGCTCTGTTTGAACAAAGCCCGACTGCTGGTGAGCCTGATTCGTTTCACATTGTGAGGAATGACTACCAGTCTTGTGAGGACATGGGTAAGTCACTGCAATCATTAATCAGCAAGTACATTTTTCGGCCGTGAAAACTGTTTTGCCTAAAGCTTAAAGGTAACATATAAAGTAAAGATTTCAAAATGTGAACAGAACCGAATAAGAAAAGAGATGAGGCTTAATTGATACCCTATAAAAGAAACTTTGATGCATGCACGGAGGAGCACTTTGGTTGAATTTCAAGTGAAGTTTTAAACATCTCAATTACCCTCGCAGTTATGTATAAGGAAACCGAATTTCACCCCCAACAGACACCATCAACGAACTTGGGGCCAAGCCTCTGACTGACCTGCTGACGTCTCTTGGCGGTTGGCCAGTCCTCGGTGACAACCCGGCGGGTGGGAACTGGGACCAGGCCGCTTTCGACTTTGAGAAGCTGTGGGCTGACATCAAGGGCAAATACGGCGTAGAAATGATCGTTGCCTCAGACGTATATCCCGATCCGGATAATAGAGCCAAGTACAAGTTGGATGTAAGCTTGTGACATAAACTGTTGAATATTAAATTTGCCTTCATAGAAGAGAAGTGCTACACCTTGGCAGCGTGAACCAGTGGTATCACACTTCAGAGAATGCTAGATCACAAAATAGGGAATTGGGGTACATCTTCACCTTTGGAAAGGTAACTTTGGTATGATGTGGGTATTGATCTAAACAACTTTAAACTATTATAACGACTTGTGATGTCTTCTCTGTGTTATAACAATTTTTCAATTCCGATTAGGCGTATACACCAAATTTCTTGGTTCCAAGGACAGAGATCGAAAACAAACATTTGCGAGGAGTCAAGACTTTGGTAAGGGGACATATCAAAGTAGACTTTCTTTTCAGATTTAAAGTCTATGTTACTTTAATACTATGTTTTTAAAGTTAATTGCCATGTATTCATAACTCTGTTGTTGTCAAAATTGCAAAATAATGTATATTGTCCCATTTGAATGTTCTAAATTCATACGAATTCAGTTACTTTTTTCATAATAGTGGTCAGATGAATTTCTAGTTACCTGTCTGAGGAAGAGTTGATTAAAATGGTCTGACAATTCAAGCCATACATATTCATGAACTCTATCAACAATGTTACATTAAACGTTCTCCTGACAGATTGACGAACGCAACGATCCTGAAGACTACGGGGTGAAGATACTCTTGGAGGAGAAGTATTCCAAAGTATAAAGTCCAATTATTTCATTGCTCATCAAGATTTTTACCAATAGAGAGAACCACTAATCATTCAAATTTCTGTGTATAGATAAAATGTCGTAGATATTCATGCATAAGCCTTTCTTATGCTTAACAGGAGACAAACTTTGAGGCGAACAGTTGCTGCCTTAGCAACCGAATGTTTGGTTGAGGATGGGGGTGTCAATTTTTAAAACAATTTTAAATGTACCTGCAATAGTCAAAATCACTGGGTGTGGCATAGTTCCCTGTCCATGCCAAAGGCATGGTACATGCTGATAGAAAACGTCGTGCTTTTTAAAGCCCCTTTCGACACATCCTCTCCTCATTAATTAATTAAAATGTAATCTTATTACACTTTCAGGAGAGGCAAGCCTACTTTCAGTACCTGATCGACATTGCTGTGGCGCTTGGGGCGAGCGAAGCGGTCGCAACACAAGACATGACCGACCTCATCGAGTTTGAATCAGCTATGGCAAATGTATTCACTGTTCCTCGATCAAGTAGATCAGTAGAACAAAGAACACAATGCGATAGTTTGGTCTTATGTCAAATTTCTCACAAGCTATGATAGGGGTTTAAAGGAAAAGAAGAAAAATGCTCGATTTATATTGATTGCATATGAAAACCTGTCAATGGAAACGACTGGACTTAAAATATTTTTAAATGTTTGCCAGTATAATTTTTAGAAAGAAGAGGCACTTTACACGAGAGGCATTTTATATCCATCCTTAACTGTTTGCATGTATCATTTGTTTTGGTAGTAGGCCCAGCAGTGATGAACTTGAAATCCATTCTGGTTTACTATTTCCACAGTTGACTGTTGAACATCCAGACACGTTTCTAGGCTGGGTCGGAGTCACTCTCAAGGAAATTGGAATGGATGAGGTAAAGTTACACAACGATTTTTTGTATTTTTTGCCAATTAAGACCGTCAAGAGAAAATCTGTTGACGCATCGCCACAAGAATAACAACATGCCAGATTTGAAGTCTAGCTCAGCCATTTGCGTCTTACTTCGTAATAGTTCAGTCATATATAGGCCTAGTTTCATGAATGTGAAGTATAACATGAAGTTCGTAAGATTTGCATTTCAATGAAATTGCACTTTTTGAATTCTCAGTGAACAATAACTTGTGTTCTAGATTGACTGGGTGCGTTTTTACAATCTGATGTTGCCAGCAAGTGTCAACCCACGCGTTACTGACAACGAACCCATCGTAAACTACAACCCTAACTACATTTCTAACGTCACAATGTGGCTCAAAGATCAAAGCAAAAGGTGGGTGAAGGATGGCCGGATATCTAGAAGTTTTTACTGCATTTATACTATGATAAATACACCCACTTTTGTTGTTTTAATAATTGTTATTTCAACATTCAGTTTTAAAGATGAATAACTAACAATTATAGTATTTTTTAAACCAAATGTATTCGATAATAAATTATTTCAAACTTAAAACACCGTCCCTCTCAGAGTCAAGGCCAACTACATGATATGGCGGCTTGTCAGCCAAATGGTGCCCTTCATGAACGAGACGTTCCTGGCCATCAGGCAGAAATACCTGGAGAGTGTTTACGGTGCCATTTCTCCAACAACCCGCTGGAAGACGTGCGTCTCCAACGCCAAAGACCAGTACGAGTTCATCAGCGGCAGGATGTACGTGGATGAACACTTCCCAGAAGATGCCAAGCAGAAAGTATGGGACAACAGGCGTGAACACTGCCACAACTATGGTTGTTCTGGTCCAAGAGTCTGTGGACTCTTAATAGCAATGTCACATAAATCCCTTCACAGGCCTTCCTCAGACCTAATTATTGTAAATAAAGTCTGTATACAGTTCATTCAACAAACACATATCTAATTGCGTGAAACCATGATAATAAAGTTGTGATATACGCAGGTATTATTAAGAAAGAAAGGGACAGAGGCTACATGTTGAACAGACACGTCTCAGCATTATTGTTTCTATCGTATCTTTAATTTAAAATTTTGTTTTGTAAGACCCTAGACATGATACGCAATCTGCAGACGGCTTTCAAGTCCATGCTGACCACAAATGACTGGCTCCAAGAGGAAGATAAGCCCAAAGCTGCCAGAAAGGTTTGTTTAAATGAAAAAGAGATCAGTTTAGGGGTCAAAGGCCGGCATGAAAAATCAAACACTGATCCCCTCCCGACCTTGACGGGAGTTATGTTGAATTTCATTCTGCTGTTTCCTATATGCCTGTACGAAGACAGTTAACTCCTTTTTGAAAAAAGAAGCATTTGCTCACTTGACAGAAACGATTTTGTGTGTCATGTTGGACACAAAACCATTCCAGGAGCTAAATTTTGACTGGATACCAGAAATACAATCTTTCATGTCTTTGTTGTTGGTGATGTGGATGCTGAAACGTCGCACTCTACTCTTGATAAGTCAGAATGTTCGCTGTTCATAAGTACGGAACTTCAGAGGTATTGTCATTTAACTGAATTTAATATATTAAACACACCTGTGGGGTCAGCAAAATTATTCAACTCATGACTTTTCACCTGCAGGCGGATGCAATGGTTATTGAAATTGGCTACCCGGAGTGGATAAAAGACAACGCTAAACTTGACGCGGAGTACGCCGATGTGGGTAGCACACTTATTATACCTTTACGTTTCATGAGGTCATGTACATGATGCAGAGGATTTGATAAGGGGAGAGAGAGGGTGTGTGTGTATGTAAGGGACAGAATATCTGGTTGTGATGAAGTACGGCTGAGTGATCTCTGACGTTAATGGTAATGCATCCCCCCTTTGATATTCGACCAAGACGTCAAACCATTTGGCTAGAGTTCCAGTCTTGTATCCACTTGTTAATGATAGTTATAAAGAAAGCACGGATGTGTCTTTTTGTCAGCAAAACTTTGATCCAGTAGAACGATATGAGTCCATGAGTGTTTCCCCTACGACTGACTCCTATGAAAAACAATTATATCTGGTCATTAATGAGATCAAGTGCTGCAGCATTTTCATGGACATTGAACTTGGTCTTGCAGCTAACTGCCAAGAACAAGGAATATTTCCAAAACAGATTGAGGTACCGTGAGTGGATCTCTCAGGCCGAGCTGGCACTCTTACGTGAGGATGTGGAAATTGAAAACTCACTGTGAGTATGCGGTAACAAAATACTAGATTTGTGTACAACTTACAGGATTTGTTTGTGGTATAAATACAACGAGTTCTTCAAAATACAAAATCAAGTTGGGACTATTAGACGTCTGTCTGCGATAGAACTTGGAAAATATCTTTGCATTAGCCTTTGGACGAGTCTGTTTGCAGTAGTTATACCTCAAAAAGTGTAAATCGTTGTTTTTAGTTTAGTTTTCGAATACTGGTATTCTTTAAAGGTGGACAATTGTAGGACCGGCAGTTGTCAATGCATTCTACAGTCCAAGCGCAAACGGAATTTGTAAGCTTTGTTCTTTGAGTCTGTCTTTTCCATCATTTACGAATCGGTTTAAAAATAAGGCAATTTCTGAATCAGCCAGTCATAGCAAAATCTATGTATTTAGTGGTGTCAATGGGGAGATTGTCTGACCCTGCTTTTTTTACAGGGGCACTCAATGGCCTTGACAAGGGTTGAAACAACGGCCGAGGGGAATATCACTAGATTTCTTCCGTCCGTAATTTCTGACGGGTAGTGCACAGGCCGTGAGCTTCGGGGCGGGGAGTTCCATGCCCTCACCATTAGTTAGGTCACTGCAGATAGAGCACCTTTGCAACCGACACATAGATACCAATATACCATTTCATCAACCCACCAGCCCATTTTGAATAGAGTTTGCTTCATCCCCTTTCAATGAGCGCTAAGTCTACAGTTTCATCCGCACGCGAACTGCGGACCTGTGGTACCACTATGGACGCCAATTCAACACCCACCAGTCACACAGTGGTCCATTCATTATATACCTGCCAAAGTGTAACCTCTGTCGTCATCTTATTAAATAGTTAATCAATAGTTGTTACACCCACCAACAAAGCAGCCACCCCCCCCAATGTGCACCAATCAAACAGCCTGCCATGAACTCAATTAACCAAGCACAAAACTTACCAACCTCTACCAAATTCTGACCAACTAATAACTCTTACACCCACCGATTCAACGAACTTCAACGTCTTTTCTCCAGTGTTTCCGGCAGCTATCCTCCAACCACCTTTCTACCATAAGGATCTTCCCTGGTGAGTTTTAACCAAATAAGCCATCCCATGTGATGCTTTAGTTATTTGTAGCTCCCTCTAAAGTGCTTGAATTGAAGTGTGTATGATTAATCTCTGAGAATTAGATATCTTTCAAATTAATTTTGAAGCTTCATTAACACGGTAATGTTTTTGCCACTCAGGAGTTTTTTAAATTGACTCACATAAAGCTAGCAGTAATTCATACCTGCGTGAAAAACACAAAGCACAATTCCCATCAGCCTATCATCCAGGGTACTAAGCATTTTCCATTTTCTTTCTAGGTATTCCAATTACGGAGGTATTGGTGTGGTCATAGGACACGAAATAACGCACGGTTTTGATAACAACGGTGAGTTACTGTCAAACACGGCGACAGAAGATTGTGAGTATTTGAATAACTCACGAAGAAGTCTGCGTATTTGAAGAATATTTTTGCTTTTTTAACTTTTATTGTGGTCTCTTCACTTAAAATACCTACGCTATAACATAATTCTGGACTTTGGTGTGTTTAAAAAATTAAAGAAATTTTTCCGTTTAAGCACTTCAATTGTACCATCCCAAACATGAATTTAAAAAAGAATGGACTTGATTTGAAAGAATTGATTGAAGAATTTGCCCTGTCAAGTAAAAGGAACATGGTTCCAAGGTTTGCTTAAACAGTTTCTGTTTTCTTCACAGGAAGACAGTACGATGAAAACGGGTACTTTAGACAGTGGTGGACTCAGGAGTCCATTGAAAATTTCAAAGAGAAAGCCCAGTGCATAATTGATCAATACTCCGGCTTTGTTATGCCAGAAAATGGCAGACACGTAAGCTTTGCTTTGTTGACTCTTTGTTTCTTATTTCCAATCGCATTCCAGATACAGACCCACTTATTTTTTTCTAACAAGAAAGCACCCTCTGTTCTCCCTAGTTTTTCGAAAAGAGCAAGATAACCTCTAAATCCCGGAAGAAAAAGTAAACACTAAATGGACGCAAATCTGCTATCTTTACAGCTAAACGGAGAGCAAACGCAAGGTGAAAACATCGCTGACAACGGAGGTCTCAGAGAGTCGTTTAAGGTAAACAACAGATGTAACATTAACTTTAACCTTGATTCCCTCACAGCAAAGATATCATACTTTCCGCTTTCACCTTTACAAAGGTCTAATTTTCGAATCTTTTCTTTTCTAAAGGCCTACATGGACAACATTCCTAAGCAGCCTCGACTTCCTGGTGTTGATTTCACCGATGAGCAGATGTTTTTCCTTTCATATTCTCAGGTAAAGCAAAGACGTTTACGTAATAGTGTACTATTCGAGTGAGTTTGATTAATTCGAGCAAAACTCCATTTCAGTAATAAAAATCGAGTCTGGATTTACACAGTAATACCTGAACGTACCAAATCTTCCAATTTAGATGTGATTTTTGATACACCCTAGAGGGTTAGTGTTGACACGTTTTTCTTACGCTTACCCCAACGGTACCGTGTCTCGTCAAAATGTATGACCAACTAATACGTTAGAAGTGGTGATATTCGATTGGACAAAATGCGAGTTTCTAGCACCAAGAACGTCAATCAGAAAATAAGTGGATAACATCTAATATGTTCCAATCAGTAACTATTCATGAAGCTTACAAACTAGTGCGCAAAAGGAGATACTTTTTTGCTCTCTTTTACAGCTCTGGTGCAGTTTGTTCAAACCCGAAGGTGTGGATAACTATATCGACAATGGAGTGCACAGCCCCGGCCGATACAGGTTTGTTAATTTCTTCGCCTTATTCTTATTACTGATATAATAAAAACTTTACGATTTGTGTAAGTAAAAAAGTACAGAAATATGAATGGTTCTCTATAAAAACTATTAAATTTGCTTGAATTTAAATTACATGTATGGTGACTTGACCCTTTTTAAACATTTTTGTAGAGTCATTGGTCCACTGCAGAACAACGAGGCGTTTAACACTGCATTCAACTGCCCGGCCGGAAGCTACATGAATCAAGATGTCAAATGCAAAGTTTGGTATTAAATTCGTTAGTTCATGAAAATGCACAAATTTGACATTAAAGACGCTGAGCTGTAACTATAATTCTATCTAGCAAACATCTTAAAAGTATGAAAAGATACAGATGTATTAATTATACCTTCAAATGCAAAACAACAAACCAATTCAATACTGAAATCGTACCTCCGAATTTGTGGTTTATTAATAATTTAATAAATCGATCTATAATTACAAGAAGCGTTCTCTCCTGCTTTGTGCTTTAAAGATGATGCGTAAATTTCACTATTTCCATGCCTACTTATTTGCACTCTTAATTTGTTCAGTCCAATGGGTTTTTATAATCACAATCTCGTTTTGAAATGATACTTGCCTAAGATGTGTTAGCTATATGATAAAGTTCTCAGTACCGCAGGAAACCCCCTGATATCCGTTCAGATGATGCCTAGCAAGGAAGTACACGTATATACAGTATTTCATTTGGTCGTTGTAATAGCGTTTTGTTCTGTAATGTTCTGATGTTTCCCGGCCAAACAGCATCTGTGGTATATACCGGTAATGGGGCAGAGTGGGATGGAGCAGAATTGTAAAGAGTCTACTTTTTTGGCAACTCGACTCAACTCGAGTTCCGACGGGAAACTTTCCTCAACTGGACTGAGTCACCATACGAGCAGATGACTCGACTTGACTTGAGTGGCACAATACAATTACTCGTTACAGAAACGCTACATTTACTTGTACATGCCAGGATGAAAATAATGATACAAATAATAAAGACTAAATAAAGATTAAATAAACAATCCCAGTCTTAGACTCTGTTTCTTTGTGTATTGTTAATCGATGGTGTTCAAATATTTGACTCAGCTCAACTCGACCACGCACCATGAACTAATCCAACTTGACCTTCCAATGGCTGGACTCAATTCGAGTCACTTCCTACGATGACGAAACCCAATCTCTCAATATAACGCCTCAATGGGAAGGAGGTCCTGTGCAAGAAAGAGTCCACTTCTAAGGAGTGTCTGGGGCAAATAGCGCTAGAAGACGGTGTGTTAAGTGCATAAGTTGCTTTCATTGATATTTTATTGTTGTGATCGTGAAGAATGCTTTCTTCGTGGATATCTTTTCCTACGAATTCAGTGACCGACAGAACGCATATAAAGAATTTGTGAATACTATTAACATTGAATTCACATTTGTGCTCTGAAATGGCATAATCTGAACGAAATGCAAACAAGCCATTCCAACAATCAAATAAAATGAAACGAATCAAATAAAACGAAAGCAATTCAAATAAAACTAAATAATGCAATATAGAATCTCATTCACTTTTTGACAAAACTTTTTGACTGGAAAGACAACACATTCTGCATGGATGACGAAGTGTCTTGCTTCGAGGATGACGAAGTGTCTTGCTTCGATGATGAGATAAATCCTGTGATTTTAGAAAATCTAACGGTGCCAAGGTGGGAGGGTGGTCAGACCAGAGGTTTTTTTTCAATGTTTCATTTTTGCGACTGAGCGCTAAAGTGATGAAAAATTACACGACATAGATTATTTACAGTGGTATTAGTGCACTCACCTTTATTTTTTTTATTGATTTACCCCATTTTTAAAGACCTTTTTGCCTCAGAGCGGGGAGGCGGTGTTGCCACTTCCGGATCCGTGCCTGTGTGGGCTTCTCTCGGCCCCCCTTGAGTTGCTATTTGGCAGCCTTTAATTTTGTCAACCCGTCACGATATAATTGTATGCAGTACCAGGCCGGGGTGGGAAGGAACTTGTTACATAAATCTTATACACATTAATCCAACATGAGGCTCTCTCAAATCATTCGCTTATTTCAGGACAAAAGATAGACTGGCTCGCGCTCGAGCATATACGTCCAAAATTTGGTCATTGATATATATTGAAGGACTTTAATAGGAGAGCTAAAACTGTAAAAGTTAGAAAGCAGCAACAAAGAAAAAATCCACAAATAATGTGTTAATTATCAAACCACAAAATGACAAAGTGTGGATTGACCAACTTATCAGCCTCTTCACCGTTGTCTGTCTTCGAGATCAAAAGCCTGTGTATTAAAAAATGACCATTTTCGCGTGTTTCGTTTTTGCCAGAGTCATGGGAACGCTGCAAAACACCGAAGCGTTCCACGTACGCTGCATTCAACTGCCCTAGTAGAAGCTATTCATGAACCCAACGATAAATGCAGGGTTTGGTAGAAAAAAAGTTTGCGGGCGCAGCCAGCCTGGCAAACACCCACCCGTCTATCCTAATGTGATAATCAGGCTGCTCCATCAAACATTACATGATTCTGTATCTTGTATTGTATCAATGTTTCCAGCAGTAAACGTGCAGTAGGTCTGCTTTTAATTTTAGCAAGTTGGTGATGTGACACCATGAGCAAAGTAAATGTCTATTTGCAAAGGGATAAAATTTAACCGCTAAGCACCCACAGGTTCGAACGGGTTCGCTAGCCTAGATTATACCTGGATAGTTTGTATGTAAAACATACTATTGTAGGCACTGTGTTTCTGGCACAAAGCAACAGTAGGCTTGCTTTTTCCTATTGCAAAGTATATGTCAGTTGACCAGTTTTGCAAACAGTGACACACGGGAAACGGGCAACATCAACGGTCTCTCTATACAGGCACAATGCTATTTCGTTCAGCATCAAAACTTTTTAGTAGGTTTGTATGTAAGTAAAGAGGTTTGCGGTAGCACCACACAAGGATAATATCTCTTTTCAAGTTGTTGTGTTATGTCAAATGTTTTATGTATATGTTTTTAATGTATTCATTTTTTGTCATGTTTTACAATACCCAGTGAAAAAAGTAATAAAATAAGTATGTGTGGTTTTGAAAATGACGAGATGGTCTGTCGTCAGGAGACTACAGAGGCTCTATTGATGAAGCAGCTTAATATGGTGTCTATAGAGGCGGCGAGGTGTGAAGAGGATGCTCACTCATGATCCAACTGGAATCAGGGCACTCAAGCAGGACATGAGATGCTAGAAGATCAGTGAGGTGTGTCAATATGACGGAGGGGAGCGTGGGGAAAGTTGCCAAGAGCTTAAGATACCAACAGGCTGGAAACATGACCTAGGGTATCGAAGACCCATTGGACTTGGATGTGAGGATGCGTTTTCATTACTTTACATAGTGTGTATATACAGTACATGTACTTCATAAATATGGCAGTACTGCCTCATCAGTTACTCTGCATTGTGTAAATGTAGATGGTGCTGAAATAAATAGGGATAACGGCATTAAGATAAAAACTGATAGGATTACTTTATTACGTACTGGGAATCTTAAAAACTTGTCCATGTTGACAGCCCCTTTAACATTAATCGCAATTGTTTTGTTTAAATGTCCCGTTGAAAACATTTGAAATTAGGCTTGAATATTGATATTGACAGTATTAATTTCCAGCAGAATTTCTGGTCAGGATGAAAATTCCGAGAAAAAACTAACCGATATCAGTGTCATTAATTGAAGGGTTGCTTGATTTCTACGCCGCTGTCGATGAGTGGGCAGTAATGGAACATAAATGGTTAATTACACCCACGGCTAGATCAACAAAATTGGCAGACCAAGCCCATGTCTTAACACAACAGAATAGACGAGTCCCTGTCTTATGAGACATCGCAACTTCGTTAGTTAAACACGCACAGGTTTCAGTTAGCTGTTCATTAATGGCAAAACAATAAAAAAAAGCAAGGGCGTGCATGGTTTGGGGCAGTTTTGAGGTTTCTCTTTTCAAAATTGAAAGTTTCACAATAAAAATCAACCACCTTTGAGGTTATGCTAACGAATCTAAGTCTTGGAAAATCTTCTTGGTTAAAGGGATATCAATTTATAGGTTCCTTTACGAAGGTCCTCTGGAGCTACAGGGAAAGATGATATTTTTTTCTGTGCAATATTTCTAGACCCTGTACGTCTATTTAAATAGTTTATCACTGAGTAAATATTGAATGTGTCACGGATTGATACCAAGCTGCATTTCCAAGCTGGGTTTCATTTCGTGTCTTTTTTACGGCTAGAGAGGCAGTGCTGTCGCCAACGGAGAGTCGTAAGTACTTTCTTATTTTGGAAAAGTTGCCTTTGCTTTGTACTTCGTTTTCCTATTTTGTCCACCTTATGGACGCCACTAGCTTATACATTCACGCACGATTTCCGAACAATTCGGGAAAGAAAACGTATAGTCATACAGTGTTATAGTACCCAATCTGGGGAAGCTCCGGGCATTATTTTTCAGCTGGGAACGGTAACATTCGATTTCACATGCTTTGTGTGTTTTGAAGAGAACGCAAATGGTGCTCATCACAGAATAACCTAAGCTATCATTAAAATTAACATTGCTTACAACTATCGGTGTTACACTTAATTACCACTGAGAATAAGAAGGGTGTCTCTCTAAATACAAAGAAAGCAGAAACAAAAAAAAAAAACGGGGACGGGGAGAGTGAACGCCCATTTTTATCATCCGAAGTAGAGTGACCCTTCCATTGTGCTGCTCCCTATTCTTAAGCGTTGTCCCTCGGTTCTTAGGTACAAATCTGGCAACATGTTCAAGGCTGTAACTACATGTATGAACCATCAAACTCAGGTTACGGTACACTCGTTTTTTTTACTTAGTTCCTGTCCGTGTTAGGGCCAAAGGTCTGTTGACAAGCTATAATGAACAAACAGCCCCTGAAGCGCTTTAAGTCATGCCCGCTGAATCGCTGGTCATGCCCAGTTACGACGGAGCCAAGCGGCTTTCTGGCTTTATCTTGTTGATCCTCCCCTCTTATCATTCTGTCCTCAATTTATTTTACCTGTTGACATCGCTCTTGATCTCTGGATGTCAAGAGGCGCCAAATGAACTGGGTGCTCTTGATTTCTTTGGTCACTGATCAGTGGGGTTACGTGGATTTCTTTCATGTTACATCGGTGAAGGACTGTTTGCAGAATCTTTAACCCAGATTTTAAGCTTAATCGTGCACCGTGTTCTACAAAGTCCCTTTGTTATCGATAGACAATTGACGAAGGGATCGTGTCTCAGTAGTTGCTAGTCAAGTTTGGTGTGACACATTTCGTAAAATTGGATCGAAGTAAATAATCCCAGACTCACTGGTTTTGTGAAAATCGATTTTCTTAAAACCTCTAACGGATTTCCTCGTCTGATGAGTTCAACACCCGTCACAAACGGATCGAAGCGCGATTTGGATGCTAAAATTCTCTGCTAAAATTGGTCTGACTTGAAAGCCCAAAATGGCTGTAATTTGCAGTGGACTGGGGGCACCAGTTTTCGAAAATGTTAAAAGGTTTAATCTAGAAAGGATTCATTACTTTAGCCTGGCTAAATCCATTTTCTTGAAACGTTTCTGAATGTCTTTAGCAGCCTCGATGACACCATTTCAGACATGACTAGAATTACAGACACGCCTTTTCAACGGCAAAATATATCTATAAACGAAGCTTTCTGCTTAGTCCACGATGAGCACCGGGCCTCTGTCCATTTTAAAATTACTCGTTAAAACCACCAGATCGCATTTTTATTTCTTTGATTAGATTAAATTAGATTTCATGGGCGCAACTTTGAGCGACGGAACATACATCTGCCTGGCAGTTTGCAAATCTTTCTCCTCAAAAGTCTTCTTGAATCTTCCACCGGATCCCTCTCTCAAAAGATGCGTCCTTGTATATAAGGACCTTGTATATGAGGACAGTTGAAACATAATTCTCAAATAATGTGCTACAAATGTAACTGCTCCGTATCAAGATGATTACCTGCGCTCTAGACCACAGTTTGAACGTCCTGTTCGTGTTAGTAACTTTTAAAAGCGATACTACAATGTGCACCATTTTAGCATCTCGAAAATTTGGTCGAGCACTACATTTTTTCCCCCAGTTTCTAAAGTGAACTCAAATGATTCATGTTCACAGTGTAGTTATTAGTCCGCCGCAGAAATGGATGACTACCGAGCAAATTCCAAAGCCCAGCTCGCTCTGGAGGACGATGTGGCTGCCAAGACTCCCAGCAAGATCCCTCTCATTTTGGTGGGAATATTCGCAGCGGCCACCATTGCCTTGACTGTCACTACAGGTGGGTGGAATCCTCACGCTAAAGCTCCCGGTTGGCAGCGCGGTTCCGCTCAATGCCAGAATCTCAAATCTTGGATATCATCTTCTGCTTTGATATCAGACTTCGGATTAGGCCTTGGCACGTTACAACGTTTACGATCGAGCAATCGGTACTTAAAGACGACATGTATATGTGTATTATAAACGGAAATACGTTAAAGACAACTTCAATTTTACACGAATTTAAGTATACCAGGCACGATATGGGACAGAGGGGTACCCCCTTACCTGTCCAATCCCTATACCCACTTTAGACTATTGTTACCGAACACATCCCCCAGAAGTCTGTAAAGAATTCCTGAGACTCCGATCAAACAATGACCAACACAAAGGCAGGGGGAGGGGGGGTTCTCTCTGTCCCATATCTTGCCTCAAATGAATTTGGGTCCTGGTTCCAGCGCGAACTTACCCCTGACAACATACTGCCTTGCTTGATCTTGTGATAATTTACTTGTCATCATTCAAACATTTCCGCACAGTTTCGAATGACGATTTTTGCTTGAATTTTGTGTCACACTAACGTGTTTTTGGCCTACCCGTTCTTCTTATACAGTTGTTTTCGTCCTGCAGAAGAACGACATCGCTAACGAACTGGACGAGTTGAAGGCTACCAGTAAACCAACTCAACCTGTTCCGCTCTGCACCACAAAGCAGTGCTACGACTCGGGTAAGACATGTTCTGGTTTAAATTACAAAATTATGCCGATTTTACATTTCTAGTCCACTAGCCTTCCCGATTTTCGTTCTGTCTACGTCAGGATTTTGCTATTTGATTCTCTAACTCTGTTGCTCCCGTCCCTGACACTGGATTGTTTTTCATACACAAAATTATAACTCCCTCGAGAAAAACTGGAACAAAATCTCGCCAGCAAGGTGTTTGACCTTTGAATGCTATTCCGAAGAGACAAGACCTACAGTTTCCCATAACTTTTAACTTAAAGATAAGATGCGGATACATGTCAGCATTTAGTATTTATTTACAGCGATGCGGTCTGTACTGATTGGGTACAGGTTGGTTTTATAGGTTTTATTATCAACCTACTTATCGTTGTCTGGAGTATTGGATTCCAAATTTCCCTAGTCATGCGGTGCGCACTGTGCTCTTTATTTGTTCAGCTTACGTTTACTTGAGCAGTATGGATCCTAGCAAGAATCCCTGTGACAATTTCTTCGAATACGCCTGCGGCGGCTGGACCGAACGCTACACAGTTCCCGACGACCGAACCAGCTTCTCTACCTTCACTTTACTCAGAGACGATCTGGCAGACAAGCTAAAAGGTACAAAATGCTACAGTGGAAATACCTACCAGTGGGACTTTTATCCCATTTTACCCCTTTCCATAAACACTTGGGACAGTTTTTCTATTCCTATTGGTTGAAACGTGTCACATGACATTTGAAAATGCCTGCTGCGATTTGATAATGCTCGTAGGGCAGAGCACGCGCTGGCACCTGGATACGAGAGAGTTTCTTTGATTCCCATTAGCCAAGAGTCCGTGTGCACGCGGAACTCGCCACCACGCGCACACCAAGTCCATATAATACGATTCTTCTGGACTACTTGCATAAGTGATATATCATCCATTGGACAGGGGTCTTTCGGGAAATGAAAATAATATTCTTGAACAAAGTCCTTGGAAATTTATCGTATATTGATTTTCTTTGACTGTTTGACTAAAAAGGTACTTATGAATGGGGATAGATATGTGCTGTACTAACGTTTAACACCAGCCAAGCACATATGTAAAGTTTCTTCTGCAAACCTCATCACCACTGAAGTAGTCACAGTAAGCACAGTATGGGCACAGTATTGCCACTGCCATTACCGCATTTGACGAGAGTTTTCGTCGATACTGTCTTCTCCGCTCTCGCCATCATTTTTATGCACACTGAATTGTCCTACTCAGTCACATCCACCTTGCCCCGCCATCAACGTTGAGCCATATTGCTGTCATCACAGATCTAGAATTGCCACCATCAGTCTACCAGCCTAATGCTTCTGGATATAAGGGGGGGGTGCTCTAGAACTCATTAATTGTAACTTTCCATGGTTAATCTTTTATTCAACCAGTTCTGTTTGAACAAAGTCCGACTGCTGGCGAGCCTGATTCGTATCACATTGTGAGGAATGACTACAAGTCTTGTGAGGACATGGGTAAGCCACTGCACTCATGAATTAATCGGCAAATAAACTTGGCCGTGAAAACTGGCCAGAACTTTGAACTGTGATATAAGGTGGAGATTTTAAAATGTAAACAGATCCGAGTCAAGGGATGTCATACCCTGTAAAAGAAGTTGCGATGTTCACATCAAGACGCACGTCAAGGAACTTCAGGTAAAGCTTATAGCACCTCGATTACCATCGCAGTCATGTTTAAAGGAAACTGATTTTCAACAGACACCATCAACGAGCTTGGGGCCAAACCTCTGACTGACCTGCTCACGTCGCTCGGCGGTTGGCCGGTCCTCGGAGACAACCCGGCGGGCGGGAACTGGGACTCAGCCGCTTTCGACTTTGAGAAGCTGTGGGCCGACATCAAGGGCAAATACGGCGTACAAATGATTGTTGCCTCAGACGTGTGGCCGGATCCCCAAAATACAGCCAAGTACAAGTTGGATGTAAGTTTCATAGGATATACACTTTTGCACATTAAATATGCCTTCATAGATCAGAAGAACCTGTGTTATCAGACTTCAGAGAATGCTAGATCACAGCGTAGGGAACTGGTGTACTTCTTTACCCATTAGAAATGTACCTTTAGCATATATGGGTATCGAATTCTAAAGTGAACAACTTTAAAGCATTACTACGATTTGTGATGTCTTCTCAGTGTTGTAACAATTTTTCAATTCGTATTAGGCGTATACACCTAGCTTCTTGGTTCCAAGGACAGAGATCGAAAACACACATTTGCGAGGAGTCAAGACTTTGGTAAGGGGACCTGTTACAGTGGATTTTTTCCCGGACTTTAGGTATATTATTTTAATACTATGTTTTTAAAGTTAATTGTAATGTATTTATAACTCTGTTGTCGAAATTGCAGAGCAATACACATATTCCCACTGGGCTATTCCAACTGCGTAAGAAATCAGCTACTTTTTCAGGGCTGTCAAATAGTGGTCAGATGAATTTTTAGTTACCCGTCAAATGAAGTGTTGTTTAAAATAGCCTGACAATGTGTACATTTAAGCCATACAAATTCATTGAATCTATCGATAATGTTATATTAAACATTCTCCCCGACAGATTGACGAACGCGATGAGCCTGATGACTACAGGGTGAAGATTCTGTTGGAGGAGAGGTATTCCAAAGTAAGTCCAGTTATTTCTCTTAAGCAGTTCATCAAGATTTTTAGCAGTAGAAAGAACCACTTATCATTCTAATTTCTGTGGAGAGAAAAAAGCCGTAGATATTCACGTATAAGCCTTTCTTATGGTTAGCATGACTTTGAGAGGGGGGTGTCAATTTTTAAAACAATGTGGAAAGTACCTTCCATATTCAAAAGCGCTGGGTGTGGCATAGTTGTCCGTCCATGCCGAAGGCATGGGTACAAGCTGACAGAAGACGTCGTGCTTCTTAAAGCGCGTTTCGACACATCATCTCCACAACACTACCTATTACTCGGCGGATTCTTTAGATGTACTAAATAATCTTACCACTTTCAATCTTATTACATTTCCAGGAGAAGCAAGCCTACCTTCAGTACCTGATCGACATTGCCGTGGCGCTTGGAGCGAACGAAACAGTCGCAACACAAGACATGACCGACCTCATCGAGTTTGAATCAGCCATGGCAAATGTATTAACTGCTCCTCGATCAAGGAGATAAATAGCACGAAGAACACAATGCAATAGTGTGATCTTATGCCAAATTTCTTACAAGCTACGACAGAGGGATTTAAAGGAGAAGAAGAAAATTGCACGGCTCGCTTCATATTTATTGCATATAAAAACTTTGAACGGAGACGGCTGCTCTTAAAGATATTGAAAAGTTTGTCAATGTAATTTGAAGAAAGAAGAGGCACTTTGCACGAGAGGCATTTTATATTGATCCTCAACAAATTGCTGTTTGAAATGTACCATTCGTTTTAGAAGTAGGTTTACGTACCAGTGATAAATTTGAAATCAATTCTGGTTTACTATTTCCACAGCTGACTGTTGTACATCCAGACGAGGGCTGGGTCGAAATCACCCTCAAGGAGATTGGAATGGATGTGGTAAAGTTACACAACAAACTTGGCAACTTTCGCCAATTTTGACTGTAATCAGAAAATGTGTTGACACGTCACCACAATACCGAAATGCCTGATATGAAATTTAGCTTAACCTTTCACGATTACTTCGTAATTGTTCAGTCATATATAATTTCATGAATGTGAAATACAACACGAGGTTCCGGTTCGTCAGATTTGCATTTCAATGAATTTGCCCATTCTGATTTCTCAGTGAACAATAACTTGTGTTCTAGATTGACTGGGTGCGTTTTTACAATCTGATGTTGCCAGCAAGTGTCAACCCACGCGTTACTGACAACGAACCCATCATCAACTACAGGACTAACTACATTTCCAACGTCACAATGTGGCTCAAAGATCAAAGTGAAAGGTTAGTCGTGAAGGATGGCCTGATAGTTAAAAGCTTTTACTGCATTTATACTATGATAAATATACCAACTTTCGTTGTTTTACTAATTATAATTTTAACATTTATTTTCAATGATAATTAAGTAGCAGTTAAACTATTGTTTAATATTTAAACAAAATATATCGATAACAAATTATTTCAAACTTAAAACACCTTCCCTTTCAGAGTCAAGGCCAACTACATGATATGGCAGCTTGTCAGCCGAATGGTGCCCTTCATGAACGAGACGTTCCTGGCCATCCGACAGAAATACCAGGAGACTGTCGACGGCACCACTTCTCCAACAGCCCGCTGGAAGACGTGTGTCTCCAACGCCAATGACCAGTACGAGTTCATCAGCGGCAGGATGTACGTGGATGAACACTTCCCAGAAGATGCCAAGCAGAAAGTACGGGATAACAGGCGTGAACCCTGCTACAACTATGGTTGTTCTAGTCCAAGAGTCTGTGGACTCTCAATAGCAATGTCACATAAATCCCTTCACAGGCCTATCTCAGACCTACTTGTTATAAATAAAGTCCATATACAGTTCATTCAACATACGGATATCTAATTATGCGTGAAACCATGGTAATAAACTTGTCATATGTGCATGTATTATTAAGAGAGAAAGGGATATGGTTGAACAGACACGTTTCAGCATCATTGTTACTATTGTTTCTTGAATTTAAAAATTTGTTTTTAATTAAGACCCTAGACATGATACGCAATCTGCAGACAGCTTTCAAGTCCATGCTGGAAACGAATGACTGGCTACAAGACGAAGATAAGCCTAAAGCTGCCGAAAAGGTTTGTGCAAATGTCAAAGAGATCAGTTTAGGGGTCAAAGGTCAGCATGAGTAATCAAACACTGTTCCCCTCCCGACCTTGACCAGAGTAGTGTTGAATTTCATTCTGCTGTTTCCTACATACCTGTACGAGCACAGTTAAGTCTTTGACACAAGAAGCATTTACTTGCTTGACAGAAACGATTTGGTGTTTCATTTTGGACTCCATAGTATTCCATGAGCTGAATTTCGACTGGAAACCAGAAATCTTTCAGTCTTTCAGGTCTTTTTTTGGCGTTGGGAATCGTCGTACTCTGCCCTTGATAAGTCAAACCGTTCGTTGTTCATAAGCACAGAACTTCAGAGGTATTGTCATTTGACTCAATTTAATATGTTAAACCCACCTGTGGGGTCAGCAAAATTATTCAACTCATTACTTTTCACCTACAGGCGGATGCAATGGCTATTGAAATTGGCTACCCAGAGTGGATAAAAGACAACGCTAAACTTGACGCGGAGTACGCCGATGTAGGTAGCACACCTATTATACCTTAACGTTTCATTGAGGTCATGCACATGATGCAGAGGATTTGATCAGGAGATAGAGAGTGTGTGTATGTAAGGGACATAATATCTGGTTGTGATGAAGTACGTCTGAGTGATCTCCGACACTAATGTTGATGCACCCCCCTGCCCCTTGATATTCGGCCAAGACGTCAAACGATTTGGCTAGATTTCCGACACTTGTATCCAGTGTTATTGATAGTTATAAAGAAAGTACGGTTGTGTATTTTTTGTCAGCAAACCTTTGATTCAGTAGAACGATATGAGTCCATGAGTGTGTCCCCTGACTGACTCTTGTCCAAAACAATAATGCCTGGTCGTTAATGAGATCAAGTGCTGCAGCACTTTCATGGACAATATCTTGGTCTTGCAGCTGACTGCCAAGGACAAGGAATATTTCCAAAACAGCTTGAGGTACCGTGAGTGGATCTCTCAGGCCGAGCTGGCACTCTTACGGGAGGATGTTGATACTGAAAACTCACTGTGAGTATGGGGTGGACGAAGTACTAGACTTGTGTACAGCTTACAAGACTTGTTTGTGGTATAAAAGAACAAGTTCTTCAAAAAACTAAAATCAAGTAACTGGGACTATTAGACTTCTGTCTGCAATAGAACTTGGAAAATCTCTTTGCATTAGCCTTTGGACGAGTCTGTTTGCAGCAGTTATACCTCAAAAAGTGTAGAACGTTGATTTTAGATTAGTTTTCGAATATTGGTATTCTTTCAAGGTGGTCAATTGTAGGACCAGCTGTTGTCAATGCATTCTACAGTCCAAGCAGAAATGGAATTCGTAAGCCATGTTCTTTGAATCTCATTTTGTTCATCATTTAAAAATCAGTTTAAAAATAGGGCAATTTCTGAATCATCCATGCTTCTGTCGCAGCAAAATCTATGTATTGAGTGGTGTCAACGGGGGAGGTTTGTGGGGCGGCAGTTCAAGGGGCCTTCACTTTTTCTGGAGGGGGCACTCGGTTGCCCGGGTCAGGGTTGAAACAACGACCAAGGCAGACTATCAGCAGATTTCTTTCCTCTATAATTTCAGGGGGGCACATGGTTAAGGCTTTGAGGGGTGTGGAGCTCCATGCCCTCACCTTTTAATTAAGCCACTGCAGAGAGTGCACCTTGGCAAACGATACGTAGTTACTAATATACCATTTCATCAACCCACCTGCCCATTTTGGATAGAGTTTGCTTCATCCCATTTAAAAGACCCTAAAGTCTACAGTTTCATTCACATGCAAGCCATGGTACCTCTAAGTACGCCAATTCAACACCAACCGGTCCTCCATGGTCACACCAACCAAGCAGCCATCCACCCAATTTTCACCAACCAAACAGCTTGCCATGAACTCAATCAACCAAGCACGAAACTTACCATGCCATCATCTACCAAATTCAGACCAACCAATAATTCTCACACCCACCGATTCAACGAACTTCAACGTCTTTTCTCCAGTGTTTCCGGCAGCTATCCTCCAACCACCTTTCTACCATAAGGATCTTCCCTGGTGAGTTTTAACCAAATAAGCCATCCCATGTGATGCTTTAGTTATTGGTAGCTCCCCCTAAAGTGTTTAAATTGAAATGTGTACGATTAATCTTTGTGAGTCAGAATAATTTCAAATTAGTTTCATTTTGATGATTTATTGTCACAGTAACATTTTTGCCTTTCAGAAATGAGTAATATCATACCTGTTTGAAAAGCAATTGTACATATCCCAGAACTGTATCATCCAGGCTAATAAGCATTTTCAACTTTCTGTATAGGTATTCCAATTACGGTGGTATTGGTGTGGTCATAGGACACGAAATAACGCATGGTTTTGATAACAACGGTGAGTTATCGTCAATCCAGGCAACAGACGATTGTGGGTATTTGAATAACTCACGAAAAAGTCTGCATTTGAACCATGTTTGATGAGTTTTTGGCTTTAGAAAACTTGGATTTTGGTCTCTTCACTAAAACACCTAATAACATTATTCTGGGCTTTTGTCTCTTATATTAGTGGTTTTTTCCGTTCAAGCATTTCAATCATACCATGCTTAATTTGAATTCAACAAAGATAACCGTACATTTTAGTAGGAAAAAGATTCCATTTCCCCTGGTAAGGGGGACATGTTTCTGAGGCTCACTGAAACATTTCGGATTTTTTTTCTGCACAGGACGACAATACGACAAAGACGGCAACTTCAGGCAGTGGTGGACTCAGGAGTCCATTGACAATTTCAAAGAGAAAGCCCAGTGCATAATCGATCAATACTCCGGCTTTGTTATGCCAGAAAATGGCAGACACGTAAGCTTTGCATTGTGGATTCTCTTTTGTTCTTTTTTCCAATCGCATTCTATTTCGTAAAATTATTCCTGCAGATGCATACCCTCTTTGGTATGACAGGAAAACACCCTCTGTTCTCCCTAGTCTTTCGAAAAGAGTGCAACATCATCTAAATCTAAGAGGAGAAAGTAAATAAAAACGTACGCAAGTCTGCTATTTTTACAGCTAAACGGAGAGCAAACGCAAGGTGAAAACATCGCTGACAATGGAGGTCTCAGAGAATCTTATAAGGTAAACGACAAAATAATACTTCAATAATATTAACTTTGATTCCTTCACTGCAATGATATCATACTTTCCGTTCGCGAATTATCGAATCTTCTCTTTTCTAAAGGCCTACATGGACAACATTCCTAAGCAGCCTCGACTTCCTGGTGTTGATTTCACCGAGGAGCAGATGTTCTTCCTTTCATTTTCTCAGGTAAAGCAAAGACGTTGCCATGGTAATATACTGCTACAGTGAGTCTGATTATTTCGAGAAAAAATCCATTTCAGTAATAAAAATCGAGTCCGGATTTACATAGTAATACCCGTCCCAAATCCTCCAATTTCAATGTGATTTTAGATACTCCTTAGAGGGTTAGGGTTGAAATGTTTTTCTTACACTTACCCCAACAGTACCGTGTCTAGTGAAAACGTGTAACCAAGCAATCTGTTAAAAGTGGTGATATTCGATGGACAAAATGCGAGTTTGTTGTACCAAGAATGTCACCCAGAAAACAAGTGGAGAATATCTATTATGTTCCAATTAGCAACTGTTCAAGAAGTTTACAAAACTAGTGTCCAAAAGCAGATACTCTTTTGCTCTTTTTATTTTACAGATCTGGTGTAGTGTGTTCAAACCCGAAGGTGTGGATAACTATATCGACAATGGAGTGCACAGCCCCGGCCGATACAGGTGTGTTACTTTCTCTTATCTTATTTTTATTAACAATTAATTATATTACACAAACTTTACAATTTCCGTAAGTAAAAAGTATAGAAATACGAATGGGTCTCAAATAAAACTGTAAATTTGCTTGAATTGAAATAACATTTATGGTTACTTGATGCTTTCAAAACTTTTTGTAGAGTCATTGGTCCACTGCAGAACAACGAGGCGTTTAACGCTGCATTCAACTGCCCGACCGGAAGCTACATGAATCAAGATGTCAAATGCAAAGTTTGGTATTAAATTCGTTAGTTCATGAAAATGCACAAATTTGACATCAAAGACGCTAAGCTGTAACTATAATTTTGTCGAGCAAACATTTTAAAAGTATGAAAAGATATAGATGTATACCTTGAACTGCAAATTCAATAAACCAAATTCAATACTGACATTGTACTTCAGAATTTCGTGGTTCATTAATTAATAATTTAATAAATCGCTCTATAATTACAAGAACTGTTCTCTCCTGCTTTGTGTTTAAAGATGATGCATAAATTTCACAATTTCCATGCCTACTTATTGGCGCTCTTATTTTGCTCAGTCCAATTGTTTTTTTCTTTATAATCACAATCTCGTTTTGTAATGATACTTGCTTATGTTGTGTTAGCTATATGATAGAGTGCATGCAATGTCTCTGCTTTTTCTCAGTACTGCGGGAAAACTGATATTCGTTCAGACGATGCTTAGCAAGGTAGTACATGTATATCCATCAGTTCATTTGGTTGGTGTAGTCGCTTTCCGTTCTGTATTGTTTTGATGTTTCTCGGCCAAACAGCATTTTTGGTATATACAATAAAATAATGGGGCAGAGAGGGATGGAGCAGAATTGTAAAGAGTCGAGTCAACCTTTTCGACTCAACTCAAGTTCCGACGAGAAACTTCCTCAACTACACTGAGTCACCATATGAGCAGATAACTCGACTTAACTCAAGTGACAAAATAGAGTTACTCGTTACAGAAATGCTACTTCTGCGTGTACATGCCAGATGAAAATAATGATACAAGTAATGAAATAAACAATCCCTATCCTAGACTCTGCTTCTTTGTGTACAGTTATTTGACGGTGTTCAAATATTTGGCTCAACTCAACCACGCACCGTGAACTGATCCAACTTGAGCTTCCAATGGCTGGACTCGATTCGAGTCATTTCCTTAGATCCTCTCTGGATCTAACACCTCAGTGGGAAGGAGGCCACGTGTCAGAAAGAGTCCACTTCCGAAGAGTGTCTGGTGAAAATAGCGCTGGTAGACGGTGTGTTAAGCGTACATTGTTTTCGTTGTTACCAAATAAACCAGTTTAGAGTCCAACGATTCTGACAAACAGTTTGACTGGAAAGACAACACGTTCTGCATGGATAATGTGTCTTGCTTCGATGATGAGATAACTTTAGAAACTGTGACGGCGCCACACTTTGAAGTGATATAGGTAGACCTGATATGGCAGGGGCGGATCCAGGAATTTTTCCGAGGGTGGTCAGACCGAAGATCTTTTTTTATGTCTTATTTTTGCGGCCGAGAGCAAAAGTGATGAAGCATTACGTGACGTAGATTGTTTACAATGGTATTGGTGCACTTTCCTTTATTACTTTTATTTGTTTGCCCCATTTTTAAAGACCTTTTTTTGCCTCTGGGCTGGGATGGGGGTGTTTCCATCCTCGGGATCAGTGCCTGTATGGGCTTCTCTCCCCCTACCCAGTCGAGATGCTATTTGGCAGCCTATAATCTTGTCAACCTGTCACGATGTGACAAGTTGACAGCACTAGGTTGTGGTAGGGTGAAAACTTGTTACAGGAATCTTGGCCACATTATATTCCAACCGGTAGCCGCAGGTGAGTGAATGGATTGTAGAGAACGCGTGCATTGTCAATTCCACGCCGAGATCTTTTGATACCGGCCGTCTGTGCAATGATAACAAGTTTATGATGCCCGGATGGTGAAGTGGATTGGCTTATTTGCTTTAATGTAATGGAAATTTTGAAAAAAAAGTGTAGAGTCTGAAGCGATTACCATGGAAACAATGCTCAGTACATTCTTTGAGCATCATGTGAACATAAGTTGTTCTGTTCATGATAAGTCACTACCTTCGTTTTGCCACATGGGTTTTCTCGGGTGTCACGTGTTTGGTGGGAATCATACGCCTGAACTCTCAGTTATTTGGAAGATCAGGTTGGTTTCACGACCGGCATTTACAGTTATACTGTTAACATAGCCTGCTGCACCTTGTGCGAGCAGTCGTAGCTGTGAGAAGCGCGACTTCAGTCACAAGTAAATTCAGGCTCTCACCTCTCCTGCAACTGAGAATGATGCACCCCCCTAAGGAGGCGTGGGTTTCGCCCCAAACTGAGGTAAGAATTCATTTCTCTGGTTGAATCTGATTTAGAAATCCTTAGCATAATAACAATTTGGGAGAAGGTCCAACCAGTGCTGGAGTCGAGTCTGTCCTTTCACAAGGCCAGTTATAAGTAACAGGATGAGAAAGGACAAAGAAATGCTTTTGTCACAGTTCATTTGAAAAGCTTTATGAATTGACTTTAGACAAGATGACTTGTGGTAGACTTACACGAATTTGTGATGGACTCAATTACAACACTGTGTCCAACGTTCTAGGGCTGTTTACAATGTAAAAGGCAGCGTCCCGTGACGATAGTTACCGTGGTGAAGGTTCTACACATGAACTTGAAATTGCCACTGCAAAAAGACAACAGTTCAGTAACATTTTCTGAACCATTACTTACAAAAAGTCTTCGACTTTTTACTTTGAGAAAACACTGCCGAGTTTAATAGTCGTGCTATGAACATAGGCCTCTCAGTTCAAGTAAAAAGTAATTTTTCAACATAGTAATTACCAGTCCGTCTAAAGACTTCCATTTTGCTTTGCCCACTAGGTCGGGTCATACAAAGATATAACCAAACCAATTCAATTAAATCAGACTAAAGTGGTGAAAAGGGACCAGCTCGAACATCAGCAGTGTTGTACTCGAGTCCATCCCAAGTCCTTTCACAAGCCCTTTACAATTCCAGTCACAAGTCCCTTCACAAGGCCAGTCATAAACAACATGGTTGAACAATGACAAAAGAAGGCTTTTGTCACAGCTCATTTGAATAGCTTGTGAATTGGCTTCAAGCATGGCGTGCAAAGTTAACATTTAATCCGCGCAAACAGATATCTCTATACTTAGACGTGCCAAGTTAACATTTATTCCCGGAATAGAGATATCTCTTTTACTAATACAGAGATCCATGTACGCGGATTAAATGTTTACATTGCCCGCCATTCTCAAGACTGGATGACTTGTGATGGACTTAGAGGGACTTGTGACGGACTCGAATGCAACACTGAACAACAGTTAAACAAAATTGCCCACAGATAGAGCAGTGGAAAGTAGGCAGTGAAGTTCGAAAGTAGTATCTTGGGGGCAGATATGATGAAATCATATTCTGTGGTTTTAGTTGTAACCTTGGGGACAAGACAGTTGGTTCCATACGTTGACACACGTTGGTTCCATCGACAAGCCTCGGGGATGTCATGGTGCCGTGCAATCAAGGAAGAATTCAGAACTAAATTTTCGTAGCGGGGGCCAGACCTTTTTTTTTTTAGTTTTCATGCCCTTCTTGAGGGGTGAGGCGTCTTTTCGAGGCTTTTTACGCAGTTGGAAGAGAAAGAAAAATACAGAGACCAAAAAGCATCTTTCTCTCTTTATTAAAAATAATGAAGGCCATGGCCCCATTGCCCTCCCCCGAATCCGCCACCGCGTGCAGTGGAAGTCCTTCAGTTTCTCTGATGAAGAGAAAGACGCTTACGTACGTACTCTAGTGCCATCTGGCCTAGACCTACTTGTGTCTCCTGGCTCTACGCGGCAGGCGGTACTGAAAGAGGGCCAACCGTGTGTCACCGCCCGTGGTGACCTTTTTGAGCAGCACTTTGGCTGGGAGCGTCGTGAGGCGAAGCGGTAGAACGACAGTGACTGGGGTCATCACAGTGTCTCCATAAGAGGGAAATACAAGACACTCGAGCCCACGAAAACAATGTTTTTGAAAGTCAAGGAACTGGAGGGGAATTCACCTGAGGGTTGCGCTATCAAGAAAAAAGTAATTGCGTAAACTTGCAAGGTTGGCAAATGGTGTTGAATGACCGTGCGACAGTTACTCTTTCGTCCTTGGAGACAGAAAATGGGGATAACATCCAGAAACTGATTACTCAAGAGGAGGCAGGGTGGGGTAACACTGAACACATGCTTCGCTTACGTTGGGAGTGTTCTCATGAGCCCGAAGAGGATTCAGTTTCGCCAGTAATGTACCGTTAATAATTGAGTGATAATGCTATCTGGCCAGATAATCTAATAAAATTGACCAATAAAATAATGACACAAATCGACCGGTACTGTGATAACCCGAGGGACCCATAAAGTAATAAAAAATGGACCTATAATGTAATTAAAATAACTCCAAACTTACCGATAGTGTAATAACCATAGTAATTTTAACATTTGGGGGATTTAGTTTTTGTTCAAAGTTTCAAGGCTGATATCCTATCTTAGTACTTGGATGACAGGATTTTTAGTTTTTCCCTGACGTTGGCACGGCCAAGTTCCCTGGCTACATGCTCTTAATATTCTGAATTTCAAGGTATTTGGGCCATTGATATGAAGTAGGTTTTTAATAGAACAACCGATAAGGGGGAAACGGATGGAGGTGCAGCGCCTTGACTGTGCTTCCATGGGGACTTGTACAAAGATCACCCCATTGGGGCTGACTGCATTATTTAGTAGCTCATCCACTGATCGCAAAGTCACAAGGGATTAATCCCCTCAGCACATGTTTTTTGCACTACGGTGTCGTAAGTACAGTTTTTATAGAAGGAACCCCATTGCAACTATTTTCAGTGTTAGACATAGTTATTTGAATTTCAGTAATGACAAAAGCTCTGAGTTTCATGTGCATTCAATGTCGATTTCTTCTGACTAAATAAATCGGTTCCCTCGTCACGTGATCAATGTTGGCCTTCCCTGAGTATTCCCTTGACAGAGTGGTGATGACTCGAGTCGAGTCAGAATTGAGTCACAAGTATGGTGGCTCGACCGATCCGAGTCCCTCATCAGAAGACCTGACTCAAGGGAAGTTAATATGCCTTGAGTCCAAAACATAAAAGCAAACATATTTCTTCAAATATTTGCAGTCACTTTGCAGGGCCTGCATACAATACTCATTCGATGTGTTGCGATCATTAAGGCCCGCTTCAAACTTCGCGACTGAGCCTTGAAATTGAATTGAGCACGATGTTAATAGCACGGCGTATAAGCCTGACATTGGTTTCAAACTTCGAACTTTGTTCAAAGAGCCCAGTAACTAAATTAATATGGCGAACCGAAACGTGATTTTACGATCTTTCAGCCTCAATCACAGAGAAAACGAATTTAGCTTTGGTGAGCACTACCAGTACTTTATTTCTCGAAAAAAATCGACACATTTAAAAACTACACCGTGCTTGTGCCGTATTTAATGACAATAAGCACGGAAGACCCTTTCGAGCCAAAATCCTCTGCCGTACCGAAATCGTTTTTTTCCGAGCCACATTGGTTTCAAACCTCATGCTTATGCCGTGCCAAATTAAAAAAATCAAATTGAGTTGTGTTAGACACGGCATAAGCACGACATTTGAACGAGCCTAAGAGTAAGATTTGATGAGATCACATGTAGAAATCCACAGGTAAATTAAAAAATTTCCAAATGATTTTTTTCTTTTTTATATATAGTTTGAGTTCAAGTATTGGTGACTGGAATTGACTTGAGCTAACGCTTTCTGTGGACAAATCGCACACATTAGTGTCCCGCTGAGGCCAAGAAACCGGCACCTCAAAGGAAATAAATCGGAGCGATTTTACAGCCATCATCCAATAGACACTCAGGCTTGCTTGAGAAACATTGGAATCTTCCATTCCAGAAAATAGGGTGGACCGTAATTATTGGTTTCTGTGGGTCTTAAATTCCCCAGAAATGAAATGGTCGTAACCTACAGGTTCACGACTCCCGTTCACAGCCCATGGAAGGCAAAAAGCGAATGACCACTTTTCGGCCGCCAGCGACAGTGAAATCGCCTTTTCTGGTAACAGAAAAGCAGAAAATACATTACAACAAAATGTTCGTCCTGCTTTTTAGGTAGCAGAAAAGTCGAATATTGCCTGTGAACATTATGAACTCTGCTCTCCTCCAATTCTCAAAGCAGAAAAGCAGATGGCCATTTTTCGTCCTCCACAACCCTGCCACTTGAAGGAGGACGAAGTGGTATCTTTCGAGGTATCTTTGGTACAGGTGTTAAACCAACTAAGACGGCCTACACCAATGACCCCCAGGGACAGGAATTATTGGCCTTAGGCCTCCGCCATGTGACAAAAAGTAGGACCTAAACCAAAGTTAGACTAGGAATATTGTATCCTCTCTGTATGCCACTGTTCAAGAACTGAAAATATAATGTTGATAACATTACAGTCTCTTTATATAGTGTTTATTGATCTGCGTTTGCATCGCCAGAGATTTTTTTATTTTTAGGAGGCAACATTGTTGGATGCTAAGAGGTATGTAATTATCGTGGCACCCCGTCATGCCATTATTGAAAAACATAAATACACACATTTACTAAATGATACTTTGATAAGGGGTTGGTTGTAGAGTCAGCGGCCGAAATTGCTGAGCCCGGGTTTGGTAAGATCATAAAATTACTCCGTCTCTCCAAGATTGTTTTTGTTTTGAAAATTGCCTGGTTTCAAATTTATCCCGTGTAGTGTTAAAAGCCTGTATCATTTCATTCACATCTAGATCACGTAAAATACTGCATCAAAATCTTTATCTCTAAAACCCCTCGCTTGTTCACAAACTGTAAAAGAATAAAGTAAGCAGAAGTCTGTCATGAACTTAAACTTATATAATTTCTTAGGTATTTGCCACTCTTTGAAATGTTTTGCAATCAGCAATTCCTCATAAACATATAAAAAAGTTTAAATCTTCCTCGTTTGTATTTGTTTTTGACATTATGAAGAGTGGCTGGCTATTGTTTCAGAATATGAGGCTTGGGCACTGTTCCCGTCTCTCCTCAAGCCGAGGGTTCATTTTTACACTGTCGTTCATTGTAGCCTGATGGAGTCATACAGGAAAGCCGAACAGATTCCAACGCCCAGCTCGTTCTAAGGGTTGGTGTGACTTCAAAGACGCCCTGCAAGATCCTCCTGATTTTGACGGGTATATTTGCGGCCGCAACCGTCGCTCTGACTGTCACCACCGGTGAGTCGTCCTAACAACCCTAGCTACCACTCGTGACACATCGAGCTTTTCAGCCGTTTCTATAAAACCTCATCTGGAATCTCATCTTTGGAGATTCTTGATCGATTTGTCTGTTGGAGGGACATTACATTCTAGCTTTTGGTGTGGGGAGGGGGAATATTCAAAGCGAATGCGGCTCCGGGCTTATTTGACATGATACTGGAGGAGACAAAAAATCAAAAAGGCCTTCCAGTCCCAACATCCTTGCTTTCATTTGCTGGTGTTGTTTATTTAGGGTTTTGGCGCTATTTAATAAATTAATGTACTGATTACTTTCTTTCCCACTCACCTATGAAGTATCATTTGCAAAAAAAACCCAACCAAACAAGCAAAAAATAAAAACAAAAAACAAAACAGACAAAAACAAAAAACTGATTACATTCTACCCCAGGGGGTTGAATTAAGGCGTCTTGCCACATTAAATGCCCTTCAGCTATTGCAGTACCTCATTAAGCCCGCTTCCAAGATAAAGCTGCTGTTTTGAAATGGAAGAATCAGGATTTTGGGGATCACCTAAAAAGTTTACTCACCTCAGTTTTGATATTTTTAACTACACATCCCGAACCTCAACTGTGACGCATTCAATACTGAGGAAATAAACATGTGCTAGCTAGCTCGGATCATTGATGGGCTTTAAAGTATGTTTGTTTAATTAAGACAGGTCAAACATTTACTATTTTATTTGTATACATGAGCAAAAATCCAAGCAATATTAGTATATTTTTAAACACTCCTGCCGTTATTCTGCGTGCTTTATCTCGGGGGCAAGCGCCAGACGACTTGTTTCTGCCTCTATCACTCCAAACAATAAGATGATTTAAATTACACAAACTGGACCGTTCGCCGGACTAAATCATCGTAATTGCCATTTGTTATCCAATGGGTCGCTCGGCAAGAAAAATTTTGAAATTCATTTTAACTCATTGTATTTCTAACTGAGCAAGAACGGGAAATTTATTACGTTGTTGAGTCATCTCAGCACTTCTTTGTCAATATTATATAATTTTTGGACGCATTTCCATGGACCATTGTTGCCTAAATTTTGTTTGATTTTCTGCTGGTCTCTTTTCTACAGTTGTGTTCGTCATGCAGAGGAACGACATTGCGAACGAATGGAACGAATGGAAAGAGACTCCGATTTGCAGCACAAAGCAGTGCTATGACTCCGGTATACAGACATAGTTTTGAGGTTACATTACAAAATTAGCCTATGAGGACACTGTATTGTAAGTTATTAGCCGATCCAATATTAATTCAATGCTTTTAACCTAGCCTGTTTTGCATGTAGATCTATTTTGACCATTCCACCTGTTGATGTCCCGATTTCGTTTCCATCAACTTCTAGATTTCCCTTTTAAATTCGTCCTCGCTGTAGCTCTCCTGCTTTGTATAACACTGGCATTGAGTATTTGTGGTTATCAATCTGCATAGAAACCTGATGACATTAACTCGGCGGAGATGGTTTAGGAGGTAGGGCTACTCCGTTAAAAAACAAGATCAAGACCCCCAAAAAACCAAAAACAAAAAACAAAAACCAAACAAACACCCCAACACACCAACAAACAAAAACAAACAAACCCTCAAAGCTTTTGGTACCGGATATTATTCAAAGGAGTCAAAGCCCATTTTCGAGACACCTATTACAATTAAGTTATAAATTGATGTAAGTTATAAACGTATGTAGATTTTAGTCTTCATTTACAGCGGTACCTTTAACAAAGTCTCCTCTGTTGGCTTAAGCCCATGCATAAGAACTTATCTTGCTTCTAAATTGGTTTCGAAATTTCCCTTTCCGTACAAAGCTTACTTTCACTTTATTTGTTCAGCGTACGTTTACTTAAGCAGTTTGGATCAGAGCAAGAATCCCTGTGACAATTTCTTTGAATACGCTTGCGGTGGGTGGACGGAACGTTACACAGTTCCAGAGGACAGAAACACCTACTCTGTATTCGCTCTGCTGACAGACGACCTGGCACGCAAGCTAAAAGGTACCAAACGCTATACTGGAAAAGTTCCCCGAAGGGAGAACGTTTTCCCCGATTCGTCCTCCTCTTTGCCATGCATATTTAGTGATCGTTTTGACAACTCCATCGCTGTTGTAATAGTCTTTGTAGGCAGGCGCAGTTTCTGCCACTGTCATCTTCATATTTCCCCCTTATTTAACGATTTGCATCGTCGATACTGTCATGTCCCCTCTCAGTTTCATTGTCATCATCACAGCAATGCCATAATCAGTCGCACCAATCGGGCATTGAAATCAACATTTTAGCTATATTTCTGTCATAGTCATTGCCACTGAAGAACTAGTATTGTCACCGTCACTGTGCCTGACGGGTAAGAATGTATTTTGTTGGGGGGTATAACTCGTTAAGTATTATTTTTAAATTTTATTATTTACCAGTTCTGTTTGAACAAAGCCCGACTGTCGGCGAGCCTGATTCATATCACATTGTAAGGAATGACTACAAATCTTGTCAGGACATGGGTAAGTCACTGCATTCCTCGTCAAATGAGTTTGCAGCTACAAAAGCATTTCTGCCAAAATAATGAACTGTAATATGATATTTTATTAATGTGAACATATTCACAAAGGAATGACTGCTTGACCCAGTGCTGGTTGCGTTTTGAGTATTGGGGTAAAGTATCCTCAATTGCCCTCGCGGTCTTTTGGAGAAACCATTTTTCAATTTTTTTGGATTGCTCACCCTTTATTAACAGACACCATCAACGAGCTGGGAGCGAAACCTCTGACTGACCTGCTGACATCCCTCGGCGGTTGGCCAGTCCTCGGAGACAACCCAGTGGGCGGAAACTGGGACCCAGCCGCCTTCGACTTTGAGAAGCTGTGGGCCGACATCAGGGGCAAATACGGCATACAAATGATCGTTTCCACAGGCGTATGGCCCAATGACACAGCCGAGTATAAACTAAATGTGAGCTTTGAAGTATGCGTATGTTATCATTTTAATGTGCCTCTTACTAGAGAAGTTTTAATGCTTAGCAGGCTGAACATGTGGTATCACCGGATAACACTGGGAATTACAGAATCACAAATTATCACTTTATCTCCATCTTTATCCATTTAAAAACTGCATGAACATGTATGTTCGAATAGAGGAAAATAAATATCATTATAACCCATTGATATACTCCTTCGATTCCAACCAGGGAAAACTGTACCATCTACTCTAAAGGTGTTTTATCTGTGAGTGTTCTACAAAATTTTAATTGTTATTAAAGGCTTGGACACCATACTTCGTAGTTCCGAGGACCGAAATCGAAAACGCACATTTGCAGGGAGTCAAGAGTTTGGTAAGAGGACACCTAAAGGTAGTTTCTTCTCTTCTTTTACAGTACTAATTCTATTCATTTGGCATATATATTAATTCAGATAAATAGTAATGAGTTTATTGCTCTCTTTTTCAAATTGCAAGTTGAACTCGTTTCATTTGATTGCCGTAAATGCAAAGGCACCAAATCGAGGTAAATCACTTTTACAGTTACCTGTTTGGAGGACTTGATCAAAAGGGTCTTGAAAGTGCCGATTCAAGACGTACACTGTGTCTGACTATGGAGCTGCAGACCCATTGGACCGTTGAATAAGACCCTCTCACTGCCTGCATTGGCCCCCATGTTCGAGAACAAGCTTCTGTAGTGACGAAGAGGCCCAACAGGCCAACGCAGCATTCATCATTGGGCGCGTTCGATTAGCTTACACGGGGCAATCGTGACCTGGCGATTGTCTTGTGGGTTGGGACAAACAAGCGAGGCACTGAGGACGATTCTCACCCCTAGTCAACCTGTGGAAGCTAGTCAAACACACCCGTTACATGCAAATCAGTCATACCTCGTGCATACTCCAGGCCAAACGTGTGCGGACAAGTTACCCCCAGAACTGTGGGGTCCAATGTGGGAGCGGAGCAGACGTCGGACCCAACAGTTCTGGCGGTACGGACAAGTATATTCTGGTCAGAAAAGAGAGTTCGCCCATAATTCATTGGCTCTCTTGATGTTACATTAACGTTCTCCCGCCAGATCGACGAAAGCAATGAGCCTGATGACTACGGGGTGAAGATTCTCTTGGAGGAGAGGTATTCCAAAGTAAGCCAATGTTCATATCCCCTAAACTAGTTAAAAAATATTTTTACCAGGTGCAGAGAACCATGTCATTCCAATTTCCGTGGGGAACGAGAAGCAGTGGATAATAGTCAATATTTTTGTCAGCGTGAGACGAACCTTGAGATACAACGGCAGCCTTAGCAACTAAATTCATGGTCAGGAACGCGAGAGGGGGAATTTTTATAAACATTTTGAGAGTGCCTTCAGTTTCTTAGGAACACAGGGGTTAGGCTGCCGTCTTTGTTTGTACCGAATACGGGTGTATGGCACACGCTGACATAGGACATGGTTGTAGCCTGAAGACTGTTTCCGGCACAACCTTCATCCAGCTACGCCTTTCACTCATTGGCTCCTTCAGATGGACTTAATAATTTGGCCATTATTAATCTTATTACATTTTCAGAAGAGGCAAGCCTACCTTCAGTACATGATCGACATTGCTCTGGCGCTTGGCGCAAACGAGACGGTTGCAATGCAAGACATGATCGACCTCATCGAGTTTGAAACAACTATGGCAAATGTATTTATTGTTCCTCGATATAGGCCTAGCACAAAATAGCACCTATATAAAATGTGGTTTTGCTTGACCTTGTGTCTTTCAAGATGCAACATTGGGGCTTGAAGGAAAATAAAAAGCAAGGTCTCATGTGTTAGAGTGTGTAAAGGCCTTGTGCATGAAGATGAACGAGTTCAAAATACAAGAATATGAAGTTTTTTTGTAGCCACTTCCATTACTTTGGGACCATTCTCATTCGTAGTAAGCACCAGCACTAAATTTGAAATCCATTCCGGTCGAATATTTCCACAGATGACCGTTCTACATTCAGAGGAGGGCTGGATCGAAAACACTCTCGGGGAGATTGGAATGGATGAGGTAAAGCTGTACAACGAAGCTTGGCATCTTTTGCCAATTTTGACTGTCATAAGAAAATTAGTGCATACACTACCCAAACAACAACGGAACGCCTACTGTAAAATATGGGTCAGATTATTACTTGCCTTAGTTGGTCACTGAATCCTAAGAATTCTGAAATGTGTTATACGTGAAGTTAGTCAGATTGTAATTTGATGCAGATGCCTCTGTTGCTTTTTGACTTACAAAACAATGATTTGCATTCCAGATTGACTGGGTGCAGTTTTACAATCTGATGTTGCCGGCAAGTGTCGACCCACGCGTTACTGACAACGAACCCATCATCAACTACAGGCCTTACTACATTTCCAACGTCACATTTTGGCTCAAAGATCAAGAAAACAGGTGGGAGGACTAACTAAATTCATACTTTATAAAATGCACCCACTCTTGATGTGTCAACAATGCTTGTGTCCACGTTACGAAACCCGTTTCATCAAGAGAGCCAACCACCAGTACAATTTTATAATGGAGTGGTTCATAACGGTATTATAGAATGCGTAATCCTGCCAAGACGAGTTTTATAATCAAACATTGGAAGCACATAACATCATCAAAAATATCTACCCTTTTAGAGTCAAGGCCAACTACATGATATGGCGGCTGGTTAACCGAATGGTGCCCTTTATGAACGAGACGTTCCTGGCAATCCACAGAAAATACGTCGAGAGTAATAACAACACTACAGCCACCTCGGCCCGTTGGAAGACGTGCGTTGACGTTGTTAACTATCACTTCAAATTCATTAGCGGAAGGATGTACGTGGACGAACACTTTCCTGAAGACGCAAAGCAGAAGGTGTGGCATAATACGAGTGTTCCATACAACATTAGTGTACAGCAGTTGTCAATTAACTGTTAATGGCTTTCTCTTCATAGGCCCGCCGTAGACCCACTTGTTCATATACACTGAATATACAGTTCATTCGATATGGCGATGTCGGTTTACCATTACGCTGTGATCTGAAAAAGAAGAACATTTTTGCAACAGAGCATTAGATCTTCATACAAATAGATAGCATTGGCCAGACTGAACAGATTCCGTTACACATTTGTTTCAACGTATCTTATTTAAACGTTCGGCCTTTGAAGACCCTAGACATGATACGCAATCTGCAAACGGCTTTCAAGTCCATGCTGGAAACGAATGACTGGCTCCAGGACGAAGATAAGCCCAAAGCTGCTGAAAAGGTTCGTGCAGTTGTCATAAAGGTCAGGTCAGTGGTCAAAGTTAGGCATGAAAATCAAATACTGATAACCGAATTTGAATGGCTCAGCATCTAGTTCATTCGATTTCAATGGACTGCTTCCTACAAGGATGGACATACATGTAAACGGTAAGCTCCTTGTATGACACAAAATGCATTTGTTTGTTTGTTTAAAACATAAGATCTGTATCTCTAAGCGGTTAACTGTTTCATTTCGGGAGTTCAGTTTAGTTGCATCACAGACATATCAAGTTTTCACGTAGTAGTGCATGTGGACACTGTAATGTCGTACCCTACCAATGCTACCCTTGATAAGTCAGACTATTTGGTTTTCAATATAATATGACTCAGTTTAATATGTTAAACAGACCCATAAGATCTGTACATAATTCACATGATCTTTGACCTTCAGGCAGATGTGATGGCCTTTGAAATTGGCTACCCGGAGTGGATAAAGGACAACGCTAAACTCGAAGAAGAGTACGCTGGTGTATGTAGCATATCCTTTATGTTAGGAGATCTTATAATGCAGTTCGTTGTTAGTCGAAAGTATACCCCTGAGATTCCGGTTATATTGCATGACAGCATTGTAAATGTGTTACTTTAACACCGCTGGCGTTACTTTAAACACCCACAAGTGTTACAATGCACTGGAGGGTCTTAAAAGTAACACCAAATGTGTTGAAATGACAGCAATATTTTAACACCGGTGAAAATTGTTCGTGTGTTCCTCTGATAACAGTGGACTCTTTGCAGCGTACCCATCTTAACCTTACACGTGACGATGCAAGCCCTGGAAATACGGCCGAAGATGTCAATTTGAATATCTAGCACCTGCATGATTCGGGTAGAATTCCGACAAGTGGATCCCAATGCCACTTCGAAGACAGTGTTGTGTATTCTCTTATTCACTTGAAAACTTTGATGCAGTCTCATGATATGAGACCTCGAGTGGCCCTACCACTAATAGATCGATTGCACCTGCTAAACCACGTGACCTGTAGTGGGTATCATTCCCATAGCAAAGGGTGTAGAGTGTTGTTTACAAACAATAAAGCCGATGACTTACGGACTATAATACCAGCACATCTGTACTCTGAGTACATACTTACTGTCAGCTTCATTTTTGGTAAGTTACACTTAAGAAACACGTTGCTTTGGGTGGACGCCGTGTTCGACATTTTATACCCGCTGTATGTCACGTGACTTAGTGGGAGCAATTGGTCTATTCCTCAAGACAAAATACCATCATGCAGGATGTGGTCATTAAGTTAATAGTGTATATGGAATGCATCATGGAGATCAAATGGTTCTCTAGTACTCTTACCGACAATATCTTGGTTTCATATAGTTAACAGCCGAGGACGACGAATATTTCCAGAATAACTTGAAATACCGTAAATGGATTTCTCAGGCCCAATTGGCACTCCTACGTGAAGATGTGGACACTGAAAACTCACTGTGAGTATGTGGTAGCGTTTTGTGCTGCAAGGTACAAAACTTGCTAGTGCTTCAAAAAGGATAATAGAAGTTTTAAAACACCAATCGAAACTGTGTTGGTAGTATTGGGCTTTTGTCCACAATAGAACCTTCAAATAAACCTTTGGGCAAGCCTGTTTGCTGTATTACAAATAGTGGCAAGTTGTTTCCAATGTATACTCTTAAATGACTTACATGTATTCTGTTTCAAGGTGGTTCACTGGACCAGCTGTTGTCAATGCGTATTACAGTCCAAACAGAAACGGAATGTGTAAGCTATGTTCTTTGAATCTTACTTACCCACAGTTATTATCTGTTACGAATGGCTGTAATATATTGTCCCCTTTCAACCGATACGTAGTTGGTTATTGACCATATGCACCTCATGAACTGACTATCCCGTCTTGGATGCACCTTGCCCAGTCCATCCATTCAACAGAGCAAACCAATCAATAATTACTCTTGCGAACAAGCAAATTAAATGCAATGCATCATATTAAGAAATTGCAAACTATTTAACCATCTGATGACGTAGTGATTGTTATGCCCACTTACCGACCAGTCATTCACCCAACTGGCACCAACCAATCGGCCTGCCATACATAATCAATTTATACAAGCACCAAACCTATCAACCAGTCATCCATGTAATTCCGACCGACAACGCTCATACCCGCCAGTTTAACGTTATTGAACGTCTTTTCTTCAGTGTTTCCGGCAGGCATCCTCCAACCACCTTTCTACCATAAAGATCTTCCGTGGTGAGTGTTTACCATTTAGGCTTTCCAACATTATGAGTGTGTTATTAATAGCTCCCTCTAAGAAATCAAGCATGTACAGTTAATCTTGAAAACTCAAAATTATCTTAGAAATAGTTGTATTGTAAAGTTTTCTTGTCACTGATCATCATCATCATAACCAACCAATTTCAAAGCAAGAGTAAAAAAGGTACCGTGTCTGTGCAGTTTGTCCCATTTGGGATTCCAGACCCAACTCGGGAGTTGGGTCGCCAGAAATTTATTGGCCATTATAACTGGAGAATATTCACATTTTTCTGTTCAGGTATTCCATTTACGGCGGTATCGGTGTGATCATTGGACACGAGATAACGCATGGTTTCGATAACAATGGTGAGCCAGTCAAAGGCGACGGAAGATTGTGGATGTGGATACATCACGGGAAACATCCGAAATTCGAAGCATACTTTAGGAGCCTTTATTTTGCTTCCGGGAGTTGCAGTCTTCCCCACTCAAATAATCAAAACAAAAAGGGATACCCAGGGTTTTTTGTTCATTAGTTGAGTATGTTAACTAATACTTTTCTCTTTAAACCATACCAAATTTGAGTAGCACATTGATGAAAGTAATTACACAGTTCCGAAGGAAACATTTGCTCTATTACTCAATAAGAGAATGCTTTCAAGGTCTAATTCAAAATTTCGGCTATTTCTTGTTTTCGTCACAGGAAGACAATTCGACAAAGACGGCAAATTTAGGCAGTGGTGGACTCAGGAATCCATTGATAATTTCAAAGAGAAAGCCCAGTGCATTATCGATCAATACTCTGGCTTTGTTATGCCAGAAAATGGAAGACACGTAAGCTTTGCCTCGTTAATTCTCTTTTCCCATTATTTCCAATGGCATTCCATTTTGCGAAATTATGCCTGCACTTTCTACTGAATCCTTCAGTTAAAACAAGAAAATACCTTATGTTTTTCCCCCTTTTCAGAAAAGCGCGATATCTTCTAAATCCTGAGGAAAATCAATAATAAACTTACGCTTCTCTGCTATTTTTCAGCTAAACGGAACCCAAACGCAAGGTGAAAACATTGCTGACAACGGAGGTCTCAGAGAGTCGTACAAGGTATCACGACGAACGAACACTATACATTAACATTATCAATTATACACTACCTCCACAAATCCCTGTCACCTTATACGTGGACTGTTGATCACATGTCATTCAATTATCCATCTTATTCAACAGTACATGTTGTATAGAACTTCATTTCATTTGACTGCATGGTTCCCCGGCACCCCATTTCATATGTTCCCTCCCATTGACAAAGTGGACAAACCTGTCTAATATTGCTCGGTACTACATGTGGGTACGTGCTTTGAACAATTTTTTTTTGTAAAAGCAGGACCTATTCTTACTAACAGAGGAAGATTTGTACTTGGACTCTTTAGTGTATGAAAATCAAGACAAAATCTTATCTGTTTCTTGCCACAGCTTTTTTAAAAATAATTTTTGTTTGTTTGAAACTTTACGAAATGAAGGTTTGGTACGCAGGCATTGTTGTACTTCATTTCAATAATGTACAAGAACGATTTCAGGTCATAGCGGACGTGCCGTTTCTTGGTCCGTGGTTTTATAAAGGCCGCGCAGTCTAATTTTAATACCTTTTTATTTTTTCATTTATTTATTTTTTGATTTTTTAATTATGTTTATAATATCATTTTTCATAATATTCTCAGCAAGTGTAACCAACACCGTAGATTGCGAGAACGTGGCCTTTATTGCCGAAAACACCACATAGACATTGTTGATGTTGCATGTTTTTACAGAAGGGTAGTTGAGTACCTCAGGGCAACTTTGTGGTTACCAGTGCATTTACCTGACATGAGATCTCTTCAGAAAGGCCTCCGGGTAAGCTGAGAAACGATGCACCATCTTTTGGGATTACTAGACCTAGAGGGAGTCGAGCAAAGAAGGCGACGGCAGCTACAGAGAAGGACATACAACGAAAGAAGCCCAAACTTTGTCGTCCTGTCATCATGTACATTTCCACCATTGCTGTTACAATGGAGTTAAAGTTTATAATCTTCTCTTTTCCAAAGGCCTACAGGGACAACATTCCGAAGCAGCCTCGGCTTCCTGGCATTGATTTCACCGATGAGCAGATGTTCTTCCTTTCATTTTCTCAGGTAAAGCAAAGACGTTCAAGTGATATTATACGACGTTGCTTTATTTTGTCAAAGACAATCCTCAACTGGAGCATATATTTACATGAGAACGACATAAGGTCCTATGACGTCATGCCTGTCGATTTGCAGTGGGGAAAATAAATATCGGAAAATCTTTTCCAAACTTTCCCCATACTCAAGTTTACGAAGGGTGACAAAAAGGAAATCAAATCACGGTGCAAATCCAGAAACCTTTTTACGCTTTTCTTAAATCTAAGATCTGGTGCAGTGTGTTAAAACCAGAAGGTGCGGATGGGTACATTGACTATGCACGCCACAGTCCAGGCCGATACAGGTTTGTTATTAAATGTCTCCGCCATTATTCCTAGCAATCGCTTCAATACAGGCAATTCGCAACAGTGCGCCTCCAAGAGTTTGCAACGCCTTGGCCAATTACGGTGCTCGAAATCTGTCGATTCATTGCGCGTGTCGAAATGCCCATATTATACAAACATAATATACACTAATTTTTGAGAATCAACCAAATAAGAAGAAAAAGTAATATGGATGGATCCAACTTTTCATTCAAGTAAAACTGTTTCCTTTCCTAACATTTCATTTGTAGTTAGTTGACTTTTTTTAATTTTCAGAGTCATTGGTTCACTGCAGAACAACGAGGCGTTTAACGCTGCCTTCAACTGCCCGGCTGGAAGCTACATGAATCCAGACGTCAAATGCAAAGTCTGGTATTAAGTTAATTCGGACAAAGTAAGTGCACAAATGTGACTCTAAGATATTAAAACGTATATCATAATCATTCGAGAATCGATTTCTGACATTTTTAAGGTGTCAGTTATGCCTTTAACTGCAACAATAAAACAAACATAAAAGCGGATTCTTTATTACTCGTTAGCTACCACATGTATAATCTCGTGATACAAGTATTAGAACTATTTGAATTTCACTCTTTTCATGCCCACTGATTACTTTGTACTGTTCAGTGGTAAAAATTTTATAATCACAATGTCGCTTTGTAATAACTATTGCTTCGTGTGTACTATAAAAAGAGTGCGGTATCTCTGATTTTTCTACACATACTACAAGGTAAAACTTTGGCCTACAGGAAGCTTTCGTGATTATGGGCAATGAAAGCTATAACATTCACACTGTGATATCATTCATTCATATTGTGTGGTTACAGATTTCCGTTTAAAGCAAAACTCTCCTTTAATTTCAGTTAATAGTTTTATGTGTCTTGTTTATTTGATACATATCTCCCCCAATTTTATTTTTATTTTATCATTTTTAAAAATTTATACTCGTATGTTAATTTGTAACAGACAATATTCATTGCCTTTAGTATTTCTCTTTTTCATCATTTTTCATTATCTTGATCAATTTTGGATGAACGAATAAAGTGTAGTGAGAATAGTTTCAGCAATGGGAAAGAAAAGAAAAAAAAGCTATCGAATTGGTAACCGCCGCTTGTGTAAGTCATTGAGCGAGCTCTCGCGCCAGGCATCGATTTATACCCACAGTGCTCTGCGCGTCGATCGTTTAGCTGTGACCCTGTATGACGTATTTCCTTCACTAAAATCTGTGCCAGGCCATCAGCCCATTCATGCACCCTGTTCGGTAGACTGGTTCCTATCCTGAATGTACATGTAGTCTACAGACATCTTACAGACGTCCTCCTAACGAAGGGACCGGTAGCGGGCAATGAACCTGGCAGAATCCTTCACATATTTCCTTCACTTAAATCTGTGCAACGCCATCACTGACGAGCGAACCAGTTCAATGTTAATGAGGGAACGATGCCTGCGCAACGCACAGCTGCTAAAATATTTTGCTTTTTCTTCTTTGTTACCGAAAATAACTTCACCATAAATTGTTTATTTACCCACTTTATTTACCTACTTTTATCACAATAACCACTGATTTGTAACAAATTGCCAGTGAAAAGTCATTGAAAAATTAATGTCAAAATTGTGATCGACAGACGCTTAGCAAAGATATGTGCTTGTGTTTAATTTGCCTCCGCGCTGAAACATAGTTCATGTTAAAGTAGTGTTATTGGCCTGACAAAACCCTACATTTTCAGTATCCTTATCGGACATCGACAGGGCTAGCCGCACACGGTAAACCTCAGCTAGCTACCGGTCCCTAAGGTTGCAGGCCAGTAAATAGGTCCAAAAAAGCCTGCGCGGATCAAATCACGATTTGTACACTTTCAAATTCTCTGCTATGGGAGCCTTTGTGGCATGTGGACAGGGTGGTTTGTTAAAAAGTGGATGAAATGCAGGGGCAGGACTGTCAACTTGTATTTCTGAAAGTATCAGACCGAACGGGGCCCTCCAAACTGCTCTATTTTGCCATGGAGTGTAGGCATCAATTTCCAAATGGCAATGGGCCCCCTGACTGTTTTTAGGGGTGATTGTCTCGGGAGAGAAATATCTCCAAAAGTCAAAAGCCACTGAAAGTCGAAAGGAATATGAAAGATGAGGAAGTGAGTTTTAATTTGATATGTGACCTGAACACCTGTGAAACTTGTATTTTTCCGGATTTTTTGAAGTGGGGGATATTTATCACTGTTGTCTATGGCAACTGATTTACTGGTCTGGACCCATATATGATCAGGACGGGGACCAGTCCACCTGTTCTGGCGCGTGGCGACGAGCGAACGGGCTGGTACGCATAAAAAGAGGGATCTCTGACAATGAATCGCGTAAGTTATGAGCCATAGTAATTGCACAGACAGTAGGCTTGTCGGCTCGCAGCACTGCGAACGGCGTCTTGGACCAAAGACTACTATGAATTGAGGCCTTCCTCTCCCCTGCACTTAAGAATGATGCATCCTCCTAAGGAGGCATTGGTTTCGCCCGAAACTGAGGTAAGAATCCATTCTTGGGTTGAATAACTCTCATCTTCAAGCATAATAACGAAAAAAGAGAAATCTGAACTCGAAGAACTCGACTAGCACAGAACCGTGATTCCACGTCCAGTGTTCGAGTGCTGTTTACAACGTAGAAGGTGGCATCCCACGACGACAGTTTAATACCGTGGTGAAGGTTCTACACATGAACCTGTCTGCTGAAACTGCCTGAGGCGACATGTTCTGAGCCATGACTGACTTTTAGCAGACAACTTACTTGTCTGTCTAAAGATTGTTCCAGTTCGCTTTACTCACTAGGTTGGGTTATGGGAATATAAATCCAATGTGATTATTCAGACTATGGTGATGAAAAGGGGGCCAGCTTAACAAGAGTAATACAAGACTGCCCGCAGAGCTTTGGAAAAAGGCAGTGAAGTCGGACAATAGTCTTTTTCAGGCAGATAAGATGAGTTCATTTCGTTGTTTTGTTGCTGCCCATGGGACAAGACAGTGTGGAATCTAAATCGAGGTGGGGCGTGTCACGCTGAGGGGCTACCAAAGATGGATCGAAAAACAATTTTTTTTTATGTAACCTTTTGTGACCTGCACGTGGGGTACACTTCATTTTGAGGTTGTTTACACACTTTTGGACAGACAGACACCGAAAAAACAAGATTTTCTCTCATTAGCCATCCCCCGCATCCGCTCTTTCGTACAAAAGAAGGCCTATTCAATCTCCCCAATTTAAATGACAGACGCATGTGTACTTTTTGCCATCTGGCAAAGGCCTACTCGTGTCACCAGGCTTCATGCAGCAGGTGGGGTTGGAAGAACACCAACCCCGTGCCATTGCCTGTGGCGACTTGTTTTTTTGCGCAGCACTTTGGCTGGGAGCGTTGGCATCACAGTGTCCTCATAAGAGGGAAATACGAGACACTGGAACCCACGAAGCAAATCTTTCCTGGAGGCCATCACGTAAAGTAATTGTATAAACGTGCAAGGTTGCGTGTCAAACAGCGTCGAAAGTGTGCGACAGCCGAATTGGTACTTGAGTATGCGCATATAATATGTGTTGGTTTTTGCGTGTGCTTTCGGCGTTGCTCTAGGAAAACATAAAATAGCAGCCGGAAAATGGACAGATTGTACAAATGAAAGAAACGAAATCTACAAGTAAAAGAAAAAGAAAGATGAGTATCAATGCTATACTGTATGTGTATATGTGTACAATCACAATTGCTTTGTATAGGAGTTCATCGTATACGATGCACCATGGCATTTCGGCTCATAACTGTCCAAAATTGACGCGTTTCTGAATTTGAAAGGCCCATTCTGGTACAGAAAAAAACTAACGATCTTGACAATCTTGCGGGATTTCTCTCATTTCCTTATTCTTTTACTAATACTGACAAAATGCAACAACGATCCATCAAAGCACAAAGATAAAGGAAAGAAGAAACTCCAAGTTTTAAATGTGTTGCGGCTCACCGTTGTTATGCCATGTATATTGCGCGCGCCGCATTTGTGAGTGCATGCTACGCGCTCTCTGAGGTGAAAGTGAAGAAATGCACTCTTAACTATTTTGTCTTTGTGCAGGTTTTTTGGTTTTTTTAATTTCAGGTTATTTGGGCCAATGACACAAAGTCATTTTTTTTAGAACAGCCGGTAAGGGGAAAAGGGGGGGGGTCGGGGAACAATGCCTTGGCTGTGCTTCCATAGGGAATTGTACAAAGACTCCCTCAATAAGATTGACTGCGTTATGTAGCAGCTGATCCGCTGATCTCAAGGTCACAAGAGATCATTTGCTGCAGCACGTGTTTCTTGCATTACGGGTGTTGTAAGCACAACTTTCATCGGAGGAACTCTATCGCAACTATTACTTGGAATTACTAACGTTAGATATAGACATTGCACCTCAGTAGTGACAAAACGAGTGTTTGTGCCCATTCCGTGTCAATTTCCTCAGACTAAGTAAGAAAGCTGTTATCATGTCACGTTATCCAAAATAGACTTCCGTGGGTATTCCCTTTAACCCGGGAACTGTCTATTGTTTCAAAACCGTCCTCAGCCATTATGAATAAAAGTTATTTCAGCGATGCTAACTGTTTGTGAACTACACAATAGCATACGGCATCTAAGGAATACATTTGTCAATCTCGAGGACATGGATGAAGCTTAAGAGAATGAACATTTTTACTGGGTCCAGTAGATATCGTCAGAACGTCAGTCGATTTTTTTTACATGAGGTGCAGTACACAAGAGCAATCCGTAAGCCCCGCTCATTAGAGGCACGAAGTGTTCTACAATGATAAACTATGTCTCTCAGCCGCGCGCACCTTATACGCGCTTGCACGTATGTTGGACTTTTGTAAACGTCTGTAGGACATAAAACACTGCTGTGATTGGTCGAGGCCTGATGGTCAGGTCTATTCATATTCACATTTTAAAACATTCTCATTCGTGGTAATTGTTATGTTCTTACGTGTAGTGTTTGGCGTGTTGTTGAAACATTTGGTTTTATGGTACATTTTGAAGCGTATGTTTTTGAGTAATAAACTCGACATTTCTTTCCTGTGTTAAACCAAACTGGTTACTGCAAATATTCTTTAATGTGTTGATGATTGTTATGAAAATCAGAAAAAGACCTTACTCCATTTTTCTTTTTGTGTAAAGATTTGAGCCGCAGAAAAATGTAGTGTACGTTATTTATGACGGCTTCTTTTCATTTTAACGAGAAAACTAGGCTTGAAGACAAACCAGCTTTCTTTGTACTCAAGTGAGTTCCGTGAGTTCACGGAAATTGGTATTCAATACTTCATCATTCACAGAAAGACAATAGAATGCTACAATCATGGTGTACCTTATATAAAATATGTCGGTGGCCGGGCAGCCTGTTGAAATGATCGAAGCGGTATCGTTTGGGGATTTTTTGTGATACAAGTGTGGAAACACCCGAGAAGACCTACACCGACGACCCCTGGGGACAAAAGTTATACGCCTTAGGTCTTCAACATGAGACGAAAACTAAAAACAGACTAACGTAATCCAGCGTGTATATAATTCCTGCCCTGCATGTCCCTGTTAAAGGTCGTCGCTAGCCGTGTAGGCCTACATTTCTCAAAGATCTTTCCATTGAAAACTGCCTGGTTTCAAATTTAACTCAATTAATGTAAAAAATCCTTTTCATGTCGATCCAAACTGGATCGTATAAAAATTTATGGCTAAACTCCCCGCATGTTTACAAACGGTATTCAAAAATAGCCTCAGATAGCCTTTAGTAATGCGTTAAATGTATTA